AAATATGAACAGAATCCCCATGTACCATGCCCAAGCAATTCTATCCCCTTCCACTTCATGAACCCCATGTCTTACGATCCTTCCTGAAAACGCAATCATATAGCCTGGCTTGTACATGAACTCCAGCTGAAGACTTGGCATACTCATGCAAGCATTCGAATAATTACCCACAGTGGTGAGAATATCGAAGCATTCAGGAATGGATATGTGGTCTCAATGATTGGGGGTTTGCTGATTGGAAATGACGGTGAGGGTGTTAAACACGGATGCCCAGTACTGGAGGGTCTCTGACATCCTCAGAAGATTCTTGCTTTCGGCTGATTGTCTGAGGCTTAAAAAGGCTTGTATCCCAGCCCAGTACTGCTCAGGATGCATCACCCTGAGTGCAGCTGATGCGATGGCTGCTGGCCTGGCAATGGCTTTGAGAATATTCTCGGAGAATGGTCCCTTCAATGAGGCAGATACCGCCGGGTCCGACAGATTCTACCGGATTGGTCAGTGTAACTATCGGAAACCACCATCTCATGAGATCCCACCTCGTGCCCCTGTTGAAACCAAGCCAGAGATAGATTGATGCATCTGGGAGATATGCCATCATTTTCCGAGCTTGGTTTGAACCAATCCTGATTAGTTCGCCAACTCCCATCAACCTTTACACTTTTTGCAAGGCTCGGACTGAGCAAATCGGAGGCTGCCAGAATTTCCTTCTGGAGTTCCCATTTCATATTCCATATCCATCGAGCAACAAAATATATTAGCCACCTGGGTGGTTTCCGTCAGGGCATCCGGGGGGTACCACACAATGATGGCACCGGTAGCATCAAGAACTGTGGTGGGTATGTCAACCAACTTTGTACCTTCATGGCCAGGAGGACACCTCTCAAGCAACCTCACCTCTCTTTCTTCATTATGTCCAGTGTCCTTCAGGGAGATCATTTTGCTGTATCTCGCAATATCAATCTGCATCCGAACTGTGAAGCAATTTGAATCATCAAATGGACTGTCCGAATCTGCGGGAAGACCCACTGAGATTGTTATATGCCTTTATGAGGCAATCCACCAATCGATTGCAAGCCATCACCAGATTGGTGTCTAGCTTAGGAGAAGGTATGACTGGGTCTCCTCCTGTTTTCTCGGCAATGAATTTCTGTTCGGTATATTCACATGCCTCATGAGTGACTGTCAAGGCCCAAGTGCGCCAGAAGGTTATTTCAATATCAGAGGTGGAAGACACATTCATGATGGTGTTGATCTTGGGAAATCAGATGGTCAATGCCGGATGTCCACAGACTTTAAAGATGGTGGAGATAGGGTGGATCAGATAGGGAACCTTGATTTTAGCTTTCAAAGATGGATTATCATTTCATTGCTATACTAATATGTCAATGAAATACCGGATAATGGGAAGGGTGCTAGATATCAAATATTCGAGTGTCGGGACCCAGGACCTGGAACTCCTGGATCCTGGAACTCGGTACATGATGCTTGGTTCATTCAAATTTTGGTAGTTGGAACTTAGCTTTCAAAGATGGATTATCATTCATTGCAATGTTAGTATGTCAATGAAATACCAGATCATTGGAAGGGTGCTAGATATCATATATTTGAGTGTCGAGACCCAGGTCCCGGAACTCAGTACATGATGCTTGGTTCAGTCAAATTTCGGTAGTTGAAACTGACCTTTCTATGATGGATTATCATTCATTGCAATGTTAGTATGTCAATGAAATACCAGATAATTGGAAGGGTGCTAGATATCAAATATTCGAGTGTCGAGACCCGGGTCCCAGAACTTGGTACATGATGCTCGGTTCATTAAAATTTCGGTAGTTGGAGCTTGGCACTTGGCACTCAATAGTCCCACCCGTCTATATCATATAATAACCTCGGCCCACCCGTCAACATCATATACATCTGGGCCCACCCGTGTATATCATACAACACCCTCGGCTCGGCCCACCTGTCAACATGATGTGTCTGGGCCCACCCATGTATATGATAACAATTAAACTCAATCCCTGGAACTCGGTGCCCAGAACTCGGTACACGGTACTTGGTGATTTGTTCAATTTATGAAATACCCAGAAGTTGATGTTAGTTACCTGGAACTCAATATTAGTTACCTGGACATCAATAGATGTTACCCAGAACTCGATAGATGTTACCCGGCCCATGGATATGATATCAACCATCTCAGCCCACCCATCTATATAATATACTACTACCTCGGCCCATACATCTATATAATATACTACCACCTCGGCCCATATGTCTATATGATATGTATCTGGGCCCACCCGTATATGTGATATCCAACTACCTCAGCCCACCCATCTATATAATATCTAATAAATTGCTCTCTCAGCCCACCCGTCTATATTATATACCCCCACGTCGGCCTACCCGTCTATGCAATATACAACTACCTTCGGCCCACCCGTATATATAATAAATATTTTACCACTCCCTCGGCCCACCCATATATATAATAAATATTTCACCACTCCCTTGGCCCACCTGTCTACAAAATAATCTTAATTCATCAGCCCACCCGTCTAATATGATATATATCTGGGCCCACCTGTCTATGTGATAACAAGCACCCTTGACATACCTGGCTATTTGATACACATCTACCTTGGTAAACCCATCTACATAATATCCAACTACCTCGACCCATCCGTCTATTTAATATTCATGTCCATCGGCCCACTCATCCACTCTACATATTCCCTACATGGGCCCACCCGTCTCCATCAGGAATAATAACACTCCCGGCCCATCCGTCATAGTCGAAGATATATCTACCTTCGGCCCATGGTCCACTGGCCCGTATCATACAGGATATTATGCACGTCCATTCACTCGTATAATACGGAGATATGTTACTGCAATATGTGTCCCGTCTCTATTTGTTTGATGCCCCTGGTACCATCCGCGCCCCCAGTGAATTCACGGAGCACGACAACTCCGTCGTGGAGGGGCAGCAGAGCAGATTGCCGGGGCTCATCTTGATGCCTGTCTTGGTGAGACCTGAGGCACTGACGGTCCCCTCCAGATGCAGCACCAGGCTAGTGTCTAAGAGGGAGGCACCTGTCGCACAGGTGCCTCCCGAAGCGCCTGTGGTGGGCCACCCCAAGCAGGCCCACGTGGTGGTGCCCACGGCGGCTGGTCATCCTGTGCGCAGGGTGGAACCTGCAGAAACTGGTCATCCTGAAACAGCCGCAGAATTCACCAAGTGTGTGGCACCCCATTTCATTCTCAAAAGACCGGTGGAACAAAAGGAGGGGGAGGTAACAGGTCAGACCCCTGTAAGCCCACACAACCACAACAACAATGAACCGCTAGAGCGGCTAGCACACCTGGGATACCCAGATGAAAGTGAGCTGATCAAAGGTATCAGAAATCAGTATAACCTGGACCCATTCTTTAAACAGATTTTAGACTCATCTGGCGAATACTGAAACTTCGAAGTGTTGGACGGATTGATCAGACTGCGCCTGCATGACAAGACCCTGTTATGTGTGCCCAACATAAAAGTCAGCAATTGAGCCATCAGAGAGGTGATTATCTCACAAGCCCACTCACTCCTGGTGCACTTGGGAGCATCAAAGACATTGACATACCTTCAGGACCATGTGTGGTGGAAGAGTTTAGTAAGTGACATTACTACCACTTTCTGTAACTCATGCAACACATGCAAGAGGAGCAAGCCCTCCAACCAGAGGCCCTATGGGATGCTTCACCCACTCACCATACCCTCAAGGCCCTGGGAGTCCATTGGAATCGACTTTGTGGGACCCCTGCCACTGTCAAAAGACTGTGACAGTGAGTATGACTCGATAATGGTCATAATCAACCGTTTTACATCAATGGTCCATCTAGTGCCCAGCTGTGTTAACTACAATGCCCGGGACATCGCTGAGCTGGTATTTGCTGAAGTGTATAAGCTACACGGTTTGCCTTGGTCGATTGTAAGCGACTGAGATGTCCTGTTTACCAGCATGTTCTGGACTCACCTCAATAGACTGCTTGGCATCGAGCAGTACATGTCTAGCGCGTACCACCCCAAATCCAACAGGGCAACCGAGCGGGCCAACCGAACCGTCATGCAAATGCTATGATCCTGCATCTCCACCAACCAGAAGGATTCAGCATCCCACTTACCCACCATTGAGTTTGCAATAAACCTCACCCAGTCGGAATTGACTTCCCAGTCACCATTCTTCATTAATAATGGGCGGATGCTGTGTGCCATGGTCTGGAATAACCCCCAGCAGGACGAATATCCAGGGGTACGAGCATACTCTCAGAAGATGAAGGAGTTGCTCATACAAGCCCACGACTCCATGCTCGAAGCCTGCATCAAGCAGACCCGAAATGCCAACCGAAAGCGCCAGCTCTGCCCTCTCAAGGCGGGCGACTTGGTGTACCTATCTATGAAGAATATATCCTTTCCTAAGGGGCTAGCATGGAAACTCTTACCCAAGTATGTAGGGCCATACAAGCTGTTAAAGGACTACAGTAACAACTCCTTCCTTGTGGACTTGCCTGATCGATTGAAACAACGGGGAGTCCATCCCATGTTCCACGCCTCCTTGCTGCGCATTCACTTGCCCAATGATGACCACCTGTTTCCAGGATGGCTGGAGACCCAAATTGCGGATTTCAGAGAGCCTGACACTGAGTGGGCAGTCGACAGAATCCTGTCACACACGGGGGCCCAGGAAGACATGTCCTTTGAGGTACAGTGGCAAGCAGGCAATATTACCTGGTTACCATATGACCAGGTAATGCACTTGAACGCACTATCGGAATATTTCGATCTACTCAGGATATCAGAAATTTTGGAACTGACAGATGGACAAGGAACAAACCCTAATGACGACCAGCCAATATCTCTAGGAGCGGTCGCATTGGAGGTCAACCAACGTATAAAACCCCGTCCCATTCCTCCAAACCCCCCATCTATCACTCCCTCCAGCAAATCACCAAGAACCATGCACTCCGCCCCCCTCATTAACTTCACCAAGCGCAACCGAGACTTCATTATCACCGACCCTGACAACATGGACAAACTATGTCTCGTCACCTGCAGCCAGCTGAAGGTGTTCATCATATACTCCTATGCCCTTCATAACAAGGCTCCCTCGGCTCGCCCTGCCTGCCCATTGGGCTATGAGTACTTTGCTTGCGCCTACAATCATGAAGGACTTACCACTACCACCTCTGTCATCGACGAACAGGGCTTTGTAAAGTGCAAAGGCACATCCATTGAGATGGGAGATCTCTTGGACAACGATGACGAAGACGTCACTTTGTCAGCTATGCGCATGGACCAAGTTGACCGCTGTAGGGAGTATCACTATGCTAGGCTCATATCCACCACTTTTCTGATCCATCCGACATCCATCCGACACCTATCCATTCCATCTGATACACATCCGCTTTTCGGATGACATGCGGATACCTTCGGATCTCCCCCTATAGCTCGCGCATCTGCCACATCCGTCCTGTCCACGTCCATTCTACCTCATTGGTACATACTCACATGCATTTCCTTGTTACTGACTGAACACAGACATATCCTCTCACACTCCACTATTTTCCGGATAGCTTATGGCACGGTCTAGACTCGCTACCTATATCTCTATGTTCCTTGAAAATACTGTGCCCTATAAGCATGGAGGTTTTCGAAAAATACTTACTTCATGTAACTTCCTCCCACTTTTCCTGCACCTTACCAGAAGGTCACTTTGACTTATACCCACTATCCATCAAACCTTTAATGAACTTCCTTTGACTTTGATTCACATCCCATCTGATCCGCAAGTATCATCCGCTCCATCCGACGAATCCATACATTTTGCATCCTATCCGTTTCATCTGCTTTTGCGGATCCTTCATCCTATAGGGTCGCTTTAGACAGAGACTAGTGTTTCCCCAGTAGCAATCCCCTTAAGGGTCAAACGTGCTTGTTTCCAAGTGAGGCAGCAGGCAGCAAAGACCCAACTGTGTAGTTGATCGAATTCTCTCTGCTGCACTTGTTGTACCCACACCGCATGGTGTGGCACACTGCCCTCTCTGCCACTCATCAGCGGGACAAGATCGAGGAGCACTGCTTGATGAACAAGAAGAGCAAGAACTACTTCAAGAAGCAGCAGGTTAAGATGTTTAGAAAGGGGTTCAGGAACCAAAAGAGGAACGTGCTTAGCACTGGCGCCCCCGGAGGGACCAAAGCATCTGGCAGCGTCCAGCCACCCATCGAGGACAAGATGAACACCACAGGGTGAGGCTCCGCCGAATGAGTCTAACCTTTGGATGAGAGTGTGGCCTCTCTCTGGAGGGGGAGATGTAATGGTTGCTGTCATATACACTAAGTGACGGTTGCTGTTTCAGAATCCTAATACTGTCAACTATTCCCCTGAGTCTTATTTATTCTGTCCCTGCTTCTTACCTATCTTTTATTGCTAGAATCTGATATGTCCTATCTTACCTTTATCATATGCCTGCGCTCATTACTTATCCATGTCTGCTTCCTATCTTCTCCGAACCCTTAACCCTACCTCTCGTTTACTATAGTTTAAATACAGGCTACTGTCATAGAATTAGGGCAGCATTTATTGTACCCAGAATACCAGACTTTAACACCATCTCTCAGTCGATAATGTTCTTCTATTTGTGCCGCCTACTTCGAGCCTTCACACGCTAAATAGTAGACGTCACACGAGCCTACTACGTCAATAAATACGCCGACCATCACGCCTTTGAGATTGCATTTTGATCTAGCTACTTGTACACCATTTGAATTTATAACACTCTTTTCTCTCTTAATATGCATTTTCGCTCCTTTGTGTGGCAAAACCAATGGACCACTTGTTCGTACCTTTGAGAAATTTCGGAAAGATCAAGTTATCACTCCTTGTATTAATTTTTATGCCTTAGCACCAGTGCCAAGGCAAGAAAAGTGGCATAATGAAGGAAAATGAATCTGAGGTTTTACTGATGGACTTGAGCAGCGAAACAATCCAAACTACTGAAGCGAACATATCCGAAAATAATACATTACTAATTGCTATTAGAACTCTTCACAACATTCTGGATTATCGAGAGGCATCAGTACAGCCTGTGCACACTGTTTTATGTCCCTAGGTGGGCTCGGAAGACTTACCGCCAGTAAAAGACTTTACAAGGCCCAAGTGTGTGAGTGGAATGAACTTGGAGGGGACAAAGAGAGACGTACTAGTGTGGTATGTTCGACTCATACCACTACCTACTGATATGTTGTACTACCAGGACTACTAGTACACGTTAAACTGTGACACTGCACCTATGCCACCTTAATCAATCTCCCGCCTCGATGGCAAAACAGACCCTCTTCAGTCTCCCCTTCCTTCTTCCACATGCCACCTTCTCCTTGCACCCATCCCCCAACATCCTCAATCCACTGATGAGCCGGGCAGTCCAGATGGCATCCACCAAAAACAGTACTCCATACTGGCGTCCAGAAACGCTGCCACCACACAACATCATTCTTATCACTAAGAACGTGTTTGTAGTACAACACTTGTCCCCCAGGTTTCAGCACCTCCGAGATCAATGTGGATATGGTGGATTGTGGCGAAGGGATGGAGCAGATAGTGAGGACAGAGATGAGTGTGTTGACAGGCGGGTGTGTCACAGGAAATGAGGAAATGATAGTAGTGATGTCTTCAGTGCCGCAGGGGAGAATGAGGAGTGTTCCATCATCTTGGCTGTACCCAGTGGCAGAGGCGGTGTGGTGCAGCTCAGCATGCATATGCACATTAGGCTCTACAGCGATGTATTTTGTAACGTGCGAATGCTCGAGGTACTTGATTGTATGGCCGTGACCTAACCTTCACATGAGAACATAACCAATTCCCGGTTGAGCGGGAGACTCACCTGCACCAATGTCGAGTACAACACCATATGTGTGTGGGGTGATGAGTGCCTTTTTGACATCCCTTGCATTCTCATCGACACCATTACCAAAGAGCTTCCACACATGGAACATGAAAAGGCGGGAGAGTTCATGTGGTCGGAAGAGCAGCGAAGGAGAATGCCAGACTGCTAGAATGGTGGGCCAGAGGCCAGCCCCAATGATGAGACGTAGCTCTGGAAGCAATCTGAAGGCTGCAGCGAGGCCCATCTGAGCCACCACCTGAAAGGCTTGATAGTGCAGTTAGTAAGGGGGAGGGAAGGATGTGGGCATAATCACTAGTACTAGTGTATGATATGCTTATGTGTCAATTATTGGCGCTTGATTGGCAATCACAATATGGAAGCTGTTCAGGATGATGATCATCACTGTCGTTGCTCAAAGTGAGAAAATAAATTCATGGTCATAGTGCATATATCCGTCAGGTCTTATGTGGTTTGATGACATCGAGACTGTGACACACACTAAATGGGACCTGACAGAGATACCAGCCCTCCCCATCCGACGAGTCAGTATGAACATCATTTCGAGTGAGTAGAAAGAGGAAGGAAGGAAGGCTCATCATCTAAGTATATGTGAACACGATGAAAGCAGATGGGCCATCGGATACATACCACATGACATAGATGTCTTCATTGTTCCAGCCAATTGAAAATCCTAACGGGACCGAAAGTGAAGCTTTCAAAGCAACTCAGCCCCAGAAAACTCCTGAACCCCCAGTAAAGAAATTTGATGGTTAGTGACTGGATGGCTATAGAGTAAATATGCTGAGGAAACGGGGAAGAAACACGTCAGAAGTGAAAAGTCCAATCATGATGCCAACCCGGGGGTCAGCCAATTTTATGGAGACAGTGACGGGGGCGGGGGCGGGCCAAAGCTTCAATATAGGCCGCCATTGTGTTACATTTCAAATTTCCACCGTGTTTCATTTTCACCTCAACCACCCTACTTTTTTTCTTTTTTCCCACGGCGAGTTATAGAAGGAATGACTGAGACTCTTTGTGACGGCAGGTAGAAGTTGGTAAGACTTTAGATGATGGCACAACTTAGAGACTCTATTGCAAGTAACCAGATACCAGTCCAGATAGATTGGAAGAATACTAAGTAGCTTTCAGTACAGTTTCACGACTCTAAATACTATCGCGATGTATGAAGCTTGTGATAAGATAGATAACAAATAGATAGTTAAAATAGAAAAAGCACGATCACTTGAAACAGCGACGCTCGGACCAAGACTTGTCCTCTCATCAACCCTCTTGATCGCTCAAGTCTTTGTTGTCCTTCGTCGTTAGGGAGCAAACACCACATACCCCCCTCCAGGGCGAGCAATGCCCTCACTTCTTCTTAGGGTTCTTGGGGCTTTCCTTGCTGTTGGTGTTGCGATCCTTAGGCGCAGGAACCCCAACGGTGGCGGCGTCTTCTTCATCATCAATTTCCATATGAGCCGGAGGGGTTGGAATTTGGACAGAGGATGTTCTAGTGGAGGGACTGTTAGTTCCACTGGAACTAGGTCCTTCTCTGCGATTGTATGGGTATCCATCACGCTTGTCCCCAGAGCTGAAGCTTGAATGGGTACATTTGTTCTTTTGCTCGGCAATAGTGCGTTCACACCACTCACACTTCCTCTTGGTAGTCTCGAGGTTCTGCCATAGCGCCTCTTCTAGGAGTTCGATGCGCTAAGGATTAATCCAGCATCCGCCCTCAGGAAGCTGAGGAGCAGGGTGATTATTAGGCTCTGCAGGTATGTTATCCCTGACTAAGTTGGTGAATGATGGTGATGGGCCAGTGATTTCCAGACCATGGGTCCTCTCCTCAGTGAATCGTGAGGTGCCAGAGGCAAGAGATTGCATAGTGTTAAACGCCAGGGCGAACTCTCCATACCCGGCAGGCGTGGCACGATCCGCAGCGGTGCCAGCCCTTAGATGAGCATCGTATTCGAGATACACGCAGAGGAGGTCAATCACGACCATCAGATCTCCTTCTGCGAGCACATTGGGGAGGATGAAGTGTTGATTGCTGACACGAGTGAGTAATGGTGCCATTACAGCTACGATGAGGAGGATGTGGGGTGATTTAGTGAGGTCGAACATGATGGAAGGAGCTAGTGGGGAAGACGAGGGTGGAAGAAGGTCAATTCGGGTTTTATACCTGTCGACCTCGAAAGATAGGTGCCCTAACAACACCTGGGGCTCTTCTGCCAAATGATCCCCGTTTCCCTCCCATAGTTCTGAGACATCCTCGACCCTGAGTAAGCTAAAATAATCTTTTAGCACATCCAATTCAGCAACCTGTTCATAAGCCAGCCAAGTGATGTCTCCAGTTTTCCAGCATATTTCAAACTGAGCGTCACTGTGAGTTCCGGATTGAGACAGAATTTTATCGATCGCCCATTCTGACTCACTATCGTCAAATTCAGCCACTTGATTTTCCATTCGCCCTGGAAATAATTGATCATCGTTGGGGATATGAATCCTGAGGTATGACGAGTGAAAGACGGGATGCACTCCCCATTGTTTAAGCCGAGAGGGGAGTTTGAGTTTGAACGAGTTGTTATGATAGTCCTCAATGATTCGGTAAGGACCAATATATTTGGGGGCCAGCTTTCGGGCGGTCCCTTTAGGTAACAAAATGTTCTTAGTCGAAACATATACTAGATCTCCCAGGGCTAACGGGCATACCCTTCTTCGCTTATTCAGCGTCGAAAGTTTGCTTTACTCTTGCTGCCAAGATAGCATTGTGCGCGGCCATGGTGGCCATCTTCATTCGTTGAGTGAATACTCTTACCCCAGGGTACTCATCTGTCCCTGCCGTTTCCCATATCATTGCTCTAGGTAGTCACCCGTAATTCGCAACAAACAGAGGTAAGTTCGTAGATTCGGACTTAGTGAGATTTATTGCAAACTCAATAGCAGGAAGTTTCAATACCCAGTCCCTTTGATTAGGGGTGATGCAGGACCTCAACATTTGTCCTGATGGTCCGGTTAGCGCGCTCTGTTGCGCCATCTGTTTGCGGATGATAAGCACTAGACATCTTTAGTGTCACTCCTATGAGCCGATTGAAGTGAGTCCAAAAATTACTTGTAAATAGTACGTCCTGATTGCTGACTATGGCCTTCAGTAGCCCATGATACTTATACACCTCAGCGAACATCAGTTTCGGCGATTTCTTTAGCTGTGTAAGTAGTCCGACTTGGTACTAAATGAACCATAGTGGTTAACAAGTCAATTATGACAGTTATCAAGTCATACTCGCCATTGCGGTCATGCGATGTGGGTAGAGGTCCCATGAAATCAACCCCTATCGCTTCCCATGGGTATGAGGGGACTTTTAGCAGATTCAGCAGCCCATACGGTCGTTGGTTCGTCGGTTTGCTGCATTGGCATGTTTGACAAGACTGACAAAAATCTCGTACATCAGGAACCATCATCTTCCACCAAACAGTGTTCTCTTAGGTAGGACAAAGGTTTATCTGCCCCTAGGTGGGCAAGTAGAGAGTGCGCCTGATCGATCACGGTTTCAATGAGTTGTCGGTCACTGACTTTGATATCGGGTATGCACAGAGGTTTTCTATCTTTCAGTTTGACTCTAATCAGACCGTCTTTAACTTCAAAGTTGCGATACTCTTTAGGAGAGGTAAGTACTTTATTGAACATTACATCGCCTTCATACTGGTGTCTCATGTTTTCCAGTAGTTCTGTTTCATGTGGGTAAGTCATGGGAATGACTTCTGGGTGAGCTGTTTCTTCAGTCGCCGTATTGCTGACTGCTTTTGTTACTTTTTCTCTTACAGGTTCTGCACTCGGTACCCCCCCCTCCATTCGCGAGGCAAGGGGTGGCGCCATTATCGCCCTTGGGCCTTGTAGCACGAAGCGTCCACACATTCACCTAGTGAATTCTGCGCTTGACTCTGTCCTTGCCCCTGTCTCGCCAGGTGCAACCACTATAGGACCTCCTGACCCTTCCACCATCGCAGCAGGTGAAAGGATGCCTGGGGCAGGCAATGCCAGCGGCGTCCCCACTGCTCCTGACGCAGTCTCCTGATGTGCACAGCCCCATTGTTCCAAAATGCGGTGTGGGTGAGGAAAATAGACTCTGTGTAGATCAGAAGTCTAACAAGGGTGCAAGGCTTATACTTGTCCCGAGGGGATTGCTACTGGGTAGCGAGTCCTCAAATAAGTGCGAGGAAACAAAGACTAGACTCTGTCTAGCGACCCAAAGGGTTCTGGTCCTTACTAGGACTGGGAACACAAAGATGCGGAGGGTTCCCGACGAGCGAAACTCAGCGCGCGACGAGTGGAACTAACGGAACTAACGCAGAACAAACAGAACAAATGGGGAACAAACAGAACTAATGGGGAACAAACGGAGGGAAAAGAAACTACGAGCCTGCAGGAGGATGATTGGGCAAAGTCGGACCAGGCTTGTGTCTGGTACTTGCTCCAAGTCGTCGAATCCAATGTCGGGTGTTTCGAGTGGAACTCACGGGGGCGGGAACGATGCAATGTGATCAAGAATAGATTCGGGAAGATATTTTAGACAGTGAGTGGAGTACTGGGAAGTACTCTGTAAGTGGAAGTGGAGTCGAGTCTATCAGAAGGTAAAAAAACTAAGATCCCATCTATTGCTACCTATATAGGAAGGGGTTCCGAAGTGCGCTATGCTACAACCGGGTGAGGCTGTGAGATAAGGAATCGGTCTCGAGTAGCAGAAGGATCCGTATAAGTACCATAACACATGGGAAATGAGATAGGAACATGTTAGTGACACGGAGAATGTAACTAGTACTCACCAGTGAGGATGGAAGGACAAGGACAGGACAGAGGAGGACGTTCCGAAGGCTAAAGGGATCTGATGCATATAGTATGCGATTGTTCCACTGGGTTCCGCTTGGTTCCATGTAGTGGACAGCTCGGGGAAGATGTGGATGGGTAGCGGAATGCACGGGAAAATGGTGGGAAGGCATGGGAATTATATGGGATACAGGCCTACAGTGGGGACGTTCCCCACAGCGGGCACTACGCCGAGGCCCCATTCCAGCCTCAACGCCCACCAGGACCGGTATACTCACCAAATCTGATGCATCAGTAGGTGGTGCATTCTCATCGAACGTGATGTATTCACTGACTGCACGCACCGTGCCTGCAGCGTCAAAGTCGTACATCCTCGACAACGTGTCTGGCAAAATGTTGTGTGCCCCGGGCACATATTCAACGGTAAAGTCATACTCACCCAACTTTTCCATCCACCGTGCTTGACGACCAGACAGATTCCTTTGATTCAGAATATAAATCAGACTTTTATGGTCCGTTAACCAAATAAACGGGCATCCCTGAAGGATGTGCCGGTGCCTGAGCATAGTCTCTACCCCTGCTAACAATTCCTGCTCGTGTACAGGATAATTTTGCTGTGCTGAATTTAGCTTGGCAGAGTAGAAGGTGGCGATTTTTGCCATTTGCCAGTCCGCCCCCTGTGCTATTACACCCCTGACCCTGGTGGGGCATGCATCAGTCATCATCCAGACCTGAGGTGCATCCCGCCCATAATGCAACAGGACCCGGTTGTGGGTCGCACAAGCCGATATGTATCGTTTCACTTCATTGAAGGCACGTTCCTCCGTTTCTGTCCAGCGGAAAGGCACTGAATCCCCACATACTGCGGACAGAACTTCTAACGGTATGCGGACCCGATGTATATCATCCGCGAGGTATCCTACTGCCCTGATAAACCCGCGACACAGGTCCCAATTCACTGGCACCTTCCAGTTAAGTACTTTATCAACTTTATCCGGGTCCATTTGAATACTGCCATCACTCACGACGCATCTGAGGATCCGCATCACTGGCTCTAGAAACTTGAGTTTCTTTTCACTCAAGAAAAGCTGTTCATGCTCAAGGATTTGCACCACCTTTCGTACGTGCTCAATATGTTCCATTAGCAAGTCTGAGTAGATAATTATGTCGTCCAAATAGACATCCATGAAAATTCCTATATATTCGCTGAATATATGATTCATTACAGCTTGGTACATCGCTGGCACGTTACAATCGCCTTGCTGTAATACGTGACTGACCATGTTACCATCAGGTGTCGTCATTGCCATTCGTGGCACATGCTCTGGAATCACTCTTATTTGTTTGTAGGTGTCCTGCCCATCCATTAATGACCGATAAGGTTTCCACGCCACCCATCTCAATATCCCCTCCATGTCAGGTAACGGGGAGGTCAGCTTGCGCATATTTTTATTACACTCCTGTAGATCGACGACGGTACATAGTCAGTCTGTACCAGGTTTTCGTATGAATAGCATGGGCACTGTATTCCCCACGCTCGTCATCTGCCATCACCCCAAAGTCAGATAGTCCTGTCGCTTCTCAGCCCATTGGGGCCTCATAGGCTCCAGGCATTGAGAGGGCCTCCATGGATAGATTTTGGTCTCATCGATGAGGGGTATCAAATGATTAATCGCTCGTAGTGGCGGTAGGGCTGTCTCTGAGGCTTTTGAACATAATGGTTGGGCTAATTCCCGTAGTAATTCTCTCGTTTTCTCCAGGTTCTCGCTGATCAACTCAGCTGCCCGTGATTCCAACTTGGTCACACCATCCCCCTGCAACGCCTGGGGTTGTACTCTACCGAGGACCACTCGCGGGGGGTTCAGTCCCACCGTAACGCTGTGTGCGTATAAAAAGGGCGTTCCCAGAATCAAATCATAATTCTGTAAGTTGATAACATCAAAATATCGCTGGTGATCCATCCCCTGATATTGAAACCTAACAGTGGTCCCGTAATTCACCTTCAACTGTGATCCTTGCACCGCGAGCTGTATAGTGAGTGGCTTCTCCAGTACGGTGAGTCTGCACTTTAATTGTTCCGTGGTCATTAGCAAAATAAAATCTGCTAATGACCCCATGTTGATCAGCGCCCGCGCTGGGCGCCCTTTGATGTGTACCACCACTACGACAGGCTTTGGTATTGCCTGCACCAAATCTCACGTCGTAGCGGAATTTCGCTGCAGGGATGGGTAAGTACCCTGCGGCACCTGTACCCCATTAACACTAATACCTCCCCACAGATGATATTCATCTATCATCTCGCATGCTCGCACCAGCTCGCCGAAATCGATCAGTTCTCCTAACGCCTGACTTAATGTCTGCTGGGGCTCCTTTAGCGGGTCGAACAATTCGGTGAGTCCTGTGTATCGACCCCAGTCAAACTCTAGCAACTTATTGTTTAGCTGCAGGGCTGCCCGCCTGCACTTGTCATTTATACCAATGATTGGGGTTCCATTTCTTCTGATGCACCATACCTTGTGGTATTCGTACTCAAAATGAGAGGGCAGCATCAATGACCTCATAATCTCCTCCCTTCAATTGGGTACAGGAGAACCATTGAGAAGGTAGATTTCTCCATTCATCGTCTGTTGGTTGCCTGAACATGTCTAGCCATCGCACCACCTTATCACTGATGGGATCCCCCATGGGGGGTTTTCGGAGGGTACGTTTCCGTTCCCTGGTCCCAGTTCTTCGTTTGTTATGACCCAAACCCACGCCTTTGAAAACCCAGTAAGCTTTGTCGATACAGAAGCTAGGGTTCTCCAGCTGGGTCCTTTTAACAACGAAGTGTTCCAATTTCCCCAGTCGCAGGTAATCCACGACCAGATATTTGTCATCTCCCTGGTCCTGGATGCAAAATCGGTCTGGGTCATCCCAAGGTATTTGCTGATCTTCACCCTTGAGATCCCCAGGATACTGAATCCTAGCCAACAGTTCCTCCGCCCGCCTGGCCAGAGGGTCTTGAAAGTTAAATGACAGGCTATCATTCCCCAGGGGTTTCTTTATTGTTTCACTGGCTGTTTCTTCCAGGAAAATTCCAACTGATCCCAGGTAAGTCCCTTCTGCAGGTTCCATTGTCTCTGCTGATTGTCTCATTCGTTCTTCATCGCTCTGGGCGATGTGAACCCTGAAGCTGGGTATTCCAGGGGGTCTGTTAGGTACATCTGATTTGACGTGCATATTCTTGGGGCACTGTCACAAGACGTGCCCTAGTTCCCCGCAAACAAAGCATCTGCCTTCTGCCCGGTGGCGGTCCCGCTCAGCCGGGCTTAGGGCATCTCCTGGTCTATTGACATTCTTGCCAGTCCCTCTATCAAGTCCCCCTCCATTGGGTCTTTGGGCCCTGATATTATCTGGTCGATTCGCTTGCCTTTCCCTTGGCCTTCTCGATGACCCTGCGGGTCCATTGTTCCGGGCTTTGAATGGGGGTCTCGCGGGAGTTACGGCATTGGATCCTACTGTTATAGCTGGTTTTTCCTTCCGACCATTTCGTCTTTCTCTGTCTCTCCCTTGAGGGACCGAGTGAGCTATTTCGATGATTTCTGCTGCCACCTGTACCTCTTTAAAGGTAGATATTTCCAGATTCAACTCCTTTTTCCAGAGTTCTTGCTGAATTTCAGTGTTCAACCCAGTCCATAGATGAGTCACCCGGTCTCAGTCATCAATGTCCCCAATCATATTCCAGAGCTCGTTGAGTTTGTATATGTAGTCTCGTACGGGTTTGTCATTTTGAAAGCAGCGTTTTAACTTCTCTCTCTGTTTTGTCCTGAAGTTTATAGGGAAATAGTAGTTGAACATCTCGGTAAAGAACTCCCGGAGCCGCCAACGGTAAGGGTCTCCCGACACCTCACATATGTAAAACTCATGCGCTTTGCCCTTCAAGTAGTGTGACAGCATGAAAACTCGTTTTTTCGATTTCACCTTACCGTCTTCCACATAGGCGGTTCCTTTGGTGATGAACCTATGGAACGCTCTAGAGTCCACAGCACCATCATATGAGGTAGGTGGGATTGGCTTCAGAGTTGTCTCCCTCTTTCGTTTGGATCTTTTCCTCTTCAATTTTCGCTTATTCCTTCTTCTGGCAGCGTCATCACTCAAACGGGCCAGGGCTATGGTCCGTGCTCGAGCTCTCCGAGCTGCTAGACGAGGTTTCACTTTCCGAATCGGAGGAGTCTGGATCTCCTCTGTTTCTTTCGCCAATTCTCCCCAGCACCTGACCTATATAGGACCTAGGTGCCACCTGGTGAACTGGTTCCATTGCTTGGGGGGTGCACCTCCTCTCGCATCTGTCTGACGCGGGGTTGACCACCTTGTCTACCAAGGTTCTTACTGGGTCCACTAGGCAGGTCTTCCTAGAGGTTCTCTCAGGTTGGTTCTTACTTTTCGTGAGTTCCTTGATCTTTCTCTCATATTCTTTGTGTAGCCGACTTTTGGCTTTAGTGACTGCGGCGTCTATAGCCTTCTTCTTCTCAGCCGCTTGCGCTATGCTGTCGACCGTTCGTTTCTCCTCAAGCAGTTCTCCTGCGTCTGTGTCCGTCTCTCTGCCAGTATCGGATGCTGTAACTGACGGTCGGGTTATTTCTTTCACTAGCTTATAGGATGCCAGAGCCGCCCTTTGTTCTTCTAGGTCTATTTCTTCTTCTGAGGCTATAGCGCCCCAGTTCTGAGGGTCCGCTCCCTTTCCCTTTGACTGGTCCTTCTTCCCTTGACTCTACGTCTGAGGTCTTGGGGCTGGTAGTATTCTGATTAATACTGCCTCTTCTTTTTTCTAGTCTCTGATGTTCTGACTTCGTGAGTCTTCGTTCAGCCTTGCAGATTACCTTCTTCTACTCACTGGTCAGAGATTTGGGTGTTTCTGCCCCTGGCTTTTTCTTGCGGCAGGACCGTGGTCCATGTGTGGTTGTTACCACTCTCAGTCTTGCTGGACTGCTCACTTCTTTCATGAGCAGTTTCGAACGTCATATCTCTGTTTGTTCTTTTGGCAGGTGAGCTAGTCTCATTGCCCTCTGTGAGTTCTACGCTTATCACAGTGTCTACAGCTATGTTATTCTCCTGGTCAACTGAATGGTCATTCCCGGGGCTACGCGCACTAACCACATCGCTATATGAGTGGATGGATTTAGGTACAGATGAGGTCTCTCTTTCGGTCTCACTTTCTGTGGACTGCCCCACTGAGGTTAAGGGGGATCCCCCAGAGTTGGGCAGCGCAGCCTTTTGGCTCGGGCCCTCCACCGGGGTTTTCACGCTAGATAGTAGGTTAATGACGAGATCGCCGAACTTGTCACTCACCTTGAAATTCTTTTCTTCTGCAGGTGTGCCAACAGAGCTGGCTCTAGCGCGCATTCCGATCAGAGATTATCACCTGCTCCTGGCAGTATTATGGATAACCATAGCTAACTAGAGCCATGTGGTTATACTTCCTTGTCACGGACCCTTGAGGATATCCTTCATTATCCATTATCTATTACCTTGCTCCTGCTGCTCTGTACCTGTTGTCCCGCTTATATAATAGTTGATATTCTTGATCTCGATTGTGATCTCCTATGAGATCTGAACAATATACACAGCCACATTTTTCGCATTTTTAAAACTCAGCTATTCTTCTCATGTCAGGCCTCCCCACATTATTCCCACACATCACATGTTCGCATTTTTCAGTCACACAGTGTGGGAATTACCCCACAACACCAAAAACATCGCCTATTTTGGGAATCTCCACAATATGAATTATTCCCACACCCTCCCCACCTCAGTGCAGCTTCACCACCACACCACAATAGGTCTCCCTTCATATATAAGTAGTAGTTTGGTATATATATGTATATTATAATATAATAGTCCGCTTTTTTTGTTTATTTCTGTGCCTGCTCCTCCTCCAGGGCCCTTTCAAAATAGCCTAGGGTAAAGAACACTTACACACTTTTGCCCCTTTGATAGGGAAGTGTTCTATTGTATTCAGGACATATTTGGGAGTGTATATGAAGAGATTCCACCACTTTTTTGACCCCCTGAAGCGCCCTACATCAATAGATATAGCTTATATACAGGAAAATACAAAATATGTTCCCATGTATGTATTTCTAGATAGATATACTTGGAAAATTTATCCCCAGCATCTATTAAACAGCAGGAACAATGTATAAGGAGCCAGGACCATAGGAGAATCCCCTGTTCCATAGTGCACCCTCCCTCTCCTGGTGGTTCACCCCCTGTGAAAGATTTTCCTGTAGGGTCGGACCTTCAGAGTGGTGGGGAGTCTATTCCTATGCATATTCAGAGTATATCTATCACCTAGCTACCATAGGAAACCTATAAGGTCGTTCAACAGGAACATAATATGTAAAATCACATTTTCGACATTTTTGATGTTTTTCAGTATCTTACCCTTGCATACATGATCACCCCTGCTCATATATCATCAGTTGTATATATATATATGCTTTGTATACCAAAGATCAGTTTAAAATGGGCCGGAGTTTTGAGCTAGTGTGTATACTTGCTATTTCTACTGATAAGGGGCCCATACTTTTGAAACATTGAAATTTAATAATCAGACACCTGGAGTACATTTCACATATGTTCCGTATCATGGACTCAAAAATACAGAAAGATCCACCCAGAATAGAGAGCTGGGGAAGTGAAATAGATAAGAAATCAAGTGTGGGAAACTTTACATGTCCCGAAGTTCAAAACATGGAAAATGATCAGTTGGTGTATACTTTGCTATGGGCCACCAATTCAAACACTTCTACACCACATCCCCCCCATCAACACTCTGCCCTCAGGGCAGTATGTAGTATAGGTTCCTTAGGTAGTCTATCATGTATCCTACACATTTTTAATGAAATCTTCGACCTGTATCATATATAAATGTGACTTTGTGTGAACAGATGTCAATTGTCACTTTTCACATACATGTTATTTTGCTTGTAATTCACTCAATCCTTGATGGATCTTTCTAAAATGTTAAGGCTATAATTAGGGATATGTATTAGAGGCATCCCAGGTGTCCGATTAATAAACATTGATGATGCAAAGGTATGGGCCCCTTATCAGTAGAAATATCAAGTATATACACTAACTCAAAGCCCCGGCCTATTTTGAGCTGATCCTTGGGATAAAATGCATTTATATATGTACTACTGATGATATATGAGCAGGGGTGATCATGTATGCAAGGGTAAGATACTGAAAAACATCAAAAATGTCGAAAATGTGATTTTACATATTATGTTCCTGTTGAATGACCTTATAGGTTTCCTATGGTAGCTAGGTGATAGATATACTCTGAATATGCATAGGAATAGACTCCCCACCACTCTGAAGGTCCGACCCTACAGGAAAATTTTTCACAGGGGGTGAACCACCAGGAGAGGGAGGGTGCACTATGGAACAGGGGATTCTCCTATGGTCCTGGCTCCTTATACATTGTTCCTGCTGTTTAATAGATGCTGGGGATAAATTTTCCAAGTATATCTATCTAGAAATACATACATGGGAACATATTTCGTATTTTCCTGTATATAAGCTATATCTATTGATGTAGGGCGCTTCAGGGGGTCAAAAAAGTGGTGGAATCTCTTCATATACACTCCCAAATATGTCCTGAATACAATAGAACACTTCCCTATCAAAGGGGCAAAAGTGTGTAAGTGTTCTTTACCCTAGGCTATTTTGAAAGGGCCCTGGAGGAGGAGCAGGCACAGAAATAAACAAAAAAAGCGGACTATTATATTATAATATACATATATATACCAAACTACTACTTATATATGAAGGGAGACCTATTGTGGTGTGGTGGTGAAGCTGCACTGAGGTGGGGAGGGTGTGGGAATAATTCATATTGTGGAGATTCCCAAAATAGGCGATGTTTTTGGTGTTGTGGGGTAATTCCCACACTGTGTGGCTGAAAAATGCGAACATGTGATGTGTGGGAATAATGTGGGGAGCCTGACATAAGGACTCATGTTGGTTCTTTTGATGGAATGATCAGATCTAGATTGCAGAGAAGCAGGGAGAGGGGCAGGATAAATTCAAAACAGACACAAGAGGGTGATGCAGCCCAGAAAGGGTAGGAACACACTAAATAGTATTGGCTGTTCCATTATCCATCATGGACAGCCCCCAGAATGAGTAGAATCATGCCAAATTGAGTGTCTGGCAAATTATCCATTGTGGGAGCTGTAATGGATAATCTATCAAAGCATCAGTAGTCCGTGACAAGGAAGTATAATGAGTTGTCTCTAATTAGAGTCGGTTATCTATAATAATGACAGTATAGCCTGAGATTATAGGTAGAAGTCGAAGTCATTCTGTGTATCTGTGGTTTGTTCGAGTAACGTGGTGGGCCAGACCAGTTTGTCGAATGGTTATATTGTTTTTGAAAGAGTCAAGAAAAGGAGATGGGTTGGTTGAAGGTTAAAAAATATGTGACGGCAGGTAGAAGTTGGTAAGACTTTAGATGACGGCACAACTTAGAGACTCTATCGCAAGTAACCAGATACCAGTCCGGATAGATTGGAAGAATACTAAGTAGCTTTCAGTACAGTTTCACGACTCTAAATACTATCGCGATGTATGAAGCTTGTGATAAGATAGATACATCAGTAAAACAACCGGTTGCTTTTCCCGCTTATGTTACTTAATTTTTGGTGAAGGTAGCTAAAAACATTGCTTTTTCAACTTATTACACTTTTGAAAAAGCAAATTCAGCGCAATAAGTAGTACTACTAAGAGTCATATATACTGTTGTATACTAGGAAGAGTCGGCTATATTGTCCAAAAGAAGAAACTGACAGTAGACGCCGATTATCGGGTAAGTATCTTGAACTCGAAACCAAAACACTATCGACTCACATATACATCTTAACGCCATCAAAACTTTGCAGATGGGCCCTCAAGATCCTGTAAGTAACTTACATGCTGTGTAGATCGTTGATCGCTGACGCGATCGACAGCATTTAGTCCAAATTGTACCACATCGGCCAACAATGGCACCACAGACCTACCGGGGACAAGGGCGAAGGCAGCCGATTGTCGCGGATAAGCCAGAAGTGCCAGTGGCAGCAGATGCGGCAGTTGGGGAGGATGCGGTGGTTGGGGAGGATGCAGTAGTTGGGGAGGGTGTAGCTGGAGGGATGAGGGTGGTTGGGGAGGGTGTAGCTGGAGGGATGAGGGCAGTTGGGGAGGGTGTAGCTGGAGGAGTGAGGGTGGGGTTCTGGAGGAGGCTGAGGGGGTTGTTGAGTTGTTGGAACCGAGTGTCGCTCAAGTGTATCCATGGCGCGGCATAATCGTCGAATTACCTGTTCATGTAGTGGTGCATCAAATGAGGAGTGAGGGTGGGGTTCTGGAGGAGGCTGAGGGGATTGTTGAGTTGTTGGAACCGAGCGTCGCTCGAGCGTATCCATGGCGCAGCGTAATCATCAAATTACCTGTTCATGTAGCCGTGTGTCAAATTGCGGATGCAGACACAGAAGCTCTGGTTCGTGCTCTAAGGCCTGCGTTGTGCGAGGAGTAGGCAGGCGAATAACTTCGTCAAGTTCTTTGCGAACGTGCTCGTGAATGTCCTCGAGTTGCTTGTCCTGCTTTAAGACCTGGATCCTCTTTGTTGATGTGAGGGCTTCAAGTCGGATAACGGTGTGATATCAAGTTTGAGCTCATTCCCTTCCACTTCAGCAAATCATTGTATTCCAGTTGCAAGCAGCATCACTGGATGCACATGACCTTGTTCCAGAGCAAAGCGCGCACGTTCAGGAACAAAATTGCAGTAAAAACCTTTGATATGGTGTCACAAAGGCTCACCGGATGCAACAGCATGCAGCTGTGCAGACCTTCAGGAGATCGGTGTACCACGGGATCTTCCTTCTGGGCCAGCAGTCTTCTTGCGTTTCCTCTTATGTGTGTTGCTCTTGCATTCATCAGTTGAATGCTTCACACGCAACTCAATGGTGGGTATCCCCAATCCATTGAGCTCCATATCTTCCTCGTCCTGACCACCAACAACTTCAGCGAACAGCTGTATCCCATGTGCCCTGAAATCCTTGAAAGGGATAAGTGTCGCACCTGGGAACTCCTCAGATATTGGTTTGAGTGAAGGATTTGAAGCTGAAGTTATAGTTGTGATGATAGAGGCTAATGCGACATCACGGGCACTCGCATATGGAGCAGCCACGTTCGATGGCGACTGTGCAGGGTTGGTGCTTGGTGTGGCGGATGTTGATTGCGTTAAAAGAGTACCTAGTTGATTTTTGAGTCAGTAGTATTATACAAGTCTGAGTCAAATAGACCGACCTAAGATGCGATCTCAAACGCATGATGATCTGCAAACTTGTTTACATAGAATGCTCAGAAAGCATCATACAAGTCATAGTGCTTGAGGTCCTGTGGGATGGCATGTGTTCCGTAGATTGGGATGAGATGTGCAGCACAGTAAATAGAATCAACATGAATGATTCCGATTGACCGTGAATGGCCAACATCATACGAAGGTTGAACGATCCACATCCCAGTGTCCTCGTCGGGTCCATCATTGACTTTGTCAAACCAATGCACCACAGTGCATGGGTACAAAACTGCCTTGAACGTGAAAGAGAAAAAACACATGACACGGGCTATGTCCATGCCCCCCATCCCTTCGACACCTGCATCTGTGTTCACAAACACACAATCATAGCGCAGCACCTCATTTCTCCAAAGAGGACAAGCACGAATATACTCCCGACGCATGCCACCAATCCCACTACGGTCGCTGGGTGTGTAGAATATCGAAGATGCGCAGTTGAAGACTTGAATATCACCATCGAATCGAGGACACCTTGCGAGTGGGACGTCAGAGGGAGAGCGTTCATCATCTGGGTTTATTTGTTCGAATAGGAATCGGCGAAGGAGGTCGTAAAGATGGGGGATTGCAAGTTCTGTACATAAGTCGGGTACAGTTCATGCACATTTGCGTTCTGCGCAATTAAATAAGGTATTCATGGTCAAATATGAGCTGACTTACGGGGTGTCTTTGCCAACTGAACATGGGCCTGCACAACCATTGGGCTGTCAATAACTTTGCCCTCTTCATTGTCACCCTGTATCGTAATGTCGAGGTTAGGGAGTAGCACAATGCTATTCTCGTTAGCTTGATCAAGCTGGATGCCGTCAGGCTCCCTATTTAACCGTATATGTTCTAGTATAGATTTTGAGCAAACAATCAACATGATAGCACTATCAAACTCACTTAAGGCCCAAGCATTTCAGATAGACAGGTACCATCCAGCATCCCATGGCTCTTGAAATCAATGCGCGATGCTGCAAGTTTATCAAGGCGCTGGTTTGCCACCAGCATTTGGCCGAGGGCTTTGTAACAACTCGAGCACCTCCACGGTTCTTTGACGGCTTTGATGTGCTTTGTCTCTGTGATCGAGGAACAAAGGCCATTCGGTGCGCCAAACAGTCGGATAAGGAGGATGTAATGGGAACAAGAGTGTTGTTGAGGGAGGGAGAATGTGAGTACGACACCTGTGGACTCAAAGATCTTCCTGTAATGATGGAATCGGTCAAGAGCGTCCTGTATTTGAACCAATGTGGATTCCATGATAATATTATGCCGTACGAGATAGCAGAATTCAAGGAAACGCGCGAAATGTGTGCACCACATCTGTTGGGACAGTGGCCTTCAATGGCAGATAGATAAACCTGTACTGCTATTAGTCTGGTGGTCGCAATGTCCTAAAAATAATATCGAACTTACCTTCATCAGGGCTTTAGAATCATCGCCAGTCCATTGTTTGAATCCTTGGCCTTGCAGAAAACGTCGAAGACCTGAGAATGAGGCCACTGCAGCAATTCTTGATTGGCCTGAGCTTTGCAACATCGAATTCAGAGAAAATGACATACCTTCAATCTATATCATCCAGGATTTTTTCAGCTTGTTTCTTTCCATGCACATGGTGCAGATATTTTCCAACCCACTCAACTAAATGATCCTTGAAAGTTCCTTTAATTAATTGATGTAGGAGGTCCGGCACGATAAGTTCGTGAATATCAGCTCGAGGGAAATCATTTGTAAATGGCTAGGGAAGGATTAAATCTTAAATACAATTCTACAAGAAGATGCGTGACTTACGACAAGGTCACTGATGATCCCGTACTCGTCCCACAGATCGGTAGATGATACTTCTTCAATGAGTGCTTCTGTGTGGTCACAATTGCGATACAACGACTCAGAATCCAAATCTTTGCAATGTGACATACACCTGTGCATTCATAATGGTAAGGCGGAAGGTACATTGAAATTACTTCTAGAAACATACCTTGGACACCAAGAGCGCACTATACACGCTAATAGAACCTGCTCTTCATAATCTGCAATATATGGTCCAAGCCCATAGATAACGCGCCGATAGTGCCCATCACCGAAGCGGACAATCTCTGGTTTAGTCATACCAGGCCTTAAATTATTGAGAATCTTTGAGATGGACGAATGAAAGAGTTGCCAGCAATATTTCCGATATTTTGGGCAGGAGGCATGCTCCTTTGTAGCTGCTCGACTATAGTTAGTGCAGAACAATAGGAGTAGAATGAGAATTACTTTTTGGCATAGCTAGGAAGCCAATGATGGCAACAGCGTCACGATGCACACATCGAACGTTGTTATGAACGTTCCCGATTGATACGTACAGCAGATAGTAATCGTTGGCGCCAGTTGCCACTGAAACTGTTGTCTTGTCACTTCCGAGTATAACTGGCACAACGGTCAAGCCATTTGTATCCGGATCATTGGAAATCTTGTCCTACTGAAGATTGTCAGTTTGTATAGCTACATAAAACAAGGAAACAGAATATACCGCTTGGTTCCAAGCCCAGTCACCAGACATGAAGTCCTGCCATTGGTGTTTGTCGCCGTCAGTCGAGAACTTGCAGTAGGGCTGGTAATCCATCTCCGTTGCATAGTCTGAGTTCCCCAACATGTTCTGAATGACCTCATGGGGGTCTCGATACCAGACGTCATGAGATTCATCCATCCAGGGCAGTACATTGTCAGCTGGCTTCTCCCCCGTGTACTTAACCTGGAAAGATTGCCATTTGACATCGCCAAGAGTTGTACTGTCAATGGTCTTATATAAATCATGGCAGTCCGCAAATGGCGGCTTGTCGTTGTGTTTCAAGAGGGTCACGGCCCAAAGATCCAGTAAGATATTTATGTCCCCGGCGGACATTTGGTTGTGTGTGTACAGGAACTCTGCGGTTTCAAACTCAACACGATCCTGGTATGGAGTCCAATCATCAGGCGATTTGCTTGGTGGCGGCGTTGGGGGCACTCCATCTTCAAGGAATTGACCTGTTGCATCACAAGGACGACCTGCATTAAATACTTGCATTAGTTGCCACTAGCCAGAAGAGCTTCAAGAAACGTACCATTTAATTTTGGGTGATAGTTGCGGTATAATTATCACCTGGCCCCCAAAACTTCCCGTCCAGATTGTCAGGCTCATCGAGAGCCTGACCCGCGTCAAATGAGCCTGCGGGAAAGTCATCATGACCTGCGAAGAAGTCGTTATGATCTGTGGGGAAGTCATTGAGCGGTTCCTCAGGCTTGTCTTGATCTGGAGCTGATTTGAATGTTGGATGCGAAGTATTCCAGTGCTTTTTGCGCCCTCCCTGACTCTTGAAGTAGTGTTCACAGTCCAAGTAACCCACCAGAATCTGAAGGGCGCTGTGGTCCCTGCGAGCACCCTTGGGCATCCTAGAAAATACAGAGAAAAGGCAGGACCACGAATATAACGCCTTGGGAGCCATGCCAAAAATGAATAAGTTCGATGTACTATGTAACAAAGTCCGATTAGTGTGTGCGAGTCGATACTCTTTTGGGGCTTACGAGTTTTTTTAACTTTCAAACCCATTCCTTCTCGCCCCAGCAAAAGTATTATCTTTCGTGACTGGTAACTTCATCTCTTCAGCCATGTCTACCACAGTGAGTCCCTGTCATCAGGAAAATGTGGTAAGGCTATATAGCCACCCATAGCACTATAGACTGCTATACAGACTCCATAGCCCTATAGCTCGTATAGCCAAGTGCCCAATTGTGCAGGCTTACTACACCAGTGTATAGTGCTATATAGCTCTATTAAAGTTGCTATAGCTGGGTGGAACATACCACAACTATTGTAGCTATTATAGCTCAAAACACAAAGCAAAAATTTCTCTTAATAGCTGTTTGTTGCCATGATAGTGTTCTCAAAATTAAAAAAAAGCGAAAATTCCAAATTATATTTCAACTACTACAATACATGTAAACTAATAACTACAAAACAGGCAAAAATGCGAAAATTACAGGAGGAAGAGGCAAGAGAACTAGAAGGAAGAATCAGAGAGGAAAGATGAATACAAAAAAAAGAAAGACTTACCAAATAGTGAAAATTGCGAAAATTCTTGAGGGAAGAGGAGGGAAGGGAGCTAGAAGGAGAGGATCAGACAGGAGGAAGTGAGAGTCAGAGAAAAGACTTGCCAAATGGTCAAAAATGCGAAAATAGTTAGGGGGAGGAGGAGCAGGAGGGAAGAGAGCTAGAAGGAGAGGGTTAGAAAAAAGATTAGTCAAATAGTCAAAAATGCGAAAATTATGGAGGGAGACTTACCAGAGTTCAAAGCACCAGCACCAGTACCAGCACCAACAACATCAACACCAAGAGAAGGATAGAGAAGCAAGAAGAAGAGAAGAGAGGCAAAAACTCGAAAATTGTAAGAAAAATATGGAAGATAATCTAATGAGGGGGCAGTGGGGGGGGAAGGAAAGAATGGGAAAAGACTTGTTGGTTGACCGCATTTTTGCTTACATAAGCAGTGCCAAACAAAGCCACAACACAAGACTTGGTGAATTTTCGAGTTTTTGGTTAATAGGACTAGGATTATGACAGTAAGAAAAAGACAATGAAATTGACTGTTAGCATTAGGATTTTGAATACACATAAGGTGAATTTTCGCATTTTTGCTTACATAAATAAGGTGTACCTTAACACTTTTGAACCCTTCAATTCCAAGTATTTTCCTTATAACTCACTAAGATCTTGACCTATTGAAGTCATTAGACTATGGATAGACTTCCCTTGACAAGGACTACAACTTTGATTTAATCAAAAAAAGTTCCCATGGTCAAGTTGCTTTCTTGAACCCTTCAATTTCGAGTATTTTCCTTATAACTCACTAGGATCTTAACCTATTGAAGTCATAAGACTATGGATAGACTTCCCTAGACAAGGACTACAACTTTGGTTTTCATCGAAAAAAGTTCCCACGGTCTACTGGGGTCTATAGTTGTTGAAATGTTTTACTTCTAAATACACTTACCAAACTTTATGGTAATATATAGACTTTCATGATGTCTATACTGGTCTATAGTGCTGTGATAGCTTGCCATAGACTGTATAGAGCTGTGGTGTGCTATCGGGGCTATATAGAGGATGGTCCTCTATATAGAGATATAGTTTTTCCTGATGGTCGCACCCGTCCATCTACCACAATCGCTCGGCCTGGTCAGATAGTGCTCGATGCACAGATCAAGAGGCGTAACAAGGCGCAAAAGAAGGTCGATGATCTTGCCCTCAAGGAAGCAAAGGAAGCAAAGGAAGCACAAGCTCAAAAGGGACTGAAGCGCTTGGCTGGCATGCAAAATGAGATGGAGAAGGTGCAGGAGAAACTACTCACCAAAGAGGCGACTCCCATTTGGCCCAAGTCAAGGGCTCGTAAGGCAACTAAGCCTGTATTAGGAAGCAGTGATGTTCATACTGACAATATGATGGAAGTTGATGAGGCAGACGACCTCCAGGAGGCTGTCGAGAACATGGAGGATGAAATTCCAGGAGCGAAGAATGGGAAGAAGGCAACAAAGAGAGGTGAAAAGTTGCTGATAAAGGACACTATCAGGAACATGCAACAGAAGATGAGCGAATCATTATCGAAAGGGGAAGGTGATAACGCCAATGGCGTGGCACGTGTATCTGATGGGAAAGATATGCCAGCACCATAAGGCTTTCTTCTCTCACCATCCCTGATGTTGCTTCTCACTGAATCAACATTGTATTTCCTCAATCTTACTTCCAGTCTCAATGCGACCACTCGAAAATTTGCATTAGGCGGCCGGGTAACCAAGCTGGATTTCGGACGTCAAGCCCGGAAAATCAGAATCAATCTCTCACACACCCAGTATTTCAACTCAAGCACCTCCAACAACAATTTTCTCACAAGGCACTGCTTCCACGGCAGCAACTTCTGATGCCCAGGTCCCAATTCGGAAGCCTGTGATTGAAACTCCACACACCCTCATTGGCAGCTTTGCAGATGACATTGACGATACCTTGGAGCGTGATGCCACTATTGCACAAGGCAAGGGGAACTCAAAGGTAATCAGCTATTATTTGATCATTAGTGCTAGTATTTGCTAATTATTTGTTTTACAGGTAGCCTGGATATTCGAAGATAACTCGGACTTCAATGAGCCAAAGGAATCACCTGTAGAGTATGAGTCAGATGACGACTTTGTGCCCTCGGTTGCAGAACAGGAATGGTACTTGCAGGAGCCTAAGGCTCCATTCACACAGGTGGACAATCACAGGAGCCCTCAAGCGAAAAGCTAGTGTGGAGGACATCTCAGATGACGAGGGGTCTCTAGTGTCCAACTGGTCTATGGACTTGAATGACCCCGCTTTTCAGGACCCGATTGTGGATTCCGACTGACGCACCTCAGCCCAAACCTGTGGTCATGAAGCAGAAGATTCTTCGCACAACGTCTTCTGTAAGTACTGAACTTTTAATAACGCTCATTCTGATGCTTGTATAGACATCGGTATCTGTGGCAACTCCTGTTGCTGACGGCAAGCCGCATGCTCAAAAAAAGCTCAAGGTCGATTTATCTGACCCACCTGCGCACGACACTCCTGCTATCAAACGCCAGCCGAACGTGGATACCGCGCCAGAACAGATGAAGCCTCGTAGTGCATATCGTAATGTTGATCTGCCTGCTATGATGCAGGTCGATCAATGCTGGACAAAGAAATATCTACCTACTGTTATGCTGTGGGCTAGGAGCTATGAAGACATCTGGACCATCCCAGATGAAGTACTTCTCCTCCATGCCCAGCTAATTTTCAATGCGGTATACAAGGAGCTTAACATTACCCTGGTTCATGGTGGGGTGGTACATTCCCTTGTAAGTCCGTTATTTTCCATCGAGCTTGACTGACTATTTTTAATTAGACTGCACAGTGTATTTCCGAATGGTGGAGTAATTTCGGTTTGACGGGCATAGTCATCATCCTCGACTTTCTGACACGAAACTCCGACTGTGATCCTGTCGAACTTGCTAAATCTTTGCTTGTGGATTACACATTCTTGTTCGAGGACCCTGACAAGCCAAGTCCCCTCACAACATACCGTTCTCCCTTTGTTTTGCAGTTGTTGGGCACAGCGCACCTCAATGCCATCAATGGATATGTGGAGGTTCCTGAACTCGATACCCATATGTTTGCGACACGTGGGATGTCGCGTGTTATCGCTGTTTCTGCTGCGGCAGTAAGTTTAATTTAAGACAGTTTAATTTTACATTTATTTTTTTCCAGATCAAGCGTGCCCTTACCATGTTTGCGAAAAACAACTTGAAAGTCAAGCAGGTTTTGGTGTCAACGTCAAAATGTAAACTTAACATCAAACTCCCGAAAGTGCTCAACAGAACTACCGGGAAGATGAGCAATGCCCCTTTCTTATTTTCTGCAGCTCGCTGGGCTAAAGTTACTACTTCTTTCAACAAGTCGATTTTGAGCAAGCCTGCTGGGTACATCGAGACCACGATCCAGATGGCACGTGCTTCTACTGCCTTAAACGAAGCGACGGAAACACCCCAGAGCTCGCTTGATGACGAGGAGTCCAACGATGACGAACATGCTATGCTTTGTAAGTTTTTGTTATTTAGATTTCATCCTACTAGTACTACTGACATCTGTGACTACTACAGGATTTGTTTTCATTGTATCTACATGAATATCCGAGTCGCTGCCACTCTTTTATCCCGCAAGTCCCCTTTTTGGGAGTCTCCTTAATTAGCTTTTCATGCGTAATACTACCACTTTTCATGACATGCTTTTTCCGCTTTTTCTGGTTTTTTTAAGTGAATTAAGTGTGCAAAAAGCGAAAATTCAGAGATTGAGTGGGCTTAATAAAGTGACTCGCACTTTTTCACTCAAATGACTTAATGCTCCTTTTCCCGTAATTAAGTGACAAATTAAGTGAGAAAAGCAACCGGTCATTTTACTGATGCTAACAAATAGATAGGTAAAATAGAAAAAGCACGATCACTTGAAACAGCGACGCTCGGACCAAGACTTGTTCTCTCATCAACCCTCTCGATCGCTCAAGTCTTCGTTGTCCTTCGTCGTTAGGGAGCAAACGCCACACTCTTCCTTCTATGCATTGGTCTACCCAAGGGAGACTAGCGGTGAGTGATCTTCCTTATCAAGAATCATCTGCACACCGCACGTCGCAGACTCGACACACAAGAAAGTTTTCACTCAATCCTACCATCGATCCCGTTGTCTATCGTTTGTTACAGGTATGTGTGGTTTGCTCGGCACTACGTAATACACAGGCCAAATATGCTTACAGAAATTTCCGTGCAATGGAGCGCACTTGACTCGGAAGCCCTAATACGAACTTGAAGGAACGACCATCTTCCTTCGATTGGTCTGGCTAGGAGAGACTATTCTGGAGCGGTACTTAAGGCCCACAGGATACCCTATGACTCCGCGCCTCGCCAGCATCCGACCCATCTTGTAGTCTTCGCTCCCAGTCCCCGGAGACTGGCGGAGAGATGGCACCAGACATCACCTCAGATGCCAAAAGGTGTATCATTCCGCACCCTGTATCCTCGCGTAGTGAAAGAAGTAATAACTCCCAACCCGTGGCGGGCCTTCAAGTTCTTCAACATGGAACCTATGCCCGTGATCTATGCCTGCATCCCCTCGTATGCCATAACGTTTAATTAGCTGTTCTCACAGCTGCCATCCTCGTGAAACACCTGAAAGATCGGTGGGAAATCAAGATGAGGCCTAAGTCCTATGTACTCAAAGTATACACGCACAGACGCTAGTGATGAGCCTCTCAGAGCTCTTCAACGATGCCGCACCATTCATTTAGGTGACCGGTCCGGATAATCGGACGCGACGCGAAAATGAATGGCACGCACCAGCAACTGGGATACGCATGCCAACGACGAGTGCGTACATGTTTTCGCGAGATTATGTGTTGGACTTCGCCACCGCAGCACGAGATGTCTTTCGTATGATTTTTAGCATGCCGCTTCCAGATCAGCGAAGAAAAGATCGAGGCGTGCGGGCGCGCTTCAATCAGCCTCTAGTCCTGGCAGTGTTCCCTGATACTTCACGGGAGTAAGTAGTTCAAGGCTGATATCTGCTCACCATCTGATAGCGTAGAAGTGCAGCACAGCATTATTTATTTATTCCAGAAGACTCAATTTACTCGTGGCTCATGACTGTACCCCTCCCTCCCGAGTGCTGCGCCCGTCGTCTCTGCTCTCCGCTCGCGCACTGGGGGCTGGGGTGTCACTCTGTTCAGTACAGTCAAAGTGATTATATTCCCATAAATGTAAGAAAGAGTGCTTGGCTGATTGCCGTTGTTTTCTTCCTTAGTCACGTCAATCCAAGAAATCAGTCTGCCGTACGGATGAGCCAGCATTTTAACTTTTCAAGGTCATATGAAAATTTCAGATCAGCGGTGGGACGTTCTCCAGCCTATCTAGGGCTAGATAAGGCCCTTACTAGCTGAACAAGAGGGTTGGACAGGCAGAAAGGTAACGGGGTTACCGGTGACCAGGGGTGACCCTGTCAGTCGTGTGATTCTTATAACCTTTCCGTTGGGTGCTAACTATTGAGGCCAGCGATTCAAACACCAACGGGAGTACGTGCCGTAAACTCGGTACTGCTTATGTCGAACAATTGTCATTCGTCAACCAAACCCCTCAAACCCTTGCAGGATAACGAAATTATGTGCTCTATAAGTACTGTACGTCGATGATCAGCAGCTACCACTCACCCTTTGAGTTATCTATTTGATCTGCTCACATTCATGTCTGAACAAGGAGATGTCTATGCTCTCCGCTGGAATAACAATGCGTGTGGTTCGTCAGCTCCGATCAACCTGATTGTAGAATGGACCGCCGTGCTGAACCTCATCGTTTTACAGTAGTAATCATTACCCTGGTATCTTATGACTACGGTCAGGAGCTCTCATCAACCGTGTACTACAGCTGAGCATAGGATTATCTAGTGCTGCAGTTCAACAAAGAGGTAACGAAAAGGTTGTTTTCTGTTGGTCGAGTCCTCATTATCATGTTATCACAGGTCAAGTATGTCTGGGTTAGTGTTGGAGTTGTCAACCCCCCAGCCCCGGAGACTGATTGAATATCCAGGAAAGACAGTGGTCGCTGATGACATATCTTTACCTCGCTGTGAGCTCCGCTCTACCCGCGTGCTCCATAGTTTTTCACCTCGTTGCTCTGGCAGGTTCGATATTTTGGTATCTTCCTTGCAATGTGCGTCGCTGTGGTTGCGTCCTTCAGATGATACATTGTATATTGACACTGATTCTAGGCTTTCCGCCTTGTGTATGTGGTGCGGTGCCAACTGAGCCATCATTAGCTGACTAGCATCAGGGGGAGGACTGATGTACATGCCTGAGTCAGTGAGTTTTTCGACGCTTGCTATCTTCAGAGAGTTCTCGGCTGACATGTTCTAGTCGTACGTTACTAGTTCCCTTTACATTTAAGTCTCAACAGTCGTTGACCTTTTATTTAGCTGCGAGTATATCGTCTTCAACTGAAACTGTTTGCTCATCGTACGTGCAATGAAAACAGGCTACCCTCTTATAGTTTTAATCCAATGGAGTTATTCTGCATATTCATGCTTGGCGGAAGGTATGCCATACATTCTCGTCATCCCATTCTGCATACAAATTTGGATTACCAGTCATTCTCATGTGGCGTCTTTACGTCCTATATGACCAATCCAAAATCCTGCTTTATATTCTACTGGGGTTGTTCCTACCTATCGTCGCGCTCTATATAGGTATGGATATTTTTTTATACAGTCGACCTTCAGTGTTCTCGGGTAAGTCCCTTCTTGCGTCGATTTTTTTTTCAAGCTGACGCCTCGTTACATAGTGAAAGAAATAGTAACTGAAAACTTCAAGTACTGCGCGGTGTCCTTCAACATAGGGCCTATGCCTGCAATATATGCTACCATCCCCGTCATATCCTTCGATATCTTCCTAGCTGTTCTCGCAGTTGCCATCGTTGTGAAACACATGAAAGAACGGAAGGAAGTGAGAATGAGGCCTAACACCTACGTGTTGATGATCGTGCGATACCATATCCTATACTTTGTCCTGTGAGTTCCCCTTCGTCTATTGAGTTCTATGGAATTATTCATTGAATCCCGCTAGAAATTTGACCTCCCAAATATTCATGGCAATGTTCTGGGCCAACCTTCCGGTATGATCTGCCATGCTTCTAGAGAGATCGGCTCTAAAGCGGACACGCACAGACAGCGGTGTCGTATCTGTTATTTCTCTTCGCTGATTCCGCGCCATATATCATCGCGCCCCGTCTGATGATCAGCATCTGGGATACGCATGCCAACGACAGCTGCGTACATGTTAGTACGGCGTTCGCAGATTGTGTATGTTGGGCCCCGTCACTAAGATTCGATGAGCATGAGATGGACGGTGCATGATGGTACTAGAAGGCTTCTTTTCTGTTAACCATTGAGCACTCGGATTGTCATGATTCACGCGGGTTAAATTTGTTCCCACTTCAGTAATATTTAAATACCATGCACATAGGGACTAGCGACGAATCTAATATTTTATATACATACCAATCGAAGAGGCGGGAAATGAAAAGTCAGTAGAACAGTGACTGTGATGTGTCAGTACAAAACGCGATCGCCGATCGAAGCCTTTCAAAACCAAGGGACCCAGAAAACAGCTGTATGCATACGAGATGCGAGAATGTATATATAAACGAGAGCATAGGTAAAACATAGCGAAAACACAGAGCAGGAGTCGTAATCGTTGTAAAGGAGGACTGATATCACACAAAACATAGCAGAAACAACCGTAACAAAACCGAAAGAATGAGAATTCATAGTACTAGACTTAGCAATACAAAAGAACAATCATCTTCCTTTGATTGGTCTGGCTAAGATTAGTAACCTAAACAAATCCATGCGGTTCAACGGCGGTGCCACCTCAGGTCGTGACGATCCGCATAAATAAATATTGTGGGACGCAGAGGTACGACGAGCGCCGTAGATGTCACTGGGAAGCCGGGGAAGACCGTCAGGGTTGATATCGCTGTAGAGACGGTCAGTTGCTAAGCAGTGTGCTTGCGCATCGCGAGGAACACCCAAGAGGCACTCGCTCGGGATATGCCGAACATGAGGGGGGGCAGAGGTGTCAAGACGGCTCCAGAGCGTTGATTCAGGACATGTTCTCATCGTGAGAGTGATGACAGATGTCATAATCAAGCTAATCTCGAGTTAATAAAGATTCAACGTACACCCTCGAGATGGACCAGGGGTTGTTTGGTGTGAGAAGAGAGGGGCTCATTTTATCCAAGTATGTCGACACCATGGAAGCGGATGGGCGATTGGACCACATACCATAGATGTCCTCGTTGTTTCAGCCAGTGTGAAAATCCTAACGGGGCCGAGCCTGAGCGTCAAGCTTTTAAGTCCAAAACCCCAATGAAGGAATTTGATGGCTATGAGAGTACACACGCTGAGGAAATGGAGAAGAAACGCGTCAGAAGTGAAACGTCCAATATTTCATGATGGCAAACCGGGGGTCAGTCTTTGAAGTTTGGGTAACACTATAGCACGCGTGAAGTAACAGGTGCTAGGAACGCAGATACGAGAAAGAGATACTAAAAGAGTACTGGCGAAAGCGCTGCAGCACTACCGATCGAAGATCTGCCTAAGAAAAAGGTGCGCTGCGAGGGTAGCAAACCTAGACGGGAAATTATGCAATGCTCTTACATAGAGTGGCAACTAATTTTATAGAATCACGGCAGACGACGACGGGGCTCCTGTCAATTTGCCCTTACTAGGAACCTTACCATTGTAAGCAGTATTTCATGGAATTTGGACTCACCCCGCGGAAGGCGGGGTTTGAAAACATGTGGCTAGAGTCAGGGTGCTAGAGCTCGTTAGGACTGGTTAAGGCTGTCTGGGCTAGGTCAGTTAGGTTGGCTTAGAGTCAGGACTTGGGATATATCCTGCCTCGTTTCTTGTTAGGTGTTTAGATCTTTCGGGTTAGTTAGTGTGTGGTTGGTTTGAAACCCCGCTTTTAGCGGTTAGGTTGAACCTCCTGTATTTCACTTACGTCAATATCATCCCGAGAGTGACATTCACATATTTACCGGTCGGTGTGGAAACCCGTGTACTGTCATGTCATGCTATAAAGGTATATACACATTTGTAGTGATGCTGGATGTCGCCCTACGACTGAATGTTACGGTATGCTCATGCTCTGAACACGCCAGAATATCACTCTGGGGTATGTACGTACGCGTGCTCCGGAACCTCATGTGTCTGCTATCCGTTCCAACATCGTAGAGCACGCTCATCTGGTCTATCAAGAACAGTCGGGGCGATCTCTAGTCTAGGTGTATTTTCAGCATGAATACTGACAGAGTATAGATTACTTACTGCAATGTCCAACAACGTCTCGAACTAGACACCCATGTGAATAAATACGATCTGCTGTTCAAACGGAATCTTCTTCCGTAATGTCTTTACAGCCTTGTGCAACGCTACCGCAGCGCCTTTGCAGTCTAATCTCCCCGAATCATCCACCAAGTTGTCGTAGAAAGCGGAAACAATCAGACGTGCGACATCATCGTCGACAGACCACATGGAACCTATGACACTGCGAAATCCAGAGAATTGCATCGCCGCAGCGAGATGGATCGCCTCGTCGGGGCTCGTCTCATTGCCCACGGTAGTATGACAAGCCGATAGGAATGCAAACTCAGGGTTTTGCGAGTGGGATCGGATGATTTCCCTTATCGTTAAAGGGCCGTCGCACATTTCGAATGAAGACTCCAATGGTTGTTTTCGATTCGTCTTTCCATGGCAGGCTAGGTGAAGCCACTGATTTTGGCTTAATGCATCGAATGCTCCCCGAATTGTTGCATCGCTGTCCGTGAGCGATGTAAAGGACAGCGCGGGAGCGACACGCTCAGATACAACCGCTAGCTCAGCAGCGACACATCGAAGTTCCTTCCCTTTGTCCGGAGTTGCTTGACCGATGGCAACAAAATGCTGGACAGGCGAGTCCTGTGAACCCTGCCGTCTCGCGCGAATGAGAGCCGCCAGAGTTGGAGTGTAAGAGGAGATGTAGAAGTGAGAGAAATCATGGGTGTTCGACTGGTAGGGTCCTGCTGCGTGTAGTGGAAGCAGCGTGAACTCGGCGGTAGGACACCACCAGATGCGTGAGCCGCGGGGAATGAACTTCTTGAGCACTTCATATACAGGGCTAACAACACTGGCCCAGAGCTTGCGTAAGATGCCAACAATCTCGGTTGATTCAAGTTGACGATCAGAAGAGCCGGACAAATCTACGAGGCCCTGGAACTCGGAGGACAATACGGAGACCTCGGCTCGTGTGATATCAAGTGGGACATGGACAGGATCTTGGGCAATCAAGATGATCAAGGCGTCACAGCTGTACCGGCTTGCATTGACGATAACGACTGGACCATCTTCTGCCGCCTTCTGAAGGTCTGAGAAGAGCGGATGTAGAAGAAAACGGGAGAAGTCGGGCAGCATGCGGATGCGAGATATGACATCATCACATTGCGCAGTCAGCTGCAGGATTTGTGATGACTGGACTTCAGTAGCTGGTTCTAACGCTTTACCAAGCCGAAAGCGGAGTCGCTTGTACTCTTGCGCCAAGGATTCACCAGCATCACCTGACTCCGAAAGTTCATCAAGTGGGGTGCGGGAGCGTGCCAAATGGGTCCAGAATATTGCACGACCTTGCTCCACCAATTCCACAGCAGTCATCAGATCGCCATGACGGACGCCGAACGAGAAGGCATCCATGGCAAGGGATGACGTTGTCTCTCTAACCACATCGAAATGGTGCGAAGAAGATGACAAAATAACAGCGTGTTGATCTAAGATTTTCAAGGTGGTCTGGTAGGCAACTAATGCAGAGCCATGATTCACATGCTCGGCGAAGGCAGTCCATGCCCTGGCAGTATTAAGATCCTGACGAGAGACTGCATGAGATGCTTGAGAGAGTTGTGAATAGAGCGCAAAGGCTTCGTCCAAGTCTGAAGATAGACACCCAGGCTGCTGCTCAAACCTTGTTCGAAAGCCCATTGCAAGGTCGCCGAGAAACAGCGGTCGATCAGAATGGCCAGGGGGACAGAGTGCCAGTGCAGCACGATGAAGCTCAATAGATTCATCCAGGTCGGACATGACACCCCACAACTCGAACCTGGCTGCAAGGTTGCGTGCAAGGCTGCCGAGAGACCTGAATTCATTGGAATGACCAGGGGGACAGAGCGCCAGTGCAGCTCGACTGAGCTTAATGGCCTCTTGCAGGTATGACAGGGCACACCGCCGCCGGAATCTGTCTCGAAGGTCATCGGCCAGGATGATGAGAGCAAAGGGTCGATCAGAATGGTCAAGGGGACAGGCTGGTAGTGGAACTCGATAGAACTCAATTGCATCTTCCAGGTCAGACAAGATACCCCGCTGCTGGAATCTGATTCGAAGGCAGGCAGCAAGGTTGATGAAAGGCAGGGATTGATCAGCGCCGAGTGCCAGTGAAGCCTCGTGGAGCTCGATGGCATCATCCAAGTCAGACAAGACGCCTTGCTGCAGGAATCGATCTCGAAGGGTGGTGGCAAGATTGTTAAGAGAGAAGAATCGATCAGGATGATCAGGGGGATAGATTGCTAATTCAGCTCGAAAGAGCTCAATGATATCATCCGCGTCAGACAAGATACCCCGCTCTTCGTATCTCTTTCGAAGGCTGTTGGCGAGGTTGACGAGGGACGTGGATCGATGAGAATGACCAGGGGGGCGGAGCGCCAGGGCAGCTCTATGGAACTCGATAGACTCATCTAGGTCAGACGGGACGCCCCCCAGCTTAAACCTGTCCTGAAGGTTGATGGCAAGGTTAAAGAGACACCCGGATCGTGTAGAATCGTCAAGATGACAAAGTGCCAGTGCGTCTCGATAGAGCTCGGTGGCATCATCCAGGTCAGACAAGACGCCTTGCTGCAGGAATCGATCTCGAAGGGTGGTGGCAAGATTGTTAAGAGAGAAGAATCGATCAGGATGATCAGGGGGATAGATTGCTAATTCAGCTCGAAAGAGCTCAATGATATCATCCGCGTCAGACAAGATACCCCGCTCTTCGTATCTCTTTCGAAGGCTGTTGGCGAGGTTGACGAGGGACGTGGATCGATGAGAATGACCAGGGGGGCGGAGCGCCAGGGCAGCTCTATGGAACTCGATAGACTCATCTAGGTCAGACGGGACGCCCCCCAGCTTAAACCTGTCCTGAAGGTTGATGGCAAGGTTAAAGAGACACCCGGATCGTGTAGAATCGTCAAGATGACAAAGTGCCAGTGCGTCTCGATAGAGCTCGGTGGCATCATCCAGGTCAGACAAGACGCCCCGCCGCAGGGATCGGTTTCCAAGGGCGGTGGCAAGGTTCATGAGATAGAATAATCGATCAGGATGATCAGGGGGACAGATTGCTAATTCGGCTCGAAAGAGCTCGATGATATCATCCGCGTCAGACAATATGCACCGCTGCTCGGATCTCTCCCGAAGGCTAAGGCTGCTGGCTAGGCCGTTGAGAGACTTGGATCGATCAGGATGTCCAGGGGGACAGAGCAACAGTGCAGCTCTGTAGAGTTCAATGGACTCATCCACGTCAGACAGGACGCCCCCACGCTTGAATCTGCATTGAAGGCTGGTGGCAAGGTTGTAGAGAAACATGGATCGCGTGGCAAGGCAAGGAGGAGAGTGTATCAGTGCAGCCTTGTTGAACTTAGTGGCATCATGCAGGCTAGATAAGTCACCCCGATGGCGGAATCTATATCCAAGGCTAACAGCAAGGTTGCTGAGAGACAAGTATCGATCGGAATGGTCGGGGGGATGGAGTGCCAGTGCAGCGCGACGGAAGTCAATGGCGTCGTCTATGTCAGACAGGCAGCCCTGCAGCTCAAATCTCACTTCAAGGCTGGCGGCAAGGTGGTTAAGAGACGTGGATCGATGTGGATGTCCAGGGGGACGGAGTGCCAATGCAGCTTGATTGAGCTCAATGGCCTCCTCCAGGTCGGACAGGTCGCCCCGCTTCTGTAATCTGTCGTGAAGGCTGATAGCAAGGTTGTTGAGAGACGTGGACCGATCAAGTGGCTGAAGGGCCAGTGAAGCTCGATAAAGCTCAATGGCATCATCCAGGTCAGACAGGTCACCCCGATGGTGGAATCTATCTCCAAGGCTGATAGCAAGATTGTTGAAAGACGAGGATCGATCAGAATGGTCAGGGGGGTGGAGTGCCAGTGCAGCCCGATGGAGGTCAATGACCTCCTCCAGGTCAGTCAGGTCACCCCGGTGCTGGAATCTGTGTTGGAGGGTGATAGCGAGGTCCTCGAGGGACGTTGGTCGATTGGGATGGTCAGGGGAGCGAAGCACCAATGCAGCCCGATAGAGCTCAATGGATTCATCCAGGTCAGACAGGACGCCTCGCTCTTGGAATCTGTCTCGAAGGCTGGTGGCGAGGTCGTTGAGAGACATGTGCCGATGAGAATGGTCAGGGGGGTGGAGTACCAGTGCAGCCCGGTGGAGGTCAATGACCTCCTCCAAGTCAGTCAGGTCACCCCGGTGCTGGACTCTGTGATGAAGGGTGATAGCGAGGTTCCTGAGGTACGTTGGTCGATCGGGATGGTCAGGGGATTGAAGCGCCAGTGCAGCTCGACAGAACTCAATGGATTCATCTAGGTCAGACAGGACACCTCGCTCTTGGAATCTGTCTCGAAGGTTGGTGGCAAGGTTGTTGAGAGTCACGGAGCGACCGGGATGGCCAGGGGGACAGATCGCGAGTGCAGCTCGAAGGAGGTCGATAGCATCAGACAGGCCAGACAGGCCACCCTGCTGCTGAAATCTTTCTCCAAGGCCGATAGCAAGGTTGTTGAGAGACGAGTATCGATCAGAATGGCCATGGGGCCGAAGCGCCAATGCAGTTCGATTGAGCTCAATGGACTCCTCTAAGTCAGATAGAACGCCACGCTCCTGGAATCTGTCTCGAAGGCTGGTGGCGAGGTCGTTGAGATACACGGATGGGTCAGGATGGTCGAGGGGACACTCCTTCAAGGCCGCCCGCTTCTGCTCCACATCGTCTGCCATGTTGATGAACAATATGCAGTTGATCGAAGACTGCGAAAAACACAGGGAGGGTTGATAAAGATTGCAAGTGTCTAGCTAATGAGTATAAAGTGAAATAAGATCACGGTCAATACGCACGGAAATTCGACCACTATGACAGTGGACACCTTGGGTGACTGAGCCTGGACTTATTCATAGTAGACGCCGAGGCGCACCGACCTCATGCAATGTCGTTGATAGATCGGTGATGAATTCGACCCGTGATGAACTTGGCCTGGGCTTGGGGTGTCCTCGTAATTCGTGTGCCTGAAGTATGTGCGCTACTTTGAAACCTTACTAAGGGCCTGTACAGGAACGACGGTACTGACCGTATCATCATGCAATGTTGACTCTGGGTTGTCTCTGTCAGGTCCAATCGTTCCGGCTGTTTATAAGTTGCTTTGTTGGCAGATCAGCTAGTGATATTCCCCGTTACGATACCACTCTAGCTTACAGGCAGTGGATGAGCGTTCTCACTGAAAGCTCTCTGGAGTGGTATTCTTGCAGAGCAATCAGATTCAAGCTCCGTGCACTCGCTGCATTTGAAGTGGCGATGATCTACTCTATGTAGTCCATGGCTCTCTCCACCCACAGTACTCCGTCAGGTAATCGATCTGTAGTCCCCGACAATGCTTCCAACTGATTTGCTAACCAGGATTTTTGTTGCCATCGGTCCACTCAGCGCCCCCATTCTTCACGTACGCATACTCTCATTCCAAATCCTTACTAAACTTTACACCCTCCAAACAGTGAGCAACCAAACCCAAACACCCAAGCGCACCTTACCGAGCAATGGATCCGTCTCATCTTGACATACGCGAGACACCGGCGTCTCTTTGTGCTGCGCGTTGAGGACGCAGAGGTCCCGGGCGGCCATTGGGACGAGATCCTTCGTAATGAGAGGATAAACCGTGCGTCTCTGTGCAACTTCTTCTTGAAGACTTGATGTGACATGGATGTTTTAGGACGGATCCTACCACCCTACCTCTCGTCGTTGATGGCTGCCATGGTCGCAAAGAACCTCGCCGTGTACGACCCGCCCAAACAGACTCGTGCGGTGCTGCTATACTGGCGTCTTCCGGAAGAATGGGCTGATGTCCTCCATTCATGGGTACGTATCCAAGCCTCTCCATTTCCAGTCAAATTTATGGTCTCCTCGTATGTAGGCAACAGCGACTGGTCAGCTCAACACCATCCTTACCTTTTATGAGATTTCAGACCCTCCCATCCCGTCACCCCTTTCTGACATACCTATACCACTCCTACGGCGGGCTATTACCGTCCTTTCACGCTCTAATCGAGCACAGATCATTGGGGTTGCCGATGGCGAAGGCGTCAGGTTCTTTGTAGGATAATCTTTAGAACAGAACATTGGACTCTTATAATGATGTACGTTGCTGTATTTCTTATTCGCAAACTATGGTAGTGCCGCAAAGCAGGGTATGAAACAACAGCAGTGATAATAATGGTACACATCGCAGCCCTAGCGTTATTGCACGAACTTATGATTTCTTGTCAAATCTGCGTCTTGATCCCAGCATCGCGATCCCCTTCAGATGACCCCTTGAATCCAGATTTAACGCCAAGTCAGGCTTGGACTTCAATGCAGGGACTTTTGTCAGCGAAAAACCTGTCATCTGCTTGGAAGGCGAGAGCGGCTTCGCACTACCTCGCTCTTCAATAGCCCTCCCCTTTCCCTTCGCCAGTCCAGCAGGCTGCAATGAAACTTTCACTACCTTGGTCGGTCGCGCTCCCATGACGGCGTCCTCCTCGTTCTTCCGCTTCTTCGTTTTGGACACTCTATTGTGCCCAGTGCCGTCCCTTTCAAGGTTCCATTCCGATTCGAAGAATACCGCAGGGCGCGGGCGATCCTCGGGAAGTGGTCGTTCGCGGTCGTCCACGCTTTCCGTTGCTCGCCCACCCCGTAACCAGGCACTACGACTGGGCCCAGTTTGGTTTTCATCGCCTTCATATCCATTCTCCTTGCCCGAGTCGTTGTCATAATCACTTCCAATCTCAATATCGAGATTGTCCCCTCGAACATCACACACATCGTCTAGCCAGTCCTTGTCAAACGCACGCTCCAGTCTGTCAGGGGCGTTTCTATCGACAACCAAGAGCGACTGGTCTTCCGGATCCTCTGCGATTTGTTCGATTTTCTGAAGATATAAAAGGTGCGCGTGCTTTTCTTTGAGAGCGGTGTACTTTATCTTGTTTCTTTCAGACTGTGGGAGGCAAGAAAGATCACTAGCAACACTTGCTTGAAATGAATGCATACTCACCGCCACCTTCAATTCATGCGCACGGTTCTCAAATTCTCTTTTCCTCTCCGCCAACTCTTTCATTCTCTCGTCTTGTTCTTTGTTCTTCTCTTCTGCTTTCTTAGCATCTTTCTGCGCAATCCTCCATTTTTCCCTCCACTCCTGCGCCGCGTTCTCAGCAGCTTCGTACCTCTTTTGTATTTCAGTACGCGCATGATCTGCTTTACGGCGCTCGTTCTCATGAGTCGTGCACGTACTCTTGAGGTCCGCATTCTGCCCCTCGAGAACGGCATACTCCCCTTGCAACCCCAAAAATTCATCTTCCAACGCATCGCGCTCCTCACTGACGCCTAAAAATTGGTGCTGCAATTGTTCTAAACGCTTTTGCAAGCGTTTTATCTCCGTGGCATATTCCCGCGTTTTCTTGCGCAGGCTAGAGACGCGCTCTGTGGTTGAATCAGGGTCATCGGAGAGCGTAGGGTCAATGTCGATGCCTGAATCCCTAGGTGCGGATTGTGTGCGGGGCTGAGTGAGCGATCGATGAAGATTTAGGAATATTTGAAATGCGTCTTTGCGCTGGATGCGCTTGCGGCAGGTGGGACATTTGAAAGGGGGAGGTCCGGCAAAGAGGGTGTCTATGCATGTTTTGCAGAAGCCGTGTCCTGCATATAAGGCGCGACATCATTCCAATGAGTTGGACGTGGTCAGGATTGCAAGAATCACGGATTGACTCACCACACTTGAATGACCGCATGTCTTTCAGTGAGACACCATCAAGGTGAATAGAACATTCTACCAACAGCTCATCCATCTTCCCGCACTAATCGGTGACCTTGAAAGATTATGAACGTGCACTTCAGCGTGCGATCGACTACCGGATAGATGTGTACAATGTATGCTCAGACAACAGTTTGATCGTTATTTTGATGAAGGTCGGAAGTAGATGTATATTCAGCTGTGAAGATGATCCTGTAGCATACGCATACGGCATACGTTTATGTCCTAGAAATATTGTTAGTGTAGAACGCGTTCTGGTCAGGTTGAAGGGCAGAAGGTGTCATGTCGGTCACGTGAACGTGACTGTTACTGACGCGTTACGTGTTTGTCTTCTGAGTTTGATCTCTCGAATCAAACGATCTACTGTTCAAATGGAATATTCTGCAACGTCTTCACAACGACGCTGCTGCTCCCCGGACCACCAACCAGGTTTTCATAGAAAGCAGAAACTTGAACAACTTGACGTGCGACATCATCATGGATATCTGCACCGGCCCTCTTCTCCTCAGGCTTTAATGTTCCTAATTCTGGCACGAGCATCCAAATTCTAACTGGTCTGTTCAAGTCACTGGCTAAAATTTTGTTCTAACAACACTACAGATCTACATCTCAAATCTCCCTCCAATGACGACTTGCGTTTCACCCCCATTCGATCATGCTAAAGCAGACGTTATCTTACGGTCAGCTGATGGTGTCGAGTTTCGAGTCTTCAAGCTGCTCCTCTCCCTTGGCTCTCCATGCTTTGAAGGAATGTTCGACATTCCTTAGACACCTAATGGGACTCTCGATCAAGAAATGAAGGATGGCTTAGCAGTCATCCCCATGTCTGAGGACAGCAAAACTCTGGACTCATTTCTCAGGTTTTTCTACCCATTGTCACCCGCCGAAGATCCTACTCTCGACAACCTAGCAGACGCTCTACTTGTGCTCATAGCAGCCAAGAAGTTTATGTTCGACCTGGTCGAGAAAATAGTGTGTCAGGTTCTGCTGAGTACGAAGGTTCTCGAAAAAGAGCCCCTTCGCCGGGAGCGCGTGGCTCAAACACGAAACCATCATCGCTGCTAGATACACCTTACGAAATCCCTTAATTCCCGCATGGTTTGCAGAGATCAAATATATCACCGCATCTGACCTTCTTGCCCTGCTCACATACCACCAAAATTGCGGTATCACCGTACAAGCCTTGGCGAACGACTTGAAATGAATGACAATGCATTATGGTAATCAGACTAGCTGCAGCTGGATGTTTGGTGTGACACATAAATCTCCCGGCTCTCACCAGTACTGTGGTTGCGTACTGGGTACCGACCTTGGATTTTTACCATTCTCTCTCGTCCCAGTTGCATGGTGGACAAAATTTATGCAGGGGGTATTCGAGTTGTTGAAGGAGAACTTGTCCGGCGACACTGAAAAGAGCAGCAGACAAGACAGTCGAAAAGGTCAGAAATGTAGGCTGTTCGACTTGCTCGGGTCAGGTGATGGCGAAAATGACGGAGTTTGGTGAATTGTTTGCTCGGAAAGTCGAAGAGGCTGTCGATCTGGTATGTACCGTGCTCTAGATATCGATCACGGACTAATTCTGATACCTCTCGGTAGATCGAGCTGAAGTTGGGACTTTGACTATCATCGTAAGCAAGACGATATATAGTATTGTAGTAAAACAGTGTCTGAACATAGAATCCGTTGATTATCACTGGTTTCTCCTCATCAAATCGTAACGGCGCTTCAGGTCGACTCGGAGGTATCCCGCTAAACTTAGCGACGATTGAACTGGATGTTGGCACAAGCGTGGACTCGGTTTTCAACAACTACGACAGAAGCAGCAAACGAACATCACCGAGGCTCAACTTGATCGACGGATACTTTACACTTATTCCCGACAAAGACATAAGAAAACGACGGGGAATCAGGTCGAGAGATTTCATGACTAAACAAGAGAGAAAACACATTTCCAGGCGTTCATAGCATCGATGGCAATCTAACAAGCCCAGAGAGACTCCCAAACACGCTCGATCCAATCCTTCTACCAACTCTCTATAAACGTGCCCCCTCCATGTTCTCGATTCTTCCGCTCCAACGCCACCACCTTTTCGGTGGTTTCCGCTCCGTATTCCGCACAAAGTTACTTCAGGATGATGTCCCGGCTCAATCCAGGATATCCGCTCATGAGTTTGAGCATGTACTCCGCTATAGACTCAACACCCATATTAGTAGTGTCCATCATGACCATACCCCGGACGACCCGGAAGACTATTTTCGCCCCTGGATCATCGATCACAAAGCGAACTGGATCACCACTAGCAGTGAGGAGGAAACAATCTGCACCTCTGTCGACTTCAAGCATCTCAGCTTGACGCTCCGCAGCAGGGGAACGTTGGCCATTGCAAGGACCCACGCCAATATCTCTGAGAGTGAACCTTCCATCCCGCGTCTTTACGAGGTTGCGAACCATGTCAGCGACGGGATCGCTGAATGGCCAAAGGCTGTCTCCCTTGGTTCCGCTCAAGCCCTTCTAGCAGATGAAACATGAAGGATTGCGAAGAAGGTGGTATTATAGGACTACTACACGCACTGAAAACAATAAGGTACCTCGAAATTGAGTTTTGCTTTGCATGTACTGCACACCGTGAAGCGAACATCTTGTCCGATGTCTTCCGGTGTTTTCGCGCAGTTTTCGCGCAGTTCTCGCGACGGATAAGAGGTTTGTCCCTGAATGTCATTTCTGCCTGTGCCAAAGATTGAGCGAAATATCCGGATGATGTGCAGGACATTTTTGTTAAATTTCTTGGATCGGATGCCATCATATCATTGGTCGAATCGGAACGTGCACCTGATGAATAAGAGAAGGCAAATGACTTCCAGACGTAAATCCTCCGCTATTCGATTGCCTTCTTACCGTGAGTCATTGAGCCTGCAGGGATTTCTGTATAACGTTCCTTCACCGCGCCATCGAGCGTCATAAGTACATGATGGTCAGAGACTGAAAGAACGCTATAGTAGGATCCTGACTAGTAAAAGATCATAAGGGATAGTATGATTGTAGTTCCGAACGTAAGCGGTAGCCTTTTGGGACAGGCTAGTTCGAGATTACAATAGTACATCGACGCACCATATGACCAGAGACTTTTGATGGCCAGAGACCCTTCAAGTTGGCGGAGATGAACGTTTAAGTACTAGTACGAGTAAACCCAATTTAGAACTGTCTCATCATTTGCACGCCGATGCATTGGCATCACAAAGAAGCAAACAAATGTCCTCTATCTAGTACATGCAACTTGCATGCAATACTCATGATAGTAAAGCCAGACAAGAAGACAGTCATCCCTTCTTGATTATGGGTAGGATTGTCACTTACCGTTTGCGACCGAGCCTCCAGTTTCAATCTCACGACATGGTTCATCTTTCTATGTATCTCCTTCGAATCAATAACCGTATGTCATAGGCTAATTCCCAGATTTCTGTAGTCTCCCCTATAGGCAGCCAGACCAACTGAAGGAAGATAGTCTTTCCTTCGTATCAAGATTTCGGATTTGGACGTATGGAAGGCCCAGGAAGGGCCTCGAGGTCAAAGAAGATGTGATGATGCTGAATACAGAAATCTGTGCCCTCACGAGGGTTCAACCTGGCGCATGGCTCTTATCAGAACCTCTATTATCGTATCTGAATCCTAGGTTCTTTTCCTGATGACAAGCACATCCCACAATTTTCCGCCGGTACGTACAAGTCACTGGATTCCGTTGACATGCTAATGACACCACAAAAGCTAGATCACGAATCACCAATGGCAACTTGTGCTTCATCCCCATTTGATCACGCCAAAGCCGACGTTATCTTACGATCAGCTGATGGCGTCGAGTTTCGGGTCTTCATGCTCTTCCTCTCCCTCGCCTCTCCATTCTTCGAGACATTGTTCGGTCTCCCTCAGGCACCTGATGGGGCCGCCGATCAAGAGATGAAGGATGGCTTAGCAGTCATTGCTGTGTCTGAGGACAGCAAAACGCTAGATTCATTTCTCAGGTTTTGCTATCCATCAACGCTGGCAGAGGATCCTTCCCTCGACAATTTGACGGATGTCCTCTCTGTGCTTGCAGTTGCGAGGAAGTATTCACTTGACCTGATCGAGAGAAAAGTGTGTCAGGCCCTGGCGAATCCCAAGGTTCTCGGGACAGAGCCCTTTCGCTGCTTCGCAATAGCCAGGAACGCACGGCTCAAACATGAAACCATCACCGCTGCTAGACAAACCTTACGGCAACCCTTAATCCCCGCGTGGTTTGTGGAGATCGACCTTATCACTGCATCCGACCTTCTTGCGCTGCTCACATACCACAAAAATTGCGGTATCGCCGTACAAGCCTTGATGAAGGACTTGAAATGGATTACAGATCATTATGGCACTCAGAATAGCTGCAATTGGCTATTTGGTGCGACATATAACCGTTACGGCTCCCGCGAGAACTGTGGCTGCGGATTGGGTACGGACACAAGATTTTCGCTCTGGAGCAGCGCTCCAGTTGTATGGTGGGCAATCTATATGCAGGAGGTATTCGAGTTATTGGTGGATCAACCGTCCAGCGACACTGTGAGGACAGCAGCGGACAAGACAATCGAAAATGTCAGAAGTAGAGCCTGTGCCACTTGTTCTGGCCAGGTGAAGGCAAACATGGCGGAGTTTAGCGACTTGCTTGGCCTGAAAGTCGAAGAAGCTGTCGCTCCGGTACGTGCCTTGCTATATCACGGACTAATTCTGATAATTCTCAATAGATTGAGCTGAAGATGGACTTTTGACTATTTTGACCATCCTCATCAGTAAGGCGATATACAGCACTATGGTAAAACACTTTCTGAACGTCATCGATTATCGGGCAGATCGCGTCAATTAGCGTACGCTAAAGAGTAGTATCCAACTGCCCCAAGTACTGGCCAATATATAGATGTCGATCTAGCAGTTGAATGAGAAAGGGTATTTCTGAGCTAGGGCAATGACTCCTCCGGGTCTTTCTCTCCTTACCTTCCATAGCCAAAAACATTGAATATCGAAACATTTGTGAAACATCGTGGTCAAGTTGCCTTTCGTGGGTAGTTTGTGGGCACTGGGCAGTAACTAAAGTTTATATATTTCGAATCATTTCGACTTCGACGAATGTCGAACCACATCGTCCTTTTATCGTCCATCCAAAATTTATTGATTGACGTCGGTTTCTCCCCATAGTGAAAAGTATGTTTGACTAGAAAGATCTTGTCTGACTGTATTGCCTGTATAAGAACACATCTTGCGCGTCCCCGCCATTTCAGCATGCCAGAGCCGATATCATCCTTCGATCATCAGATGGCATTGATTTTCGGGTGTTCACTCTCTTTCTGAACCTTGCCTCCTCGTTCTTTCACTCCATCATCGAGCAAGTGGCACAATCAGATCAGATCGAAGGCGATCTGCCCATCGTGCCCGTGGAAGAAAATCACAGAGTCCTTGACATCTGGCTCCGAGTCAGATTCTGCTATCCTTCTACTCTTGCAGAGGATCCCCCTCTGAATGACTTTGAAAATATCATACCCGTCCTCAAGGCAGCCAGGAAATATTCTTTGAAACCGCTCGAGCACAAAGTCCGCCAGGCGCTTATCAGCCGCATGGAGAAAGAGCCTCTGCGATGTTTTGCGCTTGCAATGCGTACGCAGCTAGACACCGAAGCGGTGCTTGCTGCAAAATACACTCTCCGACAATCTCTGATCCCTGCGAGAGTTCCGGAAATCGACCTCATCACGGCAAAGGAGCTGCTCGCGCTACTTACCTATCATCAGAGGTGTGGCATATCGGTGCAATCCTTGGGCAGGAATTTATCCTGGATTACCGGGCACTACATCATGAACGAAAGCTACCAATGGATCATTGGCGGTTCCTGTAGCTGCGAATCCAGCAGTCAATTCTTGCTCAGTGGTCAACGACCACTGAAATGGTGGAGTGAATACATGGAGAAGAGTCTGACATCATTGTCTGACAAGCCATCTGGTCACACGGTCCTTGTGGGGATCGATGATGCGGTCCGGGGCGTTCGAACTACTGGTTGTTCGCGATGCTGTTCAAATATCCTGGTGAATATGACGGAATTCGCTGGGTTGTTTAGTATGAAGGTTGATACGTTGACGGCAAAGGTGACGTGATGTCTTCTTTCCTTCGATAACAGTGCATCAGGCTCACAATATCGCCCTTGAAGGTTGATCTCGACATGGAGTTGCTTAATTCCTTCATACCCGCTGCCCTAACGCCTCCACAGAGTCCTGTTGTACGGCCAGCGACATCCGGCGGGAAGGGAGGGAGGGAGAAGGGAGGGGGAGGGGGAGGGGGAGGGGGAAGGAGGGGAAAGGGGAAGGAGGGGGAGATATGATGGAACTATTGAACTCATGCTAACAATACATGAAACTGGGGAATCAGTAAAGTAGGAAGGAAGTGAACAATGCTTGATGCGGATGGTGCCTGAAATTACAAGCTGCTGCATTTTAATTAGCAGCGGCCACCAGCGTGATCAACGGACGCGCAGCATTCGAATGGCATGATGCAAATCCTCCAACAGGGGGATTTAACGGTGGCAGGTGTGTAGGCGGTGGCAGCGGCAGTCATAGATGTCGCAGGCGTTTCACCAGTGACAGAAGTTTCACAGCACGATGATGATGCTAGAGGTTCGCTTTGAACTCTTTGCTGTCCTTCCGCTTGAGTAACTTGGATTTTGCTTTTTTTTGCTGTGTGGTGGGCAACAGATAAAGTCTACGAAATACTTCTATGAGCATCGGAGGCGTGGTGAATGGGGTGCAATACCTTTTATTCTTGGCGGTTGCAACTTCCAATGACAGGTGGTCGGTGGGGAGGGAGGGAACCTTGCCTAGAACGCTACTGAAGTTGTGACCGGTGGGAGAAGAGCGTTGGAAAAACGATCAAGGGCCGCACGTGGACGTGACCCAAAGGATGCGAAGTAGTGACGGCGTGCAGAAGACTGAGGGTGTGAATGACACCTTCTGAAGGACTGAAAGCATGGGGGTCGGGACAAGAGCCGATGAATTGAGATGATGGCGACCCACATAAACATCGCCTTGCGCATCGTCAAAAAACCCTCGTGGGTCATAGTCGTCCTCGAGCTGGGCAGGATGACCCGTAGATCAGTCTAAAACAGCAATTTTACGAGCATTGGAAAGGTAGACATGTACTATCACTCCTGGGAATCTGCAACTGGCTGTAATATGCAAAATGTTCAAAACACCTCAATGCGCTGCTTGGATCACCTCGAAAAAATTCAGGTGCATGTAGGCTACTTAGAGATGATGTGCTGTCCAAGTAGAATAAAAATTTCTTGAGTGTTGCAGCTGCGAGAGACAGAATAGTGGTGATTTGCAACCTCGTATAATCATAAATGATCCAGATCCCATAGATCCTAGAGAGATATTCAAAATATTACACCCGGAGCATATCAAACACCTTGCCAGGGTGTTAGAACACAATTTTGATAGGGGTCATTCTCTTGTTTTAAGATGCTATAGACAGAGGATTGACGACATGTATGAAAGCGTGACAGCAGATAGGAGAATGTGTAAGAAATTCAATGTCCTCTAAGTGAAAGTTGACGGTGCCGCTACTGTGCCGATGTGTGACACGACGTGACCATGTTTTGCAGATGACCCTGAATTTTCTCGGCCTTCATCCGACACTCCACCATAAAATCCTTAAACTCAGAAAAAATCATATTTATATAGAGTAGCTACGAATCTATAATGGTGCGAATCCGTAGAAGAAAATATGATGTGGTTGAGGAGTTACAAAAGATTTATTGAAAATGTGGCAGAACCCCAGGAGTGATAGTACGTCACGTACCTCCAGAAACGACTTGTCGGTTGCGTTTAGGGTATAGCACGGGTATACCCGCGGGTCGGAAGATCAACACCGTACCCATACCCGTCAACACCGTCGGGACTGAAAACGATAAAAAAATACGCACCACTTTGCTAGATAAGTTCATTGCAATCCGAGCCCAGTGAAACTCCCAAACACGCTCGACCAATTCAAACCCAGATTTACCTGTCTACTTACTTACCGCCAAGTGCATCATGTAGGAGCCTGGAGGAATCCCCCGTAAGTTTCAGTCAATGACTCAATGTACCCCCGCATTTGAGGGCCAATATTGACAAAATCTCTGTCCGGAAATTGCATTTCTGGGGCGCAAGAACACTGAAGGCCTATCCAGCTGTTGTATTTTACACCTCCTTCGGGCCAATCTGCAGTACCTGTGAAGTGGTGAAGCGTATTGCGGCCTGTTTCGACTTAGACAGACATCCACTCAATCCCTAACAAAACGTGTCTTATTGTTATCATGCTTCTTAAAGAGCTCTAGCGTCAGATACGGGGTATTGAAATTACACATACCGACGTTAAGGTTCTTCTTTCTGACACGTAGAAGATGTCTAGTACATCCATCAATGCTTATACAGACGCACCATCATGATCAGACGAGCCCCCCACGCGCATCCACGTTGGGCATTCCCTTTATGTGGTGTCAATCCTCAGCACGGGGTCCTTGCCATAGCCGACTTCACCCGGAACGAGATCGCTGTGTTCGACAGCATCCCGAAGCTAAAATCAATGAACGAAAGGGTTGAAAAGGTTTGTGAACACTTGGTGAACACCGTCAACATATTATACAACGGTTTCGGACCTTTCGGTAGTCTCGTCAACCAACGACCGGGCACACCCGGACTCCAGAAACAGGTTCCCAAAACGTCGGTTCGCGACTAACTCATTACTCACCTCTTCAAAGCTTCAAGCTTCAAGTTAAATATCGGCAATGCCGTCGTGATGCATGCGTGAAGTGACTGTCGGTCACGCATTGGCTGGAAGCCATGGTAAGTAGTCTATGTATATATAAGTGCACGGTCTCATGTCGATCCCGGGCTAGCATCGCGCCGGCGAACATGCAACAGACGTCCTCTATCTACGTGTGGCTTGCATGCAGTACTCCTAGTGCTCATGAGACTAAAGCCAGCCTTCTTAGCCAGGCAATCAGTCGTCCCTTCTCGATTATGGGTAGGATAACCACTTACCAGGCTGCGACCAAGCCCCCAGTTTCAATCTCACGACATGACTTATCTTTCTGCGTATCTCCTTAACCACCGCATTCCATCTCACTTTCTGATTTAATACCCAAATTTCGGATGAACAACAACATACGGAAGCGTGAGGTCAACGAAGTCTAAGACTCCACTACATATGTAATGATGCTGAATGCAGTGATCTGCGCCCTCATGGGGAACCCGACTACTGGCGCATAGCCAGTCCGATTCTCTTATCTTTCTCATTGCTCGACTTCTATTATGGCATCATGCTAGGCCCTTTTCCTGATGGCACAAGCGCATCCCACAATTTCAAACCAGTCACGGTACGTACCAAGATGCACGGTACGTATTTTACTTTACATACACACTCACTCTTTGTTACACGTGTTCTACGCGTTCACTTTTCGTTCTCCGTCCTAACAGCATTCTTTTATTCCATCCCCTAGAACGAACTCCCCTCAATCCCTCAATTCGAAGTCTGAGGTGAGTATCAGTATTTACCAATGCATTTAGTTTCGTTCTAACTACCTACGTAGTTCTTCTTCCGTCTCTAGTCTCTACATCCGAGCCTCTCTTCTCTCTTTGAGCGTACGTACAAGTCACTGGCTAGTACGATTTGCCATGCTAATCACACTACAAAACTAGATCGTGAATCGACAATGGCACCTTGTGGTCTTCAGCCCCAGCCCCATTCGATCACGCTAAAGCAGACGTTATCTTACGATCAGCTGATGGTGTCGAGTTTCGAGTCTTCATGCCTCTTCCTGTCCCTTGCATCTCCCCTTCTTCGAAACATTGTTCGGCCTCCCTCAGGCACCTGATGGGGCTGCCGATCAAGAGATGAAGGACGGCTTAGCCGTCATCGCCGTGTCTGAGGACAGCAAAACTCTAGATTCATTTCTCAGGTTTTGCTATCCATCGACGTTGGCAGAGGATCCTTCCCTCGAAAACCTGACAGATGTCCTCTCTGTGCTCGCAGCTGCAAAGAAGTATTCGCTAGACTTGATTGAGAGAAAGGTGTGTTGGGCTCTGGCGAATCCCAAGGTTCTTGAGACAGAGTCCCTTCGCTGCTTTCGCTATTGCCAGGAATGCAAGGCTCAAAGATGAAACCATCATCGCTGCCAAACACTCCTTACGACAACCCTTGATTCCAGCGTGGTTTGGAGAGATTGATCTTATCACCGCATCCGACTTTCTTGCCCTGCTAACATATCACAAAAATTGCACTATCGCCGTCCACGCTTTAATGAAGGACTTGCAATGGATCAAATATCATTATGGCGGTCAGAATGGCTGCCTTTGGCTATGGCCTTCCAGCTGTCGCTGCGGACGGGGGTACCGACAACAGACTTTTCCTCTGGAATAATGCTCCAGTGGCATGGTGGATAACATATATGCAGGAGGTTTTCGAGTTGTTGATGGATCGACCGACTGGCGATACTGTGAGGATAGCAGCGGACAAGACTGTCCAAAATGTCAGAAGTGCAAACTGTGGCGGTTGCTCTGCCCAGGTGAAGACGAACATGGCGGACTTTAGCGAATTGCTTGCTTTGAAAGTCGAAGAGGCTGTCGCTCCGGTATGTACCTTGCTTTACATCACGGATAAATCCTAAGCGCTCCCAACAGATCGAGCTGGAGATGGACTTTTGACTGTCCTCATCGCTGATCAGTGAGGCGATATGCATTACCATGATAAAACACTTTCTAAACGTCATCGGGCAGATCGCATCCATAGGCTTGTGCCAAATTGTAGTACCTAACCGCCCCATTGTCCATAATGTGTAGCATTCGAACTCTGTTTAGGGAACAACTTTTAAGGTCTGACTACGGGAGACTAACTTTAAGTATTCATTGCTAGACACCATGCCACAACCGAGCCTGAAGGAGAGTGAGTCACGCATCTGCAAATCAAATAGAACGGGATTCTTACTAAGAGATCGAATATATCACCTCATCCAACCTTCTTGCCCTGCTCATATACCACCAAAATTACGGTATCGCTGTTACATCGCACAAGCCTTGGCGAACGACTTGAAATGGATAACAAGGCATTATATTAATATATAAATCAGGCTAACTGCAGCTGGATGTTTGGGTGGACATACAATGTTCCCTAGCCAGACCCAATAGAAGGGAGACAGTCATTGCGTTCCCAACTCGGACGGTATGAACTACCATTGCTTGCTACTTTGATCGAAGAATGGTTTACGATTTGCCGTTATGTCTGCATGATAAAGAACCATGGTCATCAATGCATCACGCTTAGTCAGGGCACAGCAAGGATTAGAGCAGTGCAGGCTGCAGCGAAAGACTCCCGTTGCACCAAGTAGGATCGTCACTTACCACTATGCGACCGCTGCCAACGAAGCAGCGACTCTCCGGTTTCAATCTCACCAGGTTTGTCTTCTTCTTGCGTATCTCCTTAATCACCGCATACCATCTCGCTTTGCATGCCCAGATGAGTCGGATGCACCAATGTATGAAAGCAATATGAAAGGGCCGCGAGGTCAAAGAAGACACTACTACATATGTAATGATGCTGAATACAGCGAGCTGCACCCTCACGGGGAACCTGGCGTGTGGCCAGTCCGATTCTCTTACCTTTCTCAGAACCTTTGTTATCATCTTAGGTTCTTTTCCTGATGACAAGCACATCCGACAATTTTCAACCGGTACTTACAAGTCACTGACTATGATCTGCCATGCTAATCACACCACAAAGCTGGATCGCGGATCGTCAGTGGCAACTTGTGCCTCAGCCCCATTCGATTATGCTAGAGCAGACATAATCCTGCGATCAGCTGATGGCGTCGAGTTTTGAGTCTTCATGCTCTTCCTGTCCCTTGCATCCCCCTTCTTCGAAACATTGTTCGGCCTCCCTCAGGCACCTGATGGGGCTGCCGATCAAGAGATGAAGGACGGCTTAGCCGTCATCGCCATGTCTGAGGACAGCAAAACTCTAGATTCATTTCTCAGGTTTTGCTATCCATCGATGCTGGCAGAGGATCCTTCCTTCGACAACCTGACAGATGTCCTCTCTGTTCTCGCAGCTGCGAGGAAGTATTCGCTAGACCTGATCGAGAAAAAAGTGTCTTAGGCTCTGGCGAATCCCAAGGTTCTTGAGACAGAGTCCCTTCGCTGCTTCGCTATTGCCAGGAATGCAAGGCTCAAAGATGAAACCATCATCGCTGCCAAGCACTCCTTACGACAACCCTTGATTCCAGCGTGGTTTGGAGAGATCGATCTTATCACCGCATCCGACTTTCTTGCCCTGCTAACATATCATAAAAATTGCACTATCGCCGTCCACGCTTTAATGAAGGACTTGCAATGGATTACAGATCATTATGGTACTCAGAGTGGCTGCATTTGGCTATTTGAGTACTGCGGCTGCGGATTGGCTACCGACAAAAGGTTTTTGCTCTGGGGTAACGCTCCAGTTACATGGTGGGCAACATATATGGAGGAGGTTTCGAGTTGTTGATGGATCGGCTGTCCGGAGAAACTGTAAGGACAGCAGCAGAGAAGACAACCGCAAAGGTCAGAAGTGTCACGAACTGTGGCGCTTGCCCTGGCCGGGTGAAGGGGATCATGGCAGAGTTTAGCGACTTGCTTTCTCGGAAAGTCGAAGAGGCTGTCGCTCCGGTATGTATCTCGCTCTATATCACAGACTAATTCTGATAATTCTCGATAGATCGCGCTGAAGATGGACTTTTGACTACTTTTGACCGTCATCCTCATCAGTAAGGCAACGTACAGTACTATGGTAAAAAAATTCTGAACATCGGCGGGCAGATCGCGTCCATAAGCTTGTGCCAAAGAGTAAGTAGTACCTAACCATTGTCCATAGTGACTCGATCCAGTTGAACCCGAATAGCGTATCTCGATTCTCTCCCTTTAGGGCAATAACTTCGGGTCTTACAGTTCCTTCTCTCGCACCTTCCATAGCCAGAAATATTGATTCCTAGTGCTGATATGACGGCTCGTAAACATCGTGGTCAAGTTGCCTTTCAGGCAGTTTGTGGGCAGTACAGCCAGTACTCTATACATATATTCCGAACCATTCCAACTTCGACGAAAGTCGAACCACATCGTCTTTTTGTCGTTCTTCCAAAACCCGTTGGTTCCTCCCCATAGTCAAAAGTATGTTTGACTTGGTGTTCAGAAAGATTTTGTTTGACCATATTGCTCGTATAAGAACACATCCCTATCACTGTAACGATACGTCCTTCTCCCGTATCTATTTTACATACACATTCACCTTATCATACACGTTTCATCCACGTTCACGTTTCGTTCTCCGTTTCAACGATCCTTTGATATTCAGCGTCCATACTATTCCCTTCCCTCAGTCTTTCCAACTAAGACTGAGGTGAGCTACTTACTACGACTCCTCTGCATACTTAGTGCTAATGATACATAGGTTTCTCTTACTCGTTTCTAGGTATGCGCTTGTCGTAGCTTGAGTCTTTCCAACTAAGACTGAGTTTTCTCTTACTCGTTCCTAGTCGGAGCCTCTTCATTCTTTCAGAATACCATGGTGCCTTGCGCGTTTCCGCTATTTCAGCATGCCAAAGCAGATATCATCCTTCGATCATCAGATGGCATTGATTTTCGCGTGTTCACTCTCTTTCTGAACCTTGCCTCTTCATCCTTTGACTCCATCATCGAGCAAGCGTCACAATCAGACCAGATTGAAGGCGATCTGCCCATCGTGCCCGTGGAAGAAAATCACAGAGTCCTTGACATCTGGCTCAGATTCTGCTATCCTTCTACTCTTGCAGAGGATCCTCCTCTGAATGACTTTGAAAATATCATGCCTGTCCTCGAGGCAGCCAGGAAATATTCTTTGAAACCGCTCGAGCACAAAGTCCGCCAGGCGCTTATCAGCCGTATGGAGAAAGACCCTCTGCGATGTTTTGCGCTTGCAATGCGTATGCAGCTAGACACCGAAACGGTGCTTGCTGCAAAATACACTCTCCGACAACCTCTGATCCCTGCGAGAGTTCCGGAAATCGACCTCATCACGGCAAAGGAGCTGCTCGCGCTACTTACCTATCATCAGAGGTGTGGCATATCGGTGCAATCCTTGGGCAGGAATTTATCCTGGATTACCGGGCACTACATCATGAACGAAAGCTACCAATGGATCATTGGCGGTTCCTGTAGCTGCGAATCCAGCAGTCAATTCTTGCTCAGTGGTCAACGACCACTGAAATGGTGGAGTGAATACATGGAGAAGAGTCTGACATCATTGTCTGACAAGCCATCTGGCCACACGGTCCTTGTGGGGATCGATGATGCGGTCCGGGGCGTTCGAACTACTGGTTGCTCGCGATGCTGTTCAAATATCCTGGTGAATATGACGGAATTCGCTGGGTTGTTTAGTATGAAGGTTGATACGTTGACGGCAAAGGTGACAATGTCTTCTTTCCTTTGATAACAGTGCATCAGGCTCACAATATCACTTGAAGGTTGATCTCGACATGGAGTTGCTCAATTCCTTCATACCTGCAACCCTAACGCCCCCATTGAGTCGTGTAGTGCCTCCCAAGGCATCTAGTAGCGTGTCGAAGGGGGGGAAGTGGAAAAAGAAAAAGTGATAAAACAATTGAACTACTGTATATTGGAATCAAATAGTACTAGTAGTACTTATATAGTTCGACGCCAGACTGTACATTTCAAGAACACGGCGGGTCATACCAAACAGACGCAAGAAGCGTTCTGTCCCTAAACCGTCCGAGCCCTGGTTTGAGTCCGACTGTCTCATTGAATCAGCCAGGACACCATATCAGAACTCAGCCGATCATTGCACTGAAGGCGAGCGGGTCAATCCTCCGCAGATCAAAAGAACAGGATTTTTACACTCATGGCAACAATACACAAAACTCGGGAATCAGTAAAGTAAGAAGTGTTCAAGCAGAAATTGGTTGACATACTAACGAGACCGGGGGAAATTATGAGCGTAGGATAAAAGACGGGGGTGAACAATGCGCGGACGGTGCCTGAAATTACGAACAACTGCCTTTTGATTCCGCAGGTGGAGGTGGTGGCAGTGGCAGTCATAGATGTCGCGGGCCTTTCACCAACAGTAGTTTCATGGCGCGACGATGACGCTAGAGGGTGAGTTTGAACTTCTTGCTGTCCTTCCGCTTGAGCGACTTAGATTTCGCTTTTTTTGTTATGTGGTGGGGCAACATATAAAGTCTACGAGATGAACACTAGAGGACCGAGGTGCAGCGAACGGAATGCCAATAACTTTTTATCCTTAGCGGTCGCAGTTTCCACGACAGAGGGTCGGTGGCGAAGGAAGAACCTTGCCCAGGGCGTTGCCACAATTGTATTGCATCGTGGCCGCTGGGAGGAAGGCGTTGGAAGAACGAGGAAAAGCGAACAAGGGCTGCACGTGGACGTGACCCCAAGTTAGTAAGAGCAGTGCTGCGACGACGTGCAGATGGGTGAGGATGGGAATGATGCGTTTTGGAGGACTGAGAGCGTGGAGCAAGACTCACCTCCGGTGAATTGACACGATGACACCCACCTAGACCTCGCCTTGCGTGTCGTCAAAAAAACCCTCGTGGTTCATAGTCGTCCTCGAGCTGGCCTGGACATCGGCATAGAACACCAATTTTACATTAAAAAGGTTGAGAAGCACGTTCACGTACCTCCAAAAACGACTTGTCAGTTACGTTTCGTGAGTGAAATTAGTGTGCACTATTCCTGAAGAGCCATGACATGATACATACATATTTTGACGGCTAAGAACGGGCATCGTCAGTGATAGATTGGATGGTATGTTTACGCTCACATTGGAAATTGACAAGAGGTTATTGAGACCAACTTCTTTTAGGATGGCGTGGACGTCTACGTACGCATTGTATTCGTTGAAACCCGTTACTGTTGGCTTTCCATCAGCAGACAAAGCTGCGCAAAAGACGCCAGCTTCGTGGCGGAGGGGTGGACCGACAGGGAGATTGGTGTCGAGATTCCGCAAACACACTGTTCGGTCGCGTGAAGCACTTCAAAGGAGATGATCACTGGTATTTCGAGAAAAGGAGATGGCGGAAACAGCGTCTTGATGACGGTTCGAGGATGACGATCTGGTGGTACGCGGGACGCAGGAGTGTTGAACTTGAATATCCTAATTGAGCCAATCTGATCCGGAGATAATTTTTGTTCCATCCGACGGCTAGGTCATATGTGCTGTAAAAGACTGTGAACTGGTCGACTGTGTTCGATTGTGGAGAGCAGTTTCCCTGTATCTGCATCCCAGATTTGTACTGTGTTTTTCTTGTATCCGCCTGTCGCGATTTTTTTGGTGTCAGGCGAGTAGCTCACCGCGTACACAAATCTGTGTGCTGTCAGATGTCTTGATTTGAGCAAGCATAATTTCACCGCTCTCAACATCCTATTATACCCTTGTCGTTCCGTCCTCGGATCCACTCACAACTCGCTCACAACTCGGACTCCAGCGCACTGACCACACGCTCCTTGTGTGTCCTGGCCCTCCCGGTCTCGACGTTTCACAACCTCACTGTCCCATCACCGCTCCTGCTTGCAACAATATTGCCTCTAGGAGGCAATGCTATAGTGATCAACCCCACCCCATTCTCCTGATCTCGCTAGTCGTTATTTGTACACCACCCTCCAGATCCCACAGTCGGAGCGAGCCGTGGTTCAAACATATGATGACCCGTCGTCCGTCAAGATTGGTGCACAACACCTCGTACCCACTTTGTGTGGTCTCGCATCGTCTGGAGGGGCATTATACTGGACGTCTCTTGCGTCTCAATGATGTGGGAATGAGGACGGTTGGGCCAATCTTATCTTAACTCTTGTCAATAGAAGCGCAAAGGAAATCGCTCACGAGAAGCTTATTGAGAGGAATGCGGGACTGGCCACAGGACTCCTTCGGTACTATGTACGCAGGAGTTGTTTTCTGCAGCACTCTCACAGAATTTACAGGAGAACTTTATGTCGCTTCAAAGGCGAGGTTCTATCTTTCACCTCAACTTTTCCTGGAAGAAGAATGTGTCAAGTATCGTTCAGAAGATCGATAAGGACGGTTTGCTTGAAGCTAGGCAAAGGTTCATCTCAGCATCTACCACGGCGTAATCCATGCGTAATCTACTCCACCGCTTGATACTGCGCAGGTGAGGCTACTAGGACTGGCGCTATGCGCATCATTTTTTACTAGGGACTTCCTTTGATGACGGTCCCACATATTTTTTCCACCCTATCCTGACGTTCGATCTTAGCTTCAACATCCAACATTCTTCAAGCTTCAACTTCTTTGCAGAGCAGCGCCGCGGCTTTATGCTGCAATTCTCCACATGATGTGCAGTATTTATGGACGACTCAAAAAGAACGCATCACCTGACAGGGACAAGACATGCATTGCGCTTCGAACCAATTCAACATCGATATTCTGGTAAGCCTCCTTGGATCCTCGAGGCCTCAATGTGCCACCGGTGGCCGAGGACATACAGTTCAGGCTAGCCGTTGCACTGCATGCAAGGGACTATCGAGGAATCGATTGGAATATATAGTACTTGGTAGTCATACCCATCGGAATACTTGCATCTAGAGTTGAATTGAAGTTTTCGAAAGCGCAATCTTAGGTGAGTAGGAATTTATGCCAAAATGTATGTCAAATTTCTGCTGATGGAACGAACTTCTTTATGCAGTTACCAACGACTATGTCCACCTGCGCACCATCACCATTTGACCACCAAAAAGCTGACATTATCCTGCGGTCCTCAGATGGGGTCGATTTCCGTGTCTTCAAGCTTTTCCTCACCCTCGCCTCCCCATTCTTCGAAATTATGTTCGAACTTCCCAACCGGCGGTTGGGGCGGACGGCGATACGGAGGGCGGTCTCCCCGTCATTCCCGTGGAGGAAGATAGCAAAACACTAGACACTTTCCTCAGATTCTGCTATCCCTCCACATTGGCAGAAGATCCCTCTCTTGAGAGCCTGACAGACATTCAGGCTATCCTCGGGGCTGCGAGGAAGTACTCGCTGGACCTGATAGAGAGAAAAGTATGTCAGGCTCTAGCCAATCCCAAGGTTCTCGAGGTAGAGCCACTTCGCTGCTTCGCGATAGCGAGGAATGCACGGCTCAAACATGAAACCATCACCGCTGCCAGATACACCCTACAACAGCCTTTGATTCCCGCGTGGTTCGCAGAGATCGAACTGATCACCGCGTCCGACCTTCTCGCTTTACTCACGTACCACAAGAAGTGCGGCATCGCGGTAGAACCATTGCTGGCCAACTTGGATTGGGTGATGAGCCATTACGGCAGTTCAGGAGGCTGTAATTGGTTGTTCCTTCCCCAGATCCCGGGCTCAAAGTCCAACTGCCAATGCGGCCGGAGCACCGAAGCCAAATTCAAGTTATGGGCACCCGCTCCGGTCTTGTGGTGGGCCACTTATATGAACGAAACATTCGAGTTATTGAGGGATATCCCCTCTGGTGATGTCGCGAGGTCGGAGGCAGAGAAGACGATACAGAAGGTCAGGAGTGCGGGCTGTACTACTTGCTCTTCCCAGGTCAAAGCGAATATGGAAGAGTTCAGCAACTTGCTCGCCCTCAACGTTGAGAAGGCAACTGCTTCGGTACGTATCTCTGTATAGGCCAAGCAAACCGTCTAAACAACTCGTTTGACAGATTGAGCTAGAGATGGACTTCTGACCGTTGCTTCTTGCTAAGTGGGATACGGTGTAGCATTGCGTGAGGTGAGGTGCCGGGGGTCCTTGCGCAGTGGCTGGAGTCCTGGTCGTAGGGTAGTCCTCCGCATGTCGTAGTCGGTCCTCCTCGATAGATAGAGCCGCCGCCTCCCGCCTTAGAGGTTGGCCTGGGTTTCCCCTAACAGTCCGTGCTTGGTCCAACGGACGCCAGATGCATACCGATAGGCTTGCACCTCTGTATTATTTACAGCTCACGGTGGAGGTTTAGTGGGGATCGATGGAAGCGAATCCGTAAGGCGGCCTCAGCATTCAACAGTCCTGCTGAGTTTGACATCTACCACTGCACTACTTGCCTCCACATCTCGCACTGAAGTTTACAGCCGGACTGCGAATCTACTACGATACGCCCACACCGTTCCTTGAGTTGAGAAGCTTCACGCGTCAGGTCGGGCAAGAGTGTGTGCCAGGCAGGCATTATCTTAAGAGGTATTTGACATGTTAATTGCGTTGTTGCTTTCCTGGAGATGCGATTGGTTCATATCTGGTTGTTGCATGAGTAGCGATCCAAAGTGAGGGATGAGAATCAGACATTGAATGGACAGGCAAATAGTGCAAGATTGGTAGCCCCACTGCTCTACGACGAGCGTCGGTCAGGGTGCAAAACATGAAGTCAATGGGAGGTTACATAAGATTCATGAGGAGATATCAAGGAGATGAGCAGTACAACCATCAAAAGCTATTCATCGTCACTCTGGTCCCCCAAAAATGCCAAGATGCTCGCGCCCGCAGTTTTCTGAGGAATATCGTCATCCCAAAGAGAAGAAAATATGAAACGAATTACGTACCTTCCTCTTGACTGGTGGGCCCTCGTCCTCATCGTCGCTTTCTGGTCCAGATTGCTCATCCTCCGATACCCCCTTTCCTTTCCTCTTCTCTTGTGCCTCTGCGAACTCTTGTACATCCCCTAATGCACAAAATGGCCATAAGCTGGGTTTTCAACGGAAGCCGTTCCAAAGGTACGCACTAAGTTCTTGTGCCAATTCTCTCTCTGCTTTGATGGCCTTTGCTTTCTCCAGAGTAGGACGACCGACCATCCCTAAGTCGCTAAGGATTTCCTTCAGTCGTTTAATCTGTGCTGATGGTGTGTCCAAATTTGCAAATTCTTTCTTCCACTGCTTTCGTACACCACAAGCAACCACCATAGCCTAAGCGGAGATCAGACAGCATTTCGCATAGGTCAAATAAAAGAAGAGGCACTCCTACCTTGAGTTTCGAGACAGCCTCGTCATGCTTCGATGACCCTCCTGCGTTGCTCTTCATTCCCTTCTTATGCTCTTTCGGGCCTGTCTTTCCCGAATCCTGTACATCGTCAGTAACGCCATAGGATGTAGGAGAACCGACAAACCTTATCCTGTTTCTTCTTTCTTTTCTTCGGGGGTTCATCGATGACTGTGGACAATTCAGAGTCACTCCCCTGGTCGCCTGTTAATTTTATGAAACTACGGTCGTGAAGACGGGGCGTACAGGTTCGTCACGGGCATGAACTTTAGATTTGGGACGTGCAGGTTTCATAGTCACGGGTTCCGGAGGTCTTGAGGTGGAAGAACTTGCTCCATGCTCGGCCTCATCATCCACCTCACGCGTCGCACTTTGCTTGGTGGTCGACTAGTATAACAAAATGATTTACACATAACACAGAAGCGAAAGAAAAATGATTAACCTTAGGTTTGGATAGAGGCTTCTCCTTTGAAGGCAATTTCTCATGTGATTGCATGTCTTTCTTTGGAGACGTCACAACCGGTTCGGATGGGCGCGTAGAACCAGCCTCATCACCAGAAGATTCGACGATAGACTGAACGTAATTGAGGAAGACTAGTCACAAAGTAATCCATAGAATTTCAACTCACAGCTGATTTGTGCGTCTTCAAAGCGATTCTGCTGGTCGAATTCTTGGTTTTTGACGCCTTTTGAGAGCGCTGTGTACCGTCAATGATGTAGGCATTTTGGACGAACTGCACTTACTTTGGACGTGGAGGGTTTCGCTTCATGTTTCTCATCATTTTCGTCCTCGCTCCGTAGTTTTGATGCAGCCTTTTTTTTCGCAGGTTTTTTCCTAGCTGGAACGTCGTCTTCAGAACTTTCGGACACTTCAGATTCTACTATAGCCTAGAGGTAACAGGATGGGGTTTGTGAGGCTAGACATAAAGGAATGCCACATGAACTCACAGAAGACTTGGGCACCTGCTTTCCCTTCGCGCCCTTCCCGGGAGGCGCCTTGGGTTTAGAGGTACTTTTGCGGGTTTTGACAGGCTCTTCATCAGCTTTCACCTTGCGTTTCTTCGAGGGTTTTGGCTGACTCTCTCCCTCGTCTGCCCCATTCGGTGGCGTTGGAACATTGTCCTTCAAAAAGATAGCGCTAGCATTAAGAGAGCAGGCTAACTGCCGGCTGTGAACATTGCCTTACCAAATAGTCAACGACTGTTTTCTTGATAGGCGCTTTGTACTCTTTTACGTCCAAAGTCCCAGGTGAGAGCTGAAGGCTTTGCTCCAGCCTCTCGCGAATAACGCGTACAGTGAGCTTGCTGCAATGGGCTTGAGTCACAACAAAGTTACAGGATACGTGACCAATGTATAACATGCCTCAAATTTCCCTCGGCATGAGCTTCTTTCAGTAGCTCCGTAGTGGCTTGCTGTAGCCCTTCAATACTAGGTATGGCCATTGGCATGAAATAGGGTTATCGGTTCGCACTTCGCAGGTCCTGCGAGGAGTGATGCCTTTGCGAATGAATGATCGTTGGCACGCGACGTGTGCGGGATATCACGTGGTACTCACACGTGCGCATGGATTACGGTGGACCGATCGTCATGGTGATCTGGGACAAATACGATCGGGCGGATTTGGGATCTACACACAAAACTTTAAGACGAAGAAAAGTACTCTACAGATGCATAGAGTAGAGGTATATCATATATAGTAACCTATAGCTTCGCTTTAGTCACAACTAGCGACGCGCCGTGCTGCAGTATCTTCACTGCATCTGACACCATCTCATCCACAATCTGCTGAGCAGGCAGCACATCATTGATGAGCGCTGCAACTCTTCCTATCAAGAATGTTCTAGCCTGCAGCGACTTCTCTGGGTGTTGTTCAACGTCCCAGGTAGCAGGAATAATACCCTTGGATGTTAGTTCCTTAATCTCGGCCTGGCGGTTGTTATTCCTGAAAGACGCATTAAACAACAAAACTAAACTGCAACGTGGGAACCCACCAGTCTTCGACGTAGGGCGTTCTCCTGACTCGGAGGGGTCGACCGGTGAAAATCAAGGTCGTGATGGCGTCCTCATATCCCGCAGTTACCAGGGCATCTTTGTGTGCCTTGGGTGCACCTGCTTCCGTTGCTGCAACGAATCTAGTGCCTACCCACACCCCTTGTGCTCCCCACGCTAAATTTGCGGCGAGTCCGCGCCCATCGTACACAGCACCGGCACCGATGACGTACACCGGCTTCTTCGTCAGCGGAGAAATGTGTCCCCGGCATGCGTCGACAACCGCGGGAATAAGGATTGATGCGGGGATGTCTCCTGTGTGGCCACCGCCTTCACCGGCCTGAGCACAAATTAAATCGACGCCCATGGCGAGCGCTTTTGGAACGTGCTTGGGATGTCCGACCATCTAGTAAGACGGTTTCAGGTGAGCGTGCCGCCATGGCAACATAAGATGCAACTCACGTTCATGACGGGTATGCCAGCGGCATGCAACTTATCGACTATATCCTGTGGCGGGACACCGACAGCGCAGACGAAAAGAGAGGCTTTCTCCTCAATGATGATATCAACAAGCTCGTTCAGTTTCCCATTCTGGTAATCATACTGTAGAGAAGGATTCAGCGCGGGGGGAATCGACACGTAGCAGTACACTTACATTTGTTTTCCTTGCATTTCCACCGACCTGAGGGATGAGTAGGTCGACCCCAAACGGTGCATTTGGATCCTTTAAGTCATCCTTGATGGCTCGAATCTAATCCATGTTTACTAATGAGTTTGTGAACTCAACTCTCACTGCGATACACACCTGCTGCCTGAGCACCTTCGGGGTATAGCCATGCCCACCAATAACACCTAGTCCACCTGCATTCGTCACTGCGGCTGCCAGTTCAGGACCAGCCGCAACGTTCATGCCTACAAAGTCATGGGCATCTCAGGAGGGTAACACCAGTGCCATAACACGTACCTGCCAGCAATATGGGATGTTTGATCCCAAAGAGCTCGGTAATTGGTGTAGAGATTGAAGGAGACATAGTTCGAGATGGTAAAAGAGAGCCGAGCAACGTGAAACCTATTTGAAGCAAATAACAAAGATCCAGAATAAGATACCTCGGGCAACTAGTAATCATGAGCTGCACGCCTCCGGTTATAAATATCCGAGACCCGGGTGTTTGTGCCGGAAATCTGACTACCAAGTTACACGTCACAAATGATAAAATTGAAACCATGATCTGAATTATTACTTATGCCCGCTCGGCGCCACCGGCGAGAACTAAATGTGAGGGGGAAATCAGTGCCACGTACAAATCATTTGAGGTTATCCTGGAGGGTATATATGACAGCAAGGCTAGAAGGGTGTAAGATATGCAAAGTGCGAATGAATGTGTGTGATATACATGAGGTGGATGTCTATGTTAGTGAATAGAGCCCGCTGGGCAGTTCATACGACGAAGGTGGCAAGTTCATCAAGGAGGTGGGACTTCAGTGTAAGGTGGAGGGGACTTGGCACCAGACTGCATCAAGCGGCGGAGGCGAGCCAGATCACCCGCCAAAGTTCTTTTTGAACAAAATTCGTAAGTGCAAGTTATGAAACAGAAAAGAAACACCGCATACCTTGCCGTCTCAACTGCCTCATCACTTTGATGAGACTGAAGTTCAACCTGTGCCTTCAGTTTGACAATTTCCTCGCGGAACTCTTCTTCAACTTCTGTCCTGATTTTCTGGTCCTCGTTTTTGAGGTCCTTCACAGAAGTTTGCAGGCGTTGCGCTTCCTTCATCTCATCTGCGAGAAGCTTATACTTCTTGCCAACCGATTCAGCTTCCTTTTTCAGCTTATCCTCGCGCTTCCGCATTTCGTCACGAAGCCGATCAGTATCATGCTTCCAACTCTCAGTCATGCTTTTGATGCTGTCGCGCAAGGTAATGTACTCGCGTTCAGCCTTCTGAGAAAGCGCGGTTGATTCAGCGAGAGCAGATTCCATCTCGCGGAGAGACTTTTTGGAGGTCGCAGTGTCCGTTTTTAGCTGAGATTTCAGGGCTGCTGCCTCAGCTTCAGCTTTACGGGCCCGCTCAAGAACCTGTAAGAGGTCAGTAGGGTAAAATAAGATACGGCAGACAGACCTCTTGCAATAACCTCTCCTTTCTAGCTACAACATTGTTAAGACCTTCATTTTCCAGTCTGAGGCGTTCTCGGCCTTCTTTCAAATCCTCGGTCTGTCGTGTCAACTGTGCAACAGTGCGCTGTGACAGACGTAGTTGAGACTTGGTGTTTTCCAAGGCATTGCGAGCACCCATAACACCGGCCTGAAGATCAGCCAAAACTTTGGTCGTCCCCCCAGGCGTAAGAGAGATACGTCTATTAGGAGATGACGGAGCTTGGAGTGAAGAAGTAGAGGCATTCAAATTGTCTGAGTGATTGGCAGTATGAGCGTCAATTGGTAAAATTGCTGGAGGGGAGTTACGAGCTGGGGAGAGACCATCGTCGGCTAAAGCACGGGCATTCCCTAATAGCATTAAGTCATCACCTTCACGATGAGGGAAATCCTGGTTGCAGGGGAAGGAAAGAAAGACTGACCTACAGAAGCCACAGGTATCCCTGATAACGGAAAAATGTCAGTATAATGAGGCAACAAAGACGCGGGTGACATACGACTCAGTGTGCGCGTTGGACTAGACATACGCTTAGGGTTGATTCCATTACTGGGACTGATGCTGAAGTCCATGGGGATACCCTCGCGGATACCATCGCGTTTCATTGTGGGTGTCGCACTTTCTCTCCTCGGCAGTGGAAGATTTGACTCGCGACCAGCGAGACCTTGCAAAACATCAAAACTAGAGCGACGTTGCATTTTTGGAGTTGAAAAGCTCGTGGTATATGAGACAGGACAAGGACTTATGTCCAAGACATCGTCTGACGAGGGATGGGGAGAATGAGAGGAAGCCATAAAGCCAGTTGGTAACGGGCGTGATCCACGCAATATGATATTTTCCAAGCTGTGTAGCTGTGCCTGTTGGTGTCGAATAGAGTGCTTCAAGGTCGACATCTGATTGCGAACAGCCACTAAATAGGAAAGAAAACGAACCGAGATATTTAAATGAAGTTTGAATTGATGGGTGAGGGAGCAATACCTGATTCGTTTTGGGGTATTGAAGGGCTGGAAGCGCGTGTAGAACGCACTGAGCCACGTGAAGAAGACCTTGAGTGTGGTTGAGGAGGAGAGAAAAGCGATTGCAGAGAATTAGACATGCACTGGTAATATGGATATCAAAATGATCGTGATGGCGCTCTTGTCCGCCAGAAATGACCAGAATTCTAGTTGATTCAAGGCGAAACAGCAGATCAATATTTGTTGACCCCGTTGCAAGATGCTCTCGAGAGCTGCCAGAGCTGTTAGCGCTGGTAGCAGCTGGGCCGAGATTGGAGGTCCTTATTTATCTTTGTTGTGTTGTGCCAAGAAAGATGCGGTCACGTGGTGTGGAAGCGACGCGTTTGTATTGTCCAGTGGCACTTTAGCTTGTCCGACAACTCTCAATCTAAGTTTCGCCCGTACTGACCTCTGATTTCTCTAACATGGCTGAGTGTGGAATATGCTTGGAGGAGATCAAGAAACCTGTCTGCATCCCATGCGGTCAGCCTTGCTCTGACTATTCCATGACATGACCTGTTCACGCTAAGTATCTAGGACACGTTCACTGTGAAAAATGTCTACGTGGGCACATAAATTCCGGAAATGATGCTTTGAAATCTTCATGTCCATCATGTCGAACCATATTTCACATTGGTACGTCTAACACGCTGCTAGAGGAGTTTTTGCTCAGACCATTATGCAGCTATGCCTGATCTAACATTCGTTCCCAAAAAATACCATGACTTCATGGCTCCCAGCGTGCGCAAGTTGTATATGGACATAGCATCTCCTGCGCCGTTGGTCGCCGAGATCGATGAACTCAAAAAGCGCGTTGCTACGTTGAGCAGAGATCGAGATGCTCTCATGGAGAAATGTGAGGCGTACATGGCATCTTCTCGCCAGCATGCCACAAATGAGAAGGACGCTCGTTTGGAAGCTCAGGCTGCTCGGGACGCCACCAGCAAGCTGCAGATAAAGTATGATGCTTTGAAGAGAGAATACGGAGACTTCATGGACCAGTACGTCCTCCGCAAATGAACTTGCCGGCCTGTCGTTAACTCGCACTAGTTCCATGTCCCAGACATCTTCTGATGGCCGAAAACGCAAAAGCAGGGCAACCGTCGAGAACTCGCCACCTTCCTTCGCTGAAGTGCTTGCCTCTATTCAGTTAGAGGTGAAGCTCGAAGACCTTCCTGATACACTTGAGTTTGCGCCTTCGCGGCTTAAACGTGCGCTTCCCAGGTCAAGCGTGGCTTCATCCTCGCGGCTCGAAGAACCCCATGATCCACCTCCTCGATTTATTAAGCGTCAGCGGCGCACAAGATATTCAGACACGGACCTGGGATTGCAGATATCTGAAGACTGCGAAGGTTGTGAAACGTGTGTCAGAGCCTACCGTCACAGTCAGGTGACATCACCAAAATAAGACCACACATCATATGTCCTCTCCACTGTAGATGTCCATGCGCATGTAATATGTATTCCCGTGTATTGATATCTTTTCGTGATCATATCTGCTTGCCACCTGATGAGGCTATCCCACATAGCATCCTTATTATTAGCTGGGGCTAGTACAGACTCAGTACCGCCAGTTTGCCAGATCATATCGACCACAGGTGAGTGATATGTTAAATTTGTCCACATGCGAATCATGTGCATGAAACTTCTCCGTCAAGCTTTAAGTGGCGTCGATAAGGACCGCAATGCTATCCATGCGATAACCACATCAACGGTAGTCTCCCCTACTAGTCAGACCTAATAGAAGGAAGATAGTCATTCCTTCTATATTAGGCATCAACTTGAACAGTAGAGATATATTGGCTCTGCATACGAAGATAAATACTCCTCTGGAAAGTTCACCCACGCCTGAATCCATGGAATCAGAGCTCCTGAGAGACCATGGTGTCCTTTCTCACCGTCTGAGAAAACTATATCATTCCTCTTGGCAATCTTGTTCCTGGTTCAATGTTCACCTAATAGGCCTAGGTCTTCCCTCGGCCTGCCGCTCAGATTTACCTTATCTTTCAAATTCGAACATTCTCATACCGAAACTAGACCCCAGCCAGTGGCCACCATACCCTCCGCGCTCATCGCATGTCATGATCCAAGCTTCAAGCTCCACGTCTCACGTCTGGGAGACTTGTGGCACACAATAGGGTTCCGGGCAGAGACTTGACCTCAGTCATCATGGTCATACATTCCATTGTAGGCCGCGGCCGACCGACGTTCTTGTAACCCAAACGAACACTTGGCAAATTGACGTGACTGCGAGAAGTCCCTAGAGACTCCGTTCAACACCGGCAACGACACGCGGGGCAGATCGTGACGGCATCGTGATGGTTTCTTGCACCGCGAATGTGTGATTGATTCAAGAATTGCAAATGAAGTCCGACCCGTCGTCAGGAATGACGATCCGCAGCTTCTCATGCACTGTAGTAAGCGTCGAAGCGAGGTTATGCGGCGGTTACTCGCAAACTGAACGTTGAACGCTGGATACTTATTAATATCGCTTTAAGCGTTGATGTCCTTCAAGTTACATCCTGAAGTTCAACTTCAACGTCTGATAAGTGCGACGTCTGCACAAGAACAGTGGCAGCAGTTTTATGGGGTTTGCTGAGCCAGAGATGTTTCTTCGTTAACTGAAATAGGATTACCACGCTGCGCGAGTATTCAGGCAATTTCTCCTGGTTATGCCAACCATTCTGTCTATAGATGAGAAATTGCTGGAATGTTAGTCTCGTCACCAGCCGCCTCGTCTGAGTGGTGGGAATGAGGGTCAGACAAGGCAATACCCTACCACTTCTTCTATGTCAGGCGACTGGTCACGAGTCTACTGGAACAGTAGCAATACAGTAAATTCTTACCTTGCAGTTCGATCATGGCTGAGATAGCCTATCCCAATTCAATGCACTGTCCCGGAGTCTCGGGAGAAGCATTGACGGATGCGTTTCAATATCATGTGTCGGAAACTGCTGTAAAAATACAGAACTTCATTAATTCCCATTTCGACACGATGAGGCACCGTAAGGGGAACAGTTTACCTTTCGAAGGATATTAACGTTCAAACATGCATTAGGTATGAAAGCAGCCGGGGTCCTGTTGGAAGAACTCCTCGGATCAGGAGTAGACGTTGTTAGTCTGACAGCTGGTCAAAATAAGTACCCCATTGGTGGAACGAGGACGACCTACACTCGTTTACGTACGCGTGGGGCCGATTTTGGAATAGGCGGGAGGTGGACGCGCAGATAGGGGGGTGTACGGCCGGGTATACATTGTGCAGATGCACAAATGACAGATGGACTGTCATGATCAAATTTGTTTGTTCTTGAAACAACTATTTTCTTAAAACTGAGCGGTGGAATATATATCTCGTAACTTCAGTAAAATCCATTTTTGACCGAGCCAGAGCGAGGAGGGAAGGTCTTTGGCAAATGCCTTTCTTGTGTGCTGTTAGGTTGTGAGGCGCCTGAAGTCCGCCGGACAAACGCTGCTGCAATGCTTTCTTGTTGAGCACCGACCTCCGAATCCCGTTGGTGCCAAGCCACATAACGCGGGAAATTAAGAGGTCACATCGGGCGCAAGACAAACATAGCTCACGACAAGCCTATGATGAGAATAAAGTAACGATAAGACCTGAAAAGCAGGAACATCGGAAGCATGAGTCCTGGGACTGAGGCTCCGTGGTATAGAAACGCAAGGCTGTTGTCAAATTCATCAATTCACTTCTGCTCGCATACAAATCTGACCTGCCTTCTCATCATCTTGCCCTCGCCCGCAAACTCTCCCTCACAATGTCCAGAGAAGCCAAAGCGCCATTCAATAACACCAAGGCAGATATCGTCCTGCGCTCTTCAGACAATGTCCATTTTCGTGTCTTCCGGTGCATGCTCGCACTCGCCTCTCCATTCTTCGACGCGATGTTCGACCTTCCCCAACCAAGAAGAAACCACTCCGACGAGACATTCGACGGCCTAGACGTAATTCAGGTGTCGGAGAACAACAGGACGCTCGACATGTTGCTGAGATTTTGTTATCCGGCTGCAATAAAAGATCCTAGTTTGGAGGATATGAATGACGTGGAAGAAGTCTTAGAAGCTGCAATGAAATACGGAATGGAAGAGATTGAAGAAAGGGTGAGGAAAGCCATGGTTGCCCCATCCCTCCTGGAGAGCAACTCCGCGCGCCTCTTTGCAATTGCATGTCGATATGGTCTCGAACCGGAAGCTAGGATCGCTGCAAGATATTCGCTCCATCATCCGGCCCCGACGCAGGATACCCATGCCATAACATGCCTTCCTAATGATGTCATGAAGGGTCTTGCCGCATATCGCTCGAAGTGTAGCCACGCTGCCAGAACGCTTTGCGACAATCTGGACTGGTTAAAACAATCACAGACCCACAGTTTCTACGAGTGGTGGACAAACTGTTGTTCATGTGACTCGAAGGCGGATGTCAGATACATGACACATGGAACCTATCCACGAGAGTGGTTGGCAGATTACATGGACGAGACATCCATTGCCTTGGAAGAGTCTCCTTGTGGGGCAGCAGTGACGAAAAATTTGGCAAAAGCTGTCGAGAGGGCAAGCAATTGTCCCTCATGTCGGCGGCGTGCGCATGACCAGATGGTTCAATTTACCGAGACTTTTGTTCGGGAATTGGACAGAGCCATTACCAAGGTGCGCGAACAACTAAATTGCTGTCGCTTGAAGGATCTAAACAGTCTTCGTAGATCCCCCTAGATGTCACCATCATGATGTGATGAAATGTTCGACATGACCTGCGCTGTGCAATTGTGTGTCAAAAACCATCGGGTCCGCTGGGTTCAACCATTCTGTTCGATCGACGTCACAGTTGAACTACTTACGATGTAATTACCTTATTATCAAGGACGTAGAGTCAGCCTATCTGCCAGTCGAATAGGACCTATAGAGTACTTCCCCTATAATGATAGTCAAAAGACAGATACTTACTATCTAGATCTGTTGCTTGGCGTCGCACATCATGACCATCGTATACCAACATAGACACGTTCGCGCTTTACCAACGAAACTCATATGCAACACACTAGTCCTATAATCTACCGATTCCATCGAGTTGAGTTGGCGGTGCCGGTGAGAGTGGAGGTCTGAAGAGCGAATCCAAGTTTAGAATTCGAACATCAAAGCTAAATCCCAAAGGGGAACCTGTATCCCTCCTATCAGTACTTGTCAGGTCGTATCGTGCTGTCGGTTTCCACGCTCAAATGGATGGCAATTTAGTAACGATTCATGCTGGAAATAAATGCTTATCGCAGGAGGCGCTGCAGGAAAGCTGTATTCTAGCTCTCACCAGAATCCTCCCACAATGGATCCTATGGACGTAGCTTTGAGCAAGTGCTCCAGCATCGAAGACGAACCACGGCAGGTGCCAGTCGACGCCGGAGCCCCTTTTGACAGAGGGGATGTCATATTACGCAGTGCGGACAATGTCGATTTCCACTTTCACAAGCTATTGCTGTCTCTAGCATCATCTTTCTTCTCAAACATGTTTTCTCTCCCTCAGCCAGGTGCTCTTGATAACGCTGCGGACCGGACAAAACAGGGTCTCCCCATTATACCGGTGGCGGAGAAGAGCATCGTGTTGCGGAAGCTGTTGGGCTTTTGCTCTCCTGTCTATGACACGGACGTGCCCGCTCTCGAGAACTTGGACATTGTCATGTCCGTCCTCGATGCCGCCGAAAAATACGACATGAAACGGGTCGGTGGATTCATCGTTAGAATGATAACGGCTCCTAGGTTTCTCGAGGAAGAGGCTATGCGAGTCTTTGCTATCGCATGTCGCTACCGGTCGGAGGAAGAAACTCTCATAGCGGCAAGATATATGCTGCGTTTTGCAGTGTGGGAGCCTGGATATGTGTCTGAATTGGACTTCATCTCTGGCTCAGACTTCCAGCGGTTAGTCAAGTACCACGCGAGTTGTGGTCAAGCTATGAACCAGCTTACCCTTCTGTGGTCTACGTATCCCCTACCATTGCTTGACTGCAAGTTCTGTCGCAAGAAGGGAGTTTCTCGCTTGCCCCCCAAAGAATACCAAGATAGTGTCATAGAAGCACTCCGCACTCGACCGTCCGTGGAAAGCCTGCTTAAACCCGAGTGGATTGACGATATGGTGAAGAGAGCCGGAAGCTGTATTAGTTGTAGAGAGAGCGCGCCGGGGAAGTTTGCTGAATATGCAAAGAAGCTAGCCCTCCCAGTGATGGGGCTTATCCTAGAGGTGAGTTGTCGTGATTGACTGACTGACTGACTGTGCTCTTACCTTCTCTCAGATTCCCTTGGACATTAATTTTCGCTATTGATATTCTATCTAATATATTATAAACCGTATACTGGAACTAGGAAGGAGTTGTTTCATCTATATCTCATACCCTCTTAGGTGCACTGCAATTGTGGGCGAGGGCAGGTTCCATTCACATCTAGGACGAGTTGGGATGAAGGGATTGGAAGATGGATTGTAGGATATTATCGAAATACATCATTCTGTAGTCGTTACGCCTTTCCCGACCTTCATAATGATACAAACAGTACACGCTGATGTAGGTCCAGGCGCTCACCGTCCAATGCCGCCCGTCCTCCTGTAGCTTCAAAACGAAAATATATATATTGAATCGTCCGTGCTACGGGTATGTGGAACTGGCGAGGCAATATATATAGTTTCGTTGCACCCTTTTAAGAGCTAGACCACGGAACTGAGTGTGAATCATGATGCATGATGTGTTTACGCGGAGGACAAGGAGACAGAAAATGAAGAAAAGAGATACTGTGTGTTTAACTGTGTTGCTATTTGGCCATGTAGTGCTCCACACGTGATGAAACGCGGTCACGTGGTCTGCGTCCACTTTGCAACAACCTCAACCTCGGTAAGTCGTTATCGCGTTGCATTACTAGAATCAAGGACTACTGTAAGCATCTCAGGATGGCGATGCTTGAGACCCCGTCTCGAATATGGCGCAGAATTCAAGCTGCAGATGAAGGAGAGCCACCTTCTCTGCCGTCCTTACCTGCCTTCGATGATTCTGCTGCAGCAGACTCAGACTCGGACCAACATTCAACTGACGATGGCGCTGATATCTTGCCGGTGCACTCCACACCCGCCGCTGTCTCAGCGCATACGGCCACCTCAACTATAAGGCTACAATCAAGTACTTCCAGCACAGCACGCTTTGCAAGCTCTCTTGCATCACGCTCCGTTTCAGCAAAATCTTCCTCTGCATCCAGAACATATCCATACCCTCGGAGCCCCGCACAAAGCTTCGAAGTGAGCGCCATAACCTTCACTGCCCCATGGGAGCGACGAGAATACAGATCCGGAAGATTCGCCTCACGCACGCAGCAATGGCAGTATTCCAGAGGCTCATTTGCCCCCAGAAGAGAATGAGGTCGATGATATGTCTTTGGAAGACGCACTACAGTCCCTCAGCCGCTCCAGCTCCCCGTTTCATCCCGACATCCCTCTGGAAGGTCCTACCCCGAGGAAGAAGTACGACTACTCGATTTCATTGCGTTCTGAAGTTCAGGTGAATGCTTTTCTGCTCGATCTTCATTATAGTTAAGCTCAACGTGCCCCAGCGTACCCCATTCGACAAATATCGTAATGTCGCGCTCAGAAAACCGCTCGCGCGGACGAGGACACCGTCCCTTTCTCGGACGACACCCTCGCCTGTCTCATCACCTCCAAACTCCACACCTCGCAGCAACAGATCTATTGCGCTACCCACAGAAACACCGTCTCCGACTCCTGGTGTTTACGTTCCCTTACCCCGATCGAGAACAGCCTCTCCAGCTGTCACGCCACTCCCAAGCGTCGTGATACAGCCCCCAGAGGATGAGAGTAGCGATGAACAAGAGCTCTACACAGAGCATTACCAGGACCAGCCACAGGAAAGTGATCTCGAACCTGGGCAGGAGGACTCTGCCACCCAGTCGGACCGCGAGCCAACATTCTCATCCGCATCGTCCGATCCAAGCACTCAAGTCAACAACGACCGAACCATAGGTGCGCCTTCGACAGCATTTCCATCACCGGCTAGATCAGTATTGGATTTCACCCCCGTCCCACGACTTCGCACTCAGTTCAATGTCCCACACGCATACAATGAACTAGGTACAGACGCAGGCGAAGAGCCCCTCACTCCTCACGCCCGCAGACGGTCATTTCTCCTTTCAGTCATCAACTCTACCGCCCGGCCCCGCATGAAGTTCACCCCTCACCCCCACAGACAACTCACCGCTCTCCCTGTGTCCCAGAGCTCAAGCGGGAGCGGTGAAAGCGCATCCAGTGGCGGCGCAACGCCCGCCGGTCCCCTGCGCACAGCATTTGCAGGTATCACCCCTCGACCTGGGCGGGGGCGGGGCCGCATGTCCCACCCTCTCGCCCAGGTGCATGCTCCAGACAGCGCATCCTCCGCAGGTGACAGTGAGCATCTCGCCTCCCCCTCTGACACCGAGCTTCGTGGTGCATCAGCCTCCTTCATTTCCACCGCGTCGTCGAACGACCTCACCACACACCCACGTGCCAATACCTCGTACGATCCTGCAGTTGGCACAGGCCAGCGCGGCGTGGCGCGCTTCGACGCGCCGAAGCTGAACCACTACCTGCATACGCTAAACTCGAAGTTGCAGGAAGAGAACAAGATACTTGTCGACCGGTTGAGGAAGTACGAGGAGGTGAAGGACGCTGAGCAGCGGCGGCTCAGTTTGGAGAGTATGAGCTCTGGAAAGGGGCGAAGGGTCAGTGCGGGAAGTGCACTGGGCGATGTGGAGGAAGAGGTGGAAGCAGTGGAAGAGGAGTGGGCAGAGGAGAAGAGAGATTTGGAGGAGCTCGTGGAGAACCTAGAGGCTCAGCTCGACAAGCTGGCAGCAGAAAAGGAGAGCGTGGCTCAGGACCTTGAGACTGAACAGCGTGAACGTGCCCGGGACAAGGAACGTTGGCGGGAGCGCATGCATGAAGTCGAGAGTGGCGTTGCGGAGATCGTGGGTGATTTGGAGAACAAAGTCGCAGAGACCGAGCAAGCACTGGAAGAGAGGACCAAGGAAGCAGAGCGTATCCGTGAACGACTTCAGAGTGAGCGTGACCTTGCGCTGGAGAGGGCTGCACAGGCGGAGACGGCAATGGAGAATGGGAAGGAGCTTGGGGGCGCACTGAAGGAGGCCAACTCCCGGATCAGCGTGCTCACAGCCGACCTGCGGAGTGCGACCGCGCAGATCAAGGATCTGGAGGATGAAATCATGGCGAGCGACAGGCGCGTTGATGAGCTTGAGAAGGAGCTCAAAGGCGAGCGGCTCTCCACCAAGTTAGCCAACGATGATCTTCACGGTCAGCTGAGCGAGATGGGCGCCGAGATCATGCGCTCTAGTGCTCGGGCATCCGAACTCGAGAAGGACTTGAAAGTTCAAGAAGCCGCTGCAAGACATCTCCAGAATGAGCTGGAAGCCAAATCAGATGAGCTTGCAGAGGCACAGCAGCTTATTGCGCAATCCGACAAGGACATCAAGGAGGAAGTTCGCGATCTCAAGACCTATACTGCCGAGCTCGAAAAGGCTGTCACCGCTGCGACTGAACGCATCCAAGACCTCGAAGAGCAGCTTGGTTTTGCTCAAGACCGTTATAACCAGTTGGAGGCTGAAGAACAAGAGGCTAACGACCGCGTTGAAGCACTGGAAGAGGAAGCTGAAAGGGCATCGCTGCTGGTCAGCCAAATGGAAGACGCTCTCGACGCTGCAGAGCAGAAGATGCACACTGACGAAGAGGCCGTCGCAGAGCTCAAAGCCAAGATTTCTACCCTCGAACGAGAAAGAGAGCGCGAGAGGGAGATGTCTCGACTGCTGAAAGGACAACATTCAGACGAGAGCAACGCTGAAATCGAGAGTGCGCTCGAGGCAGAGCTGGAGCAGGCGCACAAAGAGATCGCGAGGCTCAATGAACTCCTTCGGCACTCTCCTGCACGGAAAGCTATCGAGGCTGCCAAGGATCAGAGGATCGAGACCCTGGAGAGAGATAAAGAGCAGCTCCAGGCACGCGTCAAGGCCCTCCGATCGACCAGTCTCGAGGTGGCAACTCCGAACAAGGTGGTTAACCTTAGTGGGATCTCTCCGATTCATCGACATGTATTATCGATGTCTGTCAGGGGTCCGAAGACACCTGGAGGTCCTTTGAAAGATGTAAGCTGGGTTCACAATGTCCGAGCGGTTCCTTTCTGATGGAAAAACTTGATAGCTTTCGTGGTTGAACAATACCACCGGGGATGCTTCAGTGTCCCCCCTATTGACTGAAATCGGTCGTCTTCAAGCTGAGCTCGACCGTGCCAACGACAGTATCGACCAAAAGCTCGATGAACTGGAAGATGCCGGACTGGGAGTTGTGTCCCTCACTAGAGATCTTGAGCTTGCCCGATCCAAGATTTCTCAACTTGAAAACGAGACGGGAAGGTTACAAAGACGCGAGGATCGTCGACTTCATCGTCTCCAAAGGCTCCGTTGTCAGAGATGTCTGGTCAAGGTGGACACATTGGCATTGCAACGATTTTACGACGCCGATGAAAGGTGCGTCTCATGGCGCGTTCTTAGCGTAATATCCTGATACAAGATTTCCAAGCTCCTTGGATATATCGCACAGCGGCCTCCCTTCCAACCCCCCGACGCCTCCGACAAAGACCAGCGAAGCTCTTAGATTGGACCTTCAGGCAGTGAACAAGGAACTTGACACGATGAAACAACGGTGGGAGGAAGAGAAACGCCATCTTTTGGGAGAAAAGGCAGTCCTTCAAGACGCTGCGAACCGGATGCACGTGGAAGTGCGGAGCGCAAAGGACGAGGCAAAGAGAGCTGCTGAAGCTAGCCGACGATCTAGAGCTGATAGTCGGGAGGTCGAGCGGGCGAAGGCTGTCATTGCTGACCTCGAGGCTGAGCTGCAGGCTGAGAGAACGCGTCTCAGACAGATGTCCACGGAGCAGAACCGCGTCCAGCGTGAGAAGAGTGACGTTGCTCGCCAACTACAAAGGACCGAAACGGTACGTCCCTCGACTAACTTCAGAAGCATCTAAACCTGAAAGCTATCAGGATATCGACGACGTCAAGAAACAGCTGCAGAAAGTCAAGCGCGACAATCATGAACTAGAAAACGAATTGCGGAGTACGTACCTTCCCATCTCTCCATCATCGCTGCTGATTAAAAAATGCAGCCAATGCCACCGTCGAGCAGCAAGCTCGCCTCCTCGAAGGCAAAGTCAAAGAAAACGCAGAGACAATCGACCACCTGCGGCAAGAGCGGTCCCTTCTTGCAAAGGATCACAAGGAACTTCAACGGCGGTTCACTGAAGTATCAGATGTGAGTGCTTCTCGTTGTAACAGTATTGCATTGTGCTGACACTTGAACAGCGAGCCAACAGGCTTCGCGATGACTACACAAGATCACAATCATCGCATGAGAACCGCCGTCAACAACTCGATTCGCATCTCGCTGAAATCGATGACCTCAGGCGTGCGCTCTCCAATCAAGCAGACGAACTACAACGTAGCGAAGAGGAGAAAAACCGCATGGCGATGGAGAAGACCGATGTTGCACGCACTGTTGCAGCCCTCGAGTCCGACCTCAAACGCGTCAAGCGAGATGCCGAGGCATTTGGACGTGATCTTAAAACTCTGCGAACGGAAAAGGAGAAGCTGCAGGAGAAACATAGGGATGAATTGACGAAGGCTGAGCGAACCAAGAAGCAGGCCCAAAGCCAGATACGTGTCCTGAACGAACAGCTCGGCAACCAGCATGCAAAGTTAAAGACGGCCCAGGAGAAGCTCAAGAATTATTCGTTTGCAATGTGAGTGGTGACGCACTTGTGCGCTGCGTCTCGATGCTGAACAAGTTTTAGTGATAGCCACCAGCTCGACGAGCTGAAGATACAGCACAAGGAAGAGTGCAAGGGCCTCGTTGTCCAGATTCGGTACCTCAAGGCGAAGTTTACCCGCGAGTCTACCTTGCGAGATGGTCTTGTATACCAGAAACAGTATCTTCTCGTTCTCCTCTCGAACTTTGAGGCGAGGTAGGGGCAATTTCTGCACCAGTCATGCTATACGTTTACCTCGTTCGACAGTGAGAAGCGCATACTGGCCTGCATATCTCGGATAGGATATCCCAAACCTAAAAACCCACCAGCGATTGTAAAGAAGCCGCGCTCGATAAAGAGTGTTGTACTGAGTGTCGTTTTATACGCCGTGTGAGGTAGGTACCCAGTCACATCCCCAGTTTCCGTTCAGTTTCCAAATCTAACGTCTTTCCAGGCAAGTTAGTGACGCTTGGCGAGAAGCAAGCGCAAACAAAAAAGCCATTTCTGATGCGTTATACGAAGTCCGTCGAAGAAGAACCATTGCAACCACTTCTTAGTCTCCTTGCTTTGTGATCTCTCCCCGTTTGGCCAAAATGTTGTTATCATAAGTTAGATGTTGTATGATTAGTTCGGTATCCTAAATCAAGATCTTGTACACCCTGCACCAGGCGGTGCCTAAAACCTGAACTGCGCGTTATGAAGATGGAGGTCTCTTGCGTGTCTCCGAGACTATTCGCACAGCATCTTTGGAAAAGACGTAGGACAACCCACTCCAAACCGTTGTCACAGCCACCAAAATTCTGAAATATATGAGGGAAAGAAGAGACATGGATATAGACCGACTTACTGCATTTCGGGTACAAACAGGCTATAGTGTGCGGGCAGGATGGGGGTGACGGTTGTACCGCACATCAACGCGAGTTGAGCAAAGGTATTGTACTACGGATAGAAACTCAGCAGATCAAATAATGAGGCCTAACGAATCCTACCTTGCTGATTGTGGTAGGCCGTACTTCAGCAGATGGTATAGAAAAGTCCCAATATCGAGCGAAGGTTTTCTGAAAAAAATAATAATTGGTGAGCGTATCCTAAGCACAATGACCCATCAGCATGACACGTACTGGCGCGGGTAGTGAGGTATAACGGATGTAAAAGGCAGAAAGACTGAGCAACACGTCACGCCCAATAATTATTGAGGCTAGCGAGACTAGGGATGGCGTCAAGAGAATGCAAATGAACTTTTATTGAAGCTGCTCACCGGGAAGCAACCCCTTCATAGCCAACGTCACCGTGAGGGTGGTCATGAGAGTTTTGTCCGCAGCAGGGTCAAGGATGGTCCCAAGAACTGAATGCATGCCGAAGCGTCTTGCCAGATACCCATCGGCCTGTACCCAAAGCTCAACTCTTAATCAACCCAATTATTCGTGTGGCACCCACTAAGTCAGACAACCCAGCATATACCAGCAACCCGGTAGCGAGGAAGAAATCGTCATGCAGTATGGACCAACCGAGGACAGGGCATGAAAGTATCCGAGAAACTGTCAACAAGTTTGGTATGGTGTATATATTTTCGCGTACAGGCGGCGTTGCGGCAGAGCCTTTCGTATCGTCGACCTTCCTGTCTGATCGCCTGATACAAGAGGTAGAGAGAGCTCTGGTGACTGTGGTGAAGACATTGCTGTGTCTGGTTTTCAGCTGGAATGGAGTTGCATATAGTGAAGGTTGGAAAACTGGACGATGACGTGAGGTTAAAGCGAGGTTGCGACGAGGAAGAGCGAGGGAGTATCGGGGCAAGGTTGAGTACATCACTCTGGAGAAGGCAAAATTGAGATGAGACCAAAATGGAAATCAATGTCCTTCGAGATAGGGGCTGACACACTCAGTTCATGTCAGGCCTTGGCCTAACAGCTAGCGCTTACTAGCCGCGCAGTTTAGTATCTCGTATCTCTCAATGAGTTATACCCATCAAATTTTTAGGTGCGTCTTAATGCCTGCTCTGTGACTTTTATTCTCCTACACAACGATAAGTTCTAATGGTAGCATTCAACAGTAGCAACACGACGGCAAGTAGTTCAAGAAACCTCCTTCAATCTCACCTACAGAAGCAAGGTAAGCTTTGCATCGGTGATGGATCAGTTGGCAGGAAGAACTCACAGTCTCTACCACCTTGTCAACTTGTGCGACATACAAAGCACGGAATTTGCCCATACTATCAACGGCCGTGCTTCGGCAATAATTGCATTCAGTCGCTCTCACAATAGCGCGATTGTAATGATATGCCGACTCCAATAAGGTCGATCCGCAAGGTCTTGCGAACAAGTCCTTCCCACACGAAACCAGATATTCATTGAACCACAAGGGGATTGCGACCGATGGAAGATTCGGAACTTGGAGGTTGACCATCCTGGTACCACTTGTGCTTCTGCAACTGCAACTCCTCCACAAATCTTGCACATTTTTATATGACGACCCTAGCCAGGAGAGAGACCCAAGCGCTTGAGCAGCGACGCCGCATTCATAATGGTACATGAGAAGCATGTGATGATCCAAAGCGGTGATGTCCCGCATACCATTAAACTTATTGCTGGGTCGTCCTAGATCTTTGATCTTAAGGGACTGGGTAGCGGCGGTCTGAGCATGATGCTCCCATCCGAATCGACAAGACAGACCGTATAGCTCGAGAGAGTGATCTGGCAGGAATTTGGCAATGATGAGGTCTCCTGCACGGTTAAGGATCGCCTGCATGTCATACTTCCTGGCTGCTTCTATCACAGCCTTGGCATCATCCAAGTTGTCGAAGGTTGGGGCTGCGGTAGGATAGCAGAGTAGAAGAAGGAGTTGGAGGGTCGTGCTGCCCTCAGACACAGGAATGATAGGCACTGACGATACGTCCGACTGCAAACCGTTTTGAGGTAGCGTGAACATGTCTTTGAATACGGATGACGCGAGCGAAAGAATGAGCTTGAAAACATGAAAGTCAACATTATCAGTCGAACGGAGGATGATGTCACAGTCAGGATTATCGAAGGGTGCGTTAGCAGTAGTGGTTTCCACAGCCTCTGACATGATCAACGACACAAATTGAAGGTGGCGCACTCTGCCAGATAGCTGGAAGTCGATCCCTCTTCGACTGTATCTAAGCGCTGCAAATCGCTGCAGTCATCACAAGACGCAGGGGTGATCGATTGATCCCCAGATCTAGGGAACGTGACATTCTGGAAATGTCCAATTACAGCATGGTGTATTGTATCTCAGATAGACGATATATTTTCAGCTAGAATGGGATATCAGATATATCAAACTCTACCTTAGGACAGCAAGAATCAGCACCACAAGAGAACCAGTTTCAACGTACTAACGGTATCAACCGCCCTTCCAATCTCCACAGCAAAGCGTTCCCAAATGAAAACACTGAGATATAGGAAGGCCGTCGGCTGACATGGAACGCAGCCACATGCTGCTTCCAGACACCTTACTGATTGTGGCAGGCCGTACTCCAGCAGATCAAGAAAGTCCCAATGTCGAGCGAAAGTTTTCTGCGAGTTGCGTCATGTTATTCAGACTAATCTTCTCCAGAACCGGCGCCGAGAGTGAGATGCAACGGAAGTAAAAGGCGGAAAGACTCAGCAACACGTCACACCCAATAATAGTTGAGGCCAGTGAGACTAGAGATGGCATCAAGAGATTAATGCAAATGAACAGCAACTCCATCATGGCGTGAGGTTGTCATAAGAGTTTTGTCCGCAGTAGGGTCAAGAATGGTCCCGAGGAATGAATGCATGCTGAAGCGTCTTGCCAGGTACCCATCGGTCTTTACTAAAAGACCGGCTTTCAATCAATTCAACCATTTGTGTGGTACCCACCAAGTCGGACCTAGCATAGACCAGTAATCCGGTTGCGAGGAAAAACAACATCATGCAGTATGAACCAACCGAAGACAGGGCATGAAAATATCCGAGAAACGACCAACAAGTTTGGTATGGTGTCACCATATTTTCGCGCAAAGGCAGCGTTGCGGCAGAGCCTTTAGTGTCGTCGGCCGCCTGGGGGAGAGTGCTGTGTCTGGCTTTGATCTGGAATGGAGTGGCATATATTGAAGGTTGGAAAATTAGACAACGTGAGGCTAAAGCGAGTCCGCGGCGAGGAAGAGCAAGGGAGTAGCGGGGCAAGGTTGAGTACATCACTCTGGAGAAGGCAAAATTGAAGCAAGACCAAAATGGAAATCAATGTCCTTCGAGAATCGAGACAGGTTCAGGCAGTGGCGTCCCAGCCTGCAGGCAGTGAGCGTCGCCTGGAGGCCTTGGCCTAATATCTCTGTGGGTCATATCCAAATTGGTTTTCCAATTGTAGGGGCGTTTTTCTAACGCCTACTTGGTAACTTATCGTCCTATTACTACACAACGATAGCTCCGATGGTATGCAGCATTGTACAGCAGCAACACGACGGCGAGTAGTTCAAAAAGCCTCCCTCAATCTCACCTACAGAAACAAGGTGAGCTTGCGATGATGAATCAACTAGCAGGCAAAACTCACAGTCGCAACCACCTTTTTAACTTGTGCGATATACAAAGCTCGGAATCTGTCCATACTCTTGACGACCGTGCTTCCGCAATCATTGCACTCGACTGCTTTGATAATAGCGCGATTGTAAGATTCCGACTCCAATAAGGTCGATTCGCAAGGCCTCGCCAACAGCTCCTTCCCACTCAAAATCAGGTATTCATCGAACCAAGGGACCATCGTCGACGTTCCAACGTCTGCAACTTGGCGCGTCCTAACACCCGAGCCTCTGCAACTGCATTTCCTCCACATCTGCATATCTCTATATGATGGCCCCAGCCAGGAAAGAGAATCCCCGACTTCTTGAGCAGCGAGGCCGCATTCATAGTGATACACGAGGAGCCTGTGGTAATCGAGGGCGGTGATGTCCCGCATACCATTAAACCCATTGCTGGGTCGCCCAAGATCTTTGATCTCAAGGGCCCGGGTAGCGGCGGTCTGAGCATGATGCTCCCATCCGAATTGACAAGACAGAGCATATAGGTCGAGAAAGTGATCTGACAGGAATTGGGCAATGATGAGGTCTCCTGCACGGTTGAGGGCCGCTTGCATGTCGTAATTCTTGGCCGCTTCCAGGACAGCCTTTGCATCATCCAAGTTGTCGAAGGTTGGGGTTGCGGCAGGATAGCAAAGGAGAAGTAGGGATCTGAGTGTCGTGCTGCTCTCCGCCACATGAATGACTGGCACGGACGACACATCTTCCTGGAATTCGCTCTGTGGTAGCGTGAATTTATGTTTGAACACGGCCCGGGTTGTCATGAGCCAAAGAATCAACTTGAAAACATGGAAGTTGACACCATTTGTTGAACACAGTATCAAGTCACAGTCGTGGCCATCGAATGGTGCTTGGGCAGTGGTAGCTTCCTCAGCCTCTGACATGACTGACGACGAAAACAAGGACGCGCACTGGAGGGCTAGATAGGCAGAAGTAAATCCCTTCAAGTGTATTTAAACGGAGGTTTGCTTCGGGGGGTGATCCCCAGATCACGTGGCAGTCTGAAACACTTAGATGAGAGCTTGGTGTCTTGTACTTCCAAGAGAGACCGCATATTTTTGCTAGAATGGGATATCAAGCTCCACCTTAGGACAGCAAGGATCAACCCACACAAAGAGAACCGGTGGGAATACTAAATGTACTTACAGTAACACCTTTCAACCACCACAGCGAAGTGTTGGGGAAACGCTGAGATCTAGGGAGGCGGTCGGTCGACATGTAAAGCAGCTAGATGCTGCTTCCAGACATTCGGCAGTCAAAAACGAATTCGTGACGAGGATCTGTGACGACCTTGGCACAAGGGCGCTCACGAAGAACGTCCCTTGCTGATTGCGGTAGGCCGTACTCCAGCATCGAGCGAAGATTTCTACAAGTTGCGTCATGTCATCCTGAATAACAATCACGTCCTCCAGACACGTACCGGCGCCAGGAGTGAGGTATAACGGATGTAAAAGGCTCCACAACACGTCATGCCCAATAATTATCGAGGCCAGCGAGACTGGAGATGGCGTCAAGAGAATGCAAATGAGCCTTTATTGAAGCTGCTTATCGGGAGGCAACCCCTTCATAGCCAACGTCACCGTGAGGGTGGTCATAAGAGCTTTGTCCGCAGCAGGGTCAAGAATGGTCCCGAGAACTGAAGTGCATGCCGAAGCATCTTGCCAGGTACTCATCGGCATTTACTCAAAGCACCATTCGTGTAGTACCCACTAAGCCGGACAACCCACCATAGACCAGCAATCCGGTCGCGAGGAAGTCATCATGCAGCATGGACCAACCGAGGACAGTGCATGAAAGTATTCGAGAAATTATCGCAAGTGGACATTGAGCAGGAATGGAGTTGCGTACAGTGAAGGTTTTAAAAATAACGTGAGGCTAAAGCGGCGAGGAAGAGCGAAGGAGTAAGTAGCGGAGCAAAGTTGAGTAGCATTCAAGACGGAAATGGAACCTTCGGGGGCTGCTCGGTTCAGGTGTGACGTCGTTTTCAGACCTTGAACTAACTAACAGTACTTGTTACATAAGTACTTTGTAAGTACTACCATGCCCACCGTGTAAAGGGCTATGTCCGACATAGGGTCAATGACCCCAAAGGACAATAAATTGGATTTAAAAAGAAAGAAAAAAGTACTGGTATATCTCTGATCAGTGGGGCACATTCATAACTTGTACAGTAGGGAAATGTTTCATTAATGCCCAGTCGGTAATTTGGCACTGTCCCTGAGCACACAACGACCTGAGGCTGATGGTACATGCATATGCAGCAGCAAATCAAGAAGACTGCCTCAATTTCACCTACAGAAGCAAGGTGAGCTTTGCATCAGTGATGACTCAATTGGCAGTGGAAACTCACAATCGCTACCACCTTTTTAACTTGCGCCATATACGAAGTACGAAATCTATCCATACTCTCGACGACGGTGATTCGGCAAAGACCGCATGCAGTCGCTTTGACAATAGCACGATTGTAATATGCCGATTCCATTAAGGTCGATTCGCAAGGTCTTGCGAACAAGTCCTTCCCACTCGAAACCAGATATTCGTCAAACCACATGGCGATCGTCAACTTTCCGAGGTTCCCAACTTGGAGCGCCCTACTACTCGTGCTTTTGCAACCGCCACATTCCCTCCACATTGGATGTTTAGATGAAATTCCGAGCCAGGAAAGAGAGTCCCCGACTGCTTGAGCAGCGACACCGCATTCATAATGGTATATGAGGAGCCTGTGGTGATCCAAAGCGGTGATGTCCCGCATGCCATTAAATTCATTGCTGGGTCGCCCTAGATCTTTGATCTCAAGAGCCCGGGTAGCAGCAGTCTGAGCATGATGTTCCCATCCGAATCGACAAGACAGAGAGTATAGCTCGAGAAAGTGGTATGGTAGAAATTGGGCAATGGCGAGGTCCCCCGCACGGCTGAGAGTGGCTTGCATGTCATACTTCCTGGCTGCTTCCATCACAGCCTTCGCATCATCTAAGCTGTCGAAGGTTGCGGTTGCGGCAGGATAGCAGAGTAAAAGCAGGATTTGGAGGGTCGTGCTGCCCTCGGACACATGAATGACAGGCACTGACGATACTTCCGACTGCAAACCGTTTTGAGGTAGCGTGAACATGTCTTTGAATACGGGTGACATGAGGGAAAGAATGAGCTTGAAAACATGGAAGTGGACACCATCAGTCGAACGGAGAATGATGTCACAGTCAGGATTATCGAAGGGTGGGTTAGCAGTGATGGTTTCCACAGCCTCTGACATGACAGACGAAACAAGGTCGCGCATCGGACTACTAGATACAAGTCAATTCATTTCACTGCCGCACAGTCATCACATGACGAATTGTTCCGAACAATTCAAGTTGTACATTTCAAATAAGACTACAGAAGAATAGGGCTGCTCAATTCTTGGGCTCAGTTCGCTGACGGAGTTGCACTTGTCACCCAATTGCCTCTACCTTACTAGGACCGCAAGGATCAGCGCACACAAAGAGAACCACAGTTTGAAACGATCTACTCACAATACTTATAGAAGAAACGACTATCTTCCTTCTCAGTCAAAAATAAATCTGCCAACCGGCACTTTCGGCACTAATACCACCTGCAGAAGTAAGGTGAACTTCAAGTGAATCGGTGATGAATCAATTAGCTGGGAAAGCTCACAGCAGCGACCACCTTTTTAACTCGTGCGATATACAAAGCACGGAACGTGTCCATACTCTCGACGACGTTGCCACTGCTTCGGCAACTACTGCACTCAGCTGCTTTGACGATAGCGCGATGGTAAGATGTCGACTCCCGTAAGGTAGATTCGCAAGGCCTTGCAAACAGCTCCTTCCCACTCGAAACCAGATATTCATCAAACCACGGGGCGATCCCAACGTCTCTGGAGTTTCCGACTTGGAGCATCTTAATGCTCGAGTTTCTGCATGTGCATCTCCTCCATTGCATATTTACAGTTGATGACAACGCTATCCAGGCGAGAGACTCCCCGACCGCTTGAGCAGCGAACGCTGCAGTTATAATGGTACACAAGAAGCCTGTGGTAATCCAGAGCGGTGATGTCCTCCATACCATCAAACGCACCACTGGGTCGTCCTAGATCTTTGATCTTAAGGGCACTGGTAGCGGCGACCCGCGCATTATGCTCCCATCCGAATCGACAAGAGAGAGCGTATAGGTCAAGGGAGTGATCTGGTAGAAACTGAGCAGTGATGAGGTCCCCAGCACGGCTAAGGGCCCCTTGCATGTCATACTTCGTGGCTGCCTTCATCATAGCGTTTGCGTCATTCCAGCTGACGAAGGTTGGGGTTGTGGCAGGATAGCAGAGTAGAAGTAGGGATTTCAAGGTCGTGCTGCTCTCAGCTACAGGAATGACGGGCACTGACAGTACGTCTGACTGCAAATTATTTTGGGGTAGCGTGAACATGTCTTTGAATACGGGTGACATGAGGGAAAGAATGAGCTTGAAAACATGGAAGTGGACACCATCAGTCGAACGGAGAATGATGTCACAGTCAGGATTGTTGAATGGTGCCTCGGCAGTGGTGGGTTCCTTAGCTTCTGACATGACTGACAACGAAACAAGGTCGCGCACTGTGATGGACTATATAGCTAGAAGTCAATCCTTCGGACCGTATCTAAGCGCTGCACAGACAATTTTCTAGGGTTTCCTTCGGGGATCATCCGCAGATCTGGGGAACGTGGAACAATTCAATTACAGCATGGTGTTGTGCATTTTAAACGGACCACATGTTTTTAGCTAGAATGGGATATCAAGCTCCACCTTAGGACAGCAAGGATCAGCGCACACAAAGGAGAACCAGTTTCAACGTACTCACGGTATCAATCGCCCTTCCAACCTCCACAGCGAAGTGTTCCCCAACGAACACGCTGAGATCTAGGAAGGCAGCCGGTCGACATGTGAGGCAGCCGGATGCTGCTTCCAGACATTCCGCGATCAAGAACGGATCTGTGACGGCCTTGGCACAAGGGCGCTCACGAAGAACGTTCCTGGTGCGCTCCATGAACTCGATAAACCATGCATTTACTTCATATATCTTCCCATCAGAAAGAGGCCACGATAGAGGGTGATGAACGCAATCGTCGCATTGGAACCACACCCAGCGTGATGCGAAGCCAGGAAACCAGGAGAAGTCGGCGGTCAGCGAGCATGTAGCGATACTGCACTTTCGGTGGTACTGGAGGAGGCGATGGTAGACAGAGGCGGGGATGTGTTCCAGCTCTTCCACGTAGGGAGCGAAGAAGGGCTGGCGGAGTGTATGCTTTGCGGCTGTACGTGCTTCATCCTCCAGGCCATAACGGTATGCGATGGCGAACACGCGCAGCGGCTGTTCGTCCAGAAACGCTTGCTGTACAAGCGAACCCTTAACTCTGTTCATCAACCCCTTCATCCCGAACTTTCTCATCATCTCCAAGACGGTCTGCACATCGTTTAGGTTGCTAAATACAGGATTGGAGAAGGGGTAGCAATATTGCAGCACCCTCTCGGTTGTCCGAGCATCTTCCTCGAGTTGAATTGTGGCGCGATCACCGTCACGCCTAAGGACGAGCCCTTCAAACGGCGGACATGGAGAGGACGACCCTGAGAAGAGGAAGCGCTTCAAAAGTGGAGACGCAACAGTGAGGAAGATCTTGTGGACAGCGAACTTGGCGTCATCTGACGTATGAATGATCAAATCTGCATCTGTGGCATCGAAAGGAGCACGGAACGAGGTCACTTCCACAGAAAGAGGCGCAGCCTCTACGAATTGGGACATGGATAATGTTCTGAAACAGAGTGATCAGAGGGGAATGCAGATGGAAAATCAGACGGGAGAAGATATACCTTTCGTGTTGAGACTCGCGGAAATGGCATGCAGTTTGCACGCCTGATCTTCATGGAGGATCCATTGAGTCTTGACAGTGCAACACTGCTTTGACGCAAGTATTTCAACGAGTCACATGAATCTCGTGCAACTTCATGAGGCCCAGAAGTGGCATTGACCAATGATCAAAAGACAGGTGGTAGGATAACTGCCGCGTGTCATGGAGCTTTGTGCGTGGCGACTATTTGCAGTGCACAAAGGTTTGATCAATGTTCGAGGTTGTTCATTTCCAAAGAGCTATTGCCGCTACATCAGTGATGCATACCTAAGTTTTAACAAAAGAAGAGTCAAGACCTTGCAGTGGAACTTCCTAAATGCTACTAGTAACTGACTAGTCAGCAGCACCCGATCTTGGATGTATAACACGTGTTTGCAGTGCGCGTATAGCATCGCTGGGCTAACGCGCTGGTTACTTTTATCCTACGCCAAATTGCCAATAGACAGTTTGCTTCACTAGGTAGATCTTAGGTAACAATCTCGTGGCAGATATCATCGGATTTCAGGTGACCAGATAGGTTCTTCCTACATTGCCATGAAGAACAACATGCAGCACATAAAAGTAGGGCATCTTTCTTACTTTCCATCCTCACAAACAATTGTACTTGTTTCTCCTTTGTGCTTGCTGTTGCTGCTGCTTTGACAGCATCAATATCTACCAGTGACGAGTGAGAAAGTCCTTTCTTCTACCTGCATAAAAAATAGTGCGCAGACTGCGCTGCTGATCTTCGTGAGTAATAAGTATGAGTAGTTTGCGTCCTGGATTTAACCACATGACCCACCGGCGTGATAGGTCCTCTCTATACGCGACAGCTGCGGCAGTGAGTCGTGTTTCTGCTTTCACATCGGTGCAGTATGGTCAATGGTACGACGCGTGAGTTGCTGCCTTGATCGAGTGGCAAAGGAACCGATCACGATCATCGACTAAAAGTCTAGACCCAAGGTTATCGAAATAAGTGGAAAAGAGCACAAGTCAGACCTCGACCGCCTGAGACTAGGTAGCCTCATGGCTGAAGACCCATGGCGTGAGGATTCAGGTCATGGCGCAGGGTCAGTTTGAAAGGCAAGCACTGAAAGATGCTCTGAATACTGCGACGGGAGTTAAACCACGCCATTATCGTGTGGCACAACATCTTCAGCATCGGTATGCACAATGATTCGAGTGGTGTGGTGCTTGACCAGCGATTGCACCTGTTCATCCGCGATCCGATGTCATAGTTGACTTCTGTCTCCGTGCACGGCTAAGCTGTCTGTGTTAGGACTCTGCCTGGAATTCTATGTCTGATTGAAGGGTGCGGGAGGGTCCCTAACCGCGAAGTTTCCAGGGGATGCATTGGTGCGGGTCAGATTGGATCAATGGAAAAATGTAGCTGACAGAGTCTGTCTACCATGGCAATGATGATACTATTTGAACCACTGCAGCCATTCACTTGTCAACGGATGTCATAGCTGAACTTCGAGCGTCTCCGTACACAGCAGAGTCTGTGTTTGAGATCCGGCGTGCATACTGTGTCTGATCGAAGGGTACGGGAAAGTTGTTAACCGCGACGTCGCCGGTGAACGCAGTAGTAGGGAGTAATTGACTTCCAGATCGAATGGGTGAAGGAAAGTAGCTGGGAGGATATGGCAATCGGTAAGTTGTTGGAGCCATTGGAGCCATTCGGTTGCGATCGGATGACAGCGCTGGACTTCGAGAGTCTCCGTAAACAGTAGAGCGTGTGTCAGAGTTTTGACGCGAATACTGTGTCTGATTGAAAGGGATAGGAGGAGCGCCAACTGCGAAGTTGCCGACGGATGAATTGGTCAGGTCTGACTGGGTCGGACTCCTGGGTTGAATGGATCGAGCGTGGTTGTCGGGAGGGGTTGTCTCGTATGGGAATGAGGTATCTGGTGGAACGTGATCGTTGACTTCGTATTCGATATTCGTACGTCGTAGTCGACGTGGATGACCTTTTGAAGGAGGCATGACGTCTGGGGAACGAGACGCTCTTCGTTTACGCAACAAGAACATACCGAGGATGACTAATGCAACAATGACTACCGCGCCGCCACTTGCTGTGCCGGCGATAAGAGCGACATTGCTGCCTGATGAAGTGCTTGGACTGGATGTTGATGAAGCCGTCCCTGACGAAGCACTCGGGTCAGATGTTGGTGAAGCCGTGGGCGATATGCCACCTGCAGTAGATGACGGCGAATTGGCGCCGAGGCACGAGGAATTGCTCGACCCCGAGACCGGTTGGAGATCAGAGGCACCACCTTGTCTACCCTGAGAGTCTATAATAAAGAACACGAGAGTCGACTCTGCGCTAACATCCATAACCGAGGTATAACTGGAGCTAGTCACAGAATTGAATACGAGTGATTGCCCGCCAGGAATAAGTCCCTGTGGTATGATAAGCGGGTTGCTTTGATAGAATTGGTGATGCATCTGACCACAATAGTGACGGGTAGGACTGCACCACTATAGCCCGAGACAGTAAATTGGCTGCGGTAGTGGTAGGTCAGTTGCCACAAAAGGTAGGCGAACTAAACTTACCTACATTGCTGGAGTGGTTGCGGCGACAATTCAAACGTGTAAGGAGGTGATGAAACTGTAGTGTTGCAATTGTTATTTGCAACAGGAGCCCCAACAGTTAGGACGTTTGTCGTCCCACCCAAACCAAATGCGGTGGCGTCAGACATAGTGAGTAGGAACGTTATTCCACTCGCAAGCGATAATTGCGGTATTAAATATGAACCTTTGCCATTACTGAAGGCTGATGCTGGCACAGATATATTCTGGAGCATTTCAAAAGTCTGGAAGGGATAAAATTAGCGCGCAATCGATGTGCTTGAGACAATAGCGCTGACGAACGGGAGTCAAGAGTATCTCAAATGGTGCTTGCCCACCTGACGATTCCGATGATTTTCAGCGAAGGTATAAAAACAGGTTAGACGTGTGCTTACCAGTCCATGAAATGTTGAGATCATCACATTGGGTTGGAGTCCCAACAGTCACACTAAATGCACACACTGCAGAGAGACAACAAACAATACACGTGAAAGAAACGAAGAGTGACGTTTGCATATACTCAAGAAATGAGAAAGAAGACAGAGAGAAGGCGGGCGCAGTCAAGAGATATCTTGAAATAAGGAATCGTAAACTTCGCAGAGACGAGTGGGGATTCTGTCCTATATAACACCAGCTTGGCGAGAATCGGTGACTATTGTTAGACCATGACATGCATTTGAAACCTGCTGTAAGGCTGTTCGTGATCAGCGATCGCTGATAATACGCTGCTTTAGGATTTCCCATGCTAGCAAGGCGTCTTGCACCCCAACTTCCCATGTTTAAAATACGAAAGCAAGAATGAGGACGTTGAGTTGTGCCTTAAGAACATCTGGTGCATTCACAAAGAAAGAGGTAGATGGGATCACGTACTTAGTTATAATCAAGGTAAGTATTACTGGGCCTGAACTTGTGCAGCGTAGATGGTCAAATATAACTTGGTATCGATTAGCGCACGATAGGGAGAGTAGTGGAAATAAGGCGTCCTTCATCAATCCTTCATCGAGGATTCGAATTTCGCAGTGACATTCAAAGTCCGAATTCCTTATACACGATTACTCCTCCACAAACAAAATAGTATATGTAAGCAGCGGTTCTCTTCGTGCCACTGCGAAGGTAGAACCAGCAGGGTGTGGCAGACGGACTGTGATTTCAGTCGGTCTATCGAAGTGCCGCCGCGAGCGGTGGGTTCCTGCCAGCCGTTGATCTTCTGCATGAGGCACTTTGAGTAGAGCAGTGTGTCAACATGTATGGCATCAAATTCTGCGAGAAGCCAACCACATTGCCTGAAAATGGTCACAGATCCGGGCGATAAACGCTGAGGTTAGAACCCCGATTTCAAATGGCTGTTAGCAAATGGCAAGCGTCAGCGTCCGAAGCAACTAAGTTAGGTGTTATCATGGGGACATATTGGAATGAGACCAAAGCGAAAAGTATGAAAAACAAACACATGAACCATCCAATCTGACGAGAAAAAAGCCGCAAAAATCGCTGCAGACAAGATCATGGTGGTGGCGGACCTTGGCGGACTTCCCGCAACCCTTCCGAAAGAAAACTCCTTGCATGAGTTGCATTCACCTGTGTACATAAACGCTTCGCCTGTATCAACACGACTCGAGGTGCCAAGGTTCGCAGAACTGCTTCAGAGAGGGATCCCATCGTACCCAGAACACCCTTCTCTGAGTCCTTGAGGCCCGCGAGCTCCGGGGGTGAGGGATGTGTGGTATGTGACGTACCTATAGTGACATTCGAGAATTCACAGAAGCAACAAACTGGCAAGTCGACAGAGGACTTTCTTCAATGACACGTACTACTTAGACTGCCAGTCAAATCCTGCACTTTAGGCTTGCTCGACTCTTCGACTGACACAAAAAGAGAACATTTTAGACCTTTTTAATCTCCTCAATAGTCCGCGACTGCTTCGCGTACAGTATAAATTATTTCCTAGCGTTCCGATGTTTGTGACTTCATTATTAGACAGTAGCAGCATGATGCCCTTGTACTCCGTTCTCAAAGCTTGAAGACAAGACTGCCCAAAAACGAACGCGCCATCGGCATATCCAAGATCACTCATGGCCGAAGACTCAAGGGTGTGAGGACGTAGGACGTGGCACAGACTCAGATTGCAAGGCAAGGACTCGCCGATGCTCTGAATACTGTGGCGGAAGATGAATCACGCCATCATCGTCTGGCACAACATCCTCAGCATCGATATGCACAATGACTCGAGTAGGAGGTCGGTATGGTGCTTGACCAGCGATTGCAGCTGTTTGTCTGCCATCCGATGTTCCAGTGTCTCCGTGCATGACGAAGCTGTCTGCGTTAGGGTTCTGGCAGGAATTCTGTGTCTGATTGAAGGATGTAGGAGAATTCCTGACCACGAAGTTGCCAGCGGACGCATCGGTAGGGGTTGATTCGGATCCAGATTGGATCGGTGGAGAAATGTAGCGCTCAGAGTCTGTCCGCCATGGTAATGGTGATGTCGTTTGAGCCACTGCAGTCATTCTTCTGTCAAGGGATGACATAACTGAATTTTGAGCGTCTCCGGAGACAGCAAAGTCTCCGTTAGAGCTCTTGCGCGAATGCTCCGTTAGATTGAAGGGTGTGGGAACGTTGCTAACAGACGCATTGATAGGGGTTAGTTGGGATCCAGGTTGAATGGGTGGGGCAAGGTAGATGACAGAAGGCATTCGTTTGTCAACGGATGATATAGTTGAAGTTCGAGCATCTCCATACAAAGCAAAATCTGTGTGTGAGGTCTGGCGATTGAAGGGTGTGGGAAGGTCGTGAATTGCAATGTTGCCGGTGGACGCATTAGTAGGGGGTGATTGGCTTCCAGGTTGAATGGGTAGAAGGTAGCTGACAGGGTATGGTAATGGGGAATTTGGCGATGTTGTTGGAGCCACTGCAGGTATTTGGTTGTAAGGGGATGACAGCGCTGGACTTCGAGAGTCTCCGTAAACCGCAAAGTCTGTATGAGAATTCTGACGCGAATACTGTGTCTGATTCAATGGCGTGGGAGGGGCGCCAACTGCGAAGTTGCCGACCGATGAATTGGTTAGATCTGACTTTGTTGGACTCATGGGTTGGATGGATGGGGCATGGTAACTGAGAGGGGTTGTCTCGTATGGGAATGAGGTATGTGGTGGAACGTGACCGTTGACTTCGTGTTCGATATCCGTACGTCGTAGTCGACTTTTTGAAGGCATGACGACCGGAGAACGAGACTTTCTTCGTTTACACAACCAGCACATTGCTTGACCAGCGATTGCAGCTGTTCGTCCGCCACCTGATGTTCCAGTATCTCCGTGCATGGCGAAGCTGTCCATGTTAGGGTTCTGGCGGGAATTCTGCGTCTGATTGACGGGTGTAGGACGGTCGTTAATTGCGAAGTTGCCAGCGGACGCATTGGTAGGGGTAGATTTGGATCCAGATTGGATGAGTGGAGAAATGTAGCAAACAGAGTCTGTTCGCAATGATAATGGTGACGGTGTTTGAGCCACTGCAGCCATTCGCTTGTCAACGGATGACATATCTGAGTTTCGAGCATCTCCGTAGACAGCAAAGTCTGCGTTAAAGCTCTTGCGCGAATGCTCTGTTAGATTGAAGGGTGTGGGAGCGTTATTGACTGCAAAGTTGCTGGAAGACGCATTAATAGGTGCTGAATGGGAGCCAGACTGGATGGGCGAGGCAAAGTAGATGGCAGGATCTATCTGCCACGGTAATGGTGATGTTACCTGCATTGCTGGAGTTGTGGCGACAAATTAAACTAGTAAGAAGGTGATGGAACTGTAGCGTTACAGTGGTTATTGGCAACAGGAGCCCCAACAGTTAAGACGGTAGTCGTCCCGCCCGAATGAAATCCGGTGTTGTCAGACATGGTGAGCAAGAACTCCGTTCCAATCGCAAATGGTAATCGTGGTATTGAATACGAGCCTTTACCATTGCTGAAGCTGATGCTGGTACAGATACAGTCAGGACCGATTCAGAAATCTGGAAGGCATACAATTAGCGCGCAATTGATGTCGTTCAGACAATAGCGCTGACGAACGGGAGTCAACCACATCCCGAATGGTGCTTGCCCTCCTGACGAACCCGATGAAGGTCAGCGGGAGCTTGAAAAATATACAAGATATGTGCTTACCAGTCCATGAAACGGCGAGATGATCACATTGGGTTGGGGTCCCAGCAGTCACATTGAATACACGCGCCGCAGAGAGATGAGAAGTAATACACGTAAAGCAGAGAACAAAAGGTGACGTTCGCATAGTCAAGGAATGAGGAAGAAGACAAAGAGTGACGTAGGTGATGCCAAGGGATGTATTGAAACAAGGAATCGTAAACTTTGCAGCGAGAGGCGAGGATCGTGTCCTAGTATACAACACCAGCCTGGTGAGAATTGGTGACTGTAGCTACATATATGCGTCGGTTAGACCATGTCATGAAACCTGCCGCAAAGCTGTTCGTAATCACTGATATTACGCTGTCTTCCTCGCTCGCAAGGTGTCTTCCACTCACATAATACTTCCCGTGTTTGAAACACGGAAACATGAACGAGGGTGTCGATTTTTGCACTAAGACAAATAAAACATCTGGTGCATTTCGCAGAGAAAGAGGATCGCGTACTTACTATACGTTATAAATCAATGTAACTTGCCCTGAGCCTTATGCAGCGTAGATGGCCAAACATAACTTGGTTTTGACGCACAACGCAACATTCTGCATTCTGACGTTCCTCTCTGCGCAAGGGCAAACATTTTGTGAGCACAGATTGATTCTGGGTGGACTGATCCGGAGTGTGGAACACCGGGTGATCGAGTGGGGAGGGGTGACGTTGGTGGTGTGCCCTCTGAACACAAAGTCTTCGTGTCACTGCAGAGGTAGCGCCGGTGGTGACGTGACTGAGGGGCTACAGTAGCTCATGTGTAACGACGTGAGAGGAGGTGGGCAGGGGTATCATGTTCGGAGTGGGAAACACCGAGGTATCTTCGTTCGCGAGGCAGGCGGCGGCTTCGATCGAGTTATCCAAGTGCTGTGGTGAGAAAGCTGCCTGCACTATGACTTTGATATACCAATTACCTGAAAATTTCACGGATGGACGATAAAAGTGTCTCTCACCTCAACAGTATGTGGGACCCTGGTTTCAAAGAGCTGTTGTCGAACAAGCGCTAGCAACTTGGGTGTAATTCTCATGCAACAGTATGGGAACATAGAGGAGATCAAAGTGAGAAGTATGAAGAACGAACACATGAATCAGTTCAAGCTCTGATGAAAAATTGCCACAGAATCAGACAAGATGGTGGTGGCAGACTTCCCCATACCGCAACCTTCGAAAGCTCCTCGCATCCACCTTCCATACACGAACGTTTCGCCTTCATCAACGCGACTCGAGGTGCCATGGACCGTAGAGCCACTTCAGAAAAGGAGTTCATCGTACCCAGAACATTCTTCTCCTTGAGGCCCGCAAGCTCCGGAGACGAGGGAGGTGTAGTGTACGACGTGACATACGAGAGTTCACAGAAGTCGCAAGACTGGGAAGTTGACAGAGGGCTTTCTTGGACGGAAGTAGATGTAGCTGAATAGGGGGACGTCGGTGGTGACTTGCAAGACCAGTAGATCGAATGGTCACTGGGAGATGGTCTTGTCAGAGTGGGGGTACCAGGGTCCTCCTCGATATTGGCAGACTACACCTATGGAGTGAGCAGAGTTCGCATGGCGCACAAAAGGTTGTGCCAACCTTGAGCACTTCGGCAACTGTAAGTCCTCCGCGCCGGCCAATGGCCTTTGGAGACGGGTGTTGAGGGCTTCTGGAGGAACCGGGTACAGCCACGGACTTGCTTCGAACATCGGTTATGGAGTACCCGGAATAGCCTTGGAACGAAGATGCATCGTGGCCAGCGGAGCGGACGATCGTCCTGATCGGGTCGTTTGAGATAACCCCGAATATACAGTTCTTCTCTGAAAGCTTCACTTGCTAAGGGTGGGAGATTGGAGACGTGGATGCTACGTCAATACATGTAAGCATGGGATAACAACATAGGACTAAGCGATACGGACTACTCATCCACGGTGAAGAAAGTATCGTCCACGCCCGATGTTGCCAAGGAATTCAGAGAGTGGGTACTTCTGATAGTCTCCAACGCATCATACAGAAAGATGTAGGATGGTGGGGCACAGACGCCTGTAGAGAGATATCGAGGTTTTCTGAACGTAACAGTGCAGACAGATTTGATCTTTGCGAGGTATCGCATGGCAGTCTTGACATCATTACCTTGCGAGGCTGACGTAGGACTTCCAAAGGGGTTGAACTTTGCATGCGCTCCTTGCCTGAGGTCTTGTAAGTCTTCAGCCGCTCGTCGTTGGTAGATCGAGTTCGCAGCTTGCTCCTGTTTACGTTGGCGGGCCATCTGGCTTAACCTGGCTTCCGCTGCCACAAGAGTCGGGTCAGATAGCGAAATACAAAGCTGGTTGTGAGTGATCGGAGGGTGGTTGGTATTACTGAGACCGCCGGGTGGGTAATAAGTGCTCGAAGGCATCCTCGTGGATAAGATGGAGGAAAGGCGGGCAAGAGCAGTTTCCGACGTACGCTTCACGGCGGCGGGCGTGAGAGTAAAGCGAGGAAACGTAGTTTCGACTAGAGCAGAATGTGCTGAGAGGCAGCACAATGGTTGGCTGACCTGATTGTCCAGACATGATGGAGGCTGACTGAAAACTTGTACATTAACTATGTTGCTGGTCAGCCTATCAGGCAAGACAAACTCTGTTGGTTCCCGGTTTGGTCACGATTCGAGAACATCGAGGAAGTGGCGGAAAGTTGTTGCCAGATCGATAACTCAAGTAGGGAATAAATGCTATCGTAAGGATCGAGGGTGGGTTTCAGGGGCTCTCCAAGTGAAACATGAATGATAATAGGTCCGCGAGAATTCTGACATGGCTAGTACTGCATCAGTTCATATCGCGTTAGATTGACACATAAAGCCTACAAGTACTCGAAACCTGTCAACTGCTTGTCTACTTTTCGGAGTAGGATCGAACACCTGAAGGTTTAGTAAATGAAGGTGTCCGACGATTACGGTGGAGCATATAACGAGACCAAGTAAGCCACGAGGCTTTATCCAAGATGCAGCTAAAACGAGTTAAAACGCAACTCGCGTACGTTCTGAGACCACTGGCAGTGACACAACCGATAAAAATATTATGGTGCCATCCAGGTAAACTCCACAAAACGAGGTAAAAGGAAATTGGCAATGCTATTCGCAAGAGCACACAGTGTAACATGCTCATCGCTTCCGGTCTGAGGCCGTATCGAATTGCAAATCACAGCGAAGCATGTCAGAATAAGTTAATCATGGGGACTGAGATTAGTAGACAGGATGATCGATGACAGCTATGTGACCTGCCAGCGGGTGTAGGCTGGTGAAAAGATTGTATCAATAGAAATGCTGAGTACTAGTTGGAGATCACGAGAGAGATATGCTAGTTAATCTCCATCATGACACGTATAGGCAAGACAAAGAAAGAATTGAGATAGTCTCACCAGGTGTCGGCAGAGTCAGATCAACGGCATTGAACAGTCTTCAAGAAGTTACGCCAACCCAATCGAGGTGTACCTATCATTGATACAGTTCGCGACAGCGCTTGAAAGGAACAGAAGAGGAAGCTGTGATCAAGGCTGTGGAATTTTTTTGTGAAACACGCCATATAGTGAATCGTACCATAAATTTTCCAAATACATATTCGGGTCATGAAATCATATCATGACTATATAACCTCCCCCTTGCCTCCATATCTACAATTTACATTTCTTTCGTACTTTCATTCTACCACTATACCAATGGCCATTCCTCCTGTATCCTCTATCTCCACCGAGCAGGAAATGCCTCGCCCAAAGGATGTCGGTATTCTCGCAATGGAGGTCTACTTCCCACACAGGGTATGCTTTTAACTATCATACTTCCATCAATTTCTCATCTTACGTCATTTTATAGTGCATCTCTGAGGCTGACCTTGAGGTCTTCGACGGTGTTCCAGCAGGAAAATACACCATTGGTCTCGGCCAGGAGTACATGGCCTGCTGCGATGACCGTGAAGACATCAACTCTTTTGCCCTCAATGGTACGTGTTATCGTCTCACTTCACGCGTTTAGATTCATATCATGCTGCTTCCAGCCGTTTCTGGCCTTCTTGAGCGTTATGACATCGACCCCAAGTCCATTGGTCGCATTGACGTCGGAACTGAGACTATTATCGACAAGTCCAAGTCCGTGAAGACCACCCTCATGGACCTCTTCGCCGAGTCTGGTAACTTCGATATTGAAGGTATCGATTCGAAGAACGCATGCTACGGTTCCACTGCTGCGCTCTTCAACGCAGTCAACTGGGTCGAATCCACGTCTTGGGACGGCCGTAATGCTATTGTTGTCGGCGGTGATATTGCTATTTACGCCGAGGGCGCTGCGCGTCCCGCCGGTGGTGCCGGTGCCGTTGCCCTTCTCATTGGTCCTAACGCACCTGTCGTCGTTGAGCGTACGTTCATTCATTCTCATTTTGGATGTCATGGCTCGTTTCCATGACGTTCCTGTAACAATTGTCTCAGATCTGATGTCTATTTCAGCGATTCACGGTAATCACATGACCAACACATACGATTTCTACAAACCTCGCCTAGACTCGGAGTACCCGGAGGTGGACGGGCCTGTCTCCGTTACTACCTACACTTCTGCACTCGATGCTGCATACTCACGTTTCCGTGAAAAAACCACCAAAGCCAAGAAGGCTCAGCTCAACGGTCATGCGAATGGCAAGGAGCCCCAGCCCTTCTCCATCGATGACATCGACTACGCTATCTTCCACAGCCCATACGGCAAGCAGGTCCAAAAGGGTCTCGGTCGTCTATTCTACAACGACTTCCTCACAAACTCCTCCTCGCCCTATTTCGCTAACGTCGCTAACCCCGAATCCGTCCTCGCAATCTCATACACCGCTTCCCTGACTGACAAGAACCTCGAGAAAACCTTCATTGGTGTCTCCAAGGCTACATACGCCAAGAAAGTCGAGCCTGGCATGGCTTGCTCAAAACGCTTGGGTAACATGTACACGGGTTCGCTTTACGGCTGCCTTGCCTCTGTCCTGTCTACCGTCTCGCCTTCCGACATTTTGGGCAAGCGTTTGAGCATGTTCGCGTTCGGTTCTGGTTGCGCTGCCAGCTTCTTCACACTCCGTGTCAAGGGTGACACGTCAGAGATTCGGGAGAAGATGGACTTGCTTGCTCGTTTGGCAAGCATGAAGCTCGTGCCTTGCCAGGAGTACGTTGACGCCCTCACAGTAAGTCCAGTCATTATTCTTTCCAATGCGATTCAACTGACACGTTCCAAAGCTGCGCGAGAAGAACCACAACGCTGTGAACTACACGCCAGAGGGTTCCATTGAGAACATCTGGCCTGGCACGTTCTACCTCGAGAGCGTGGACAGCAAGTTCCGCCGCAAGTACGCACGCGCACCCAAGGCATGAGTGAGTGTGGTCGGCGTATCATCATCTTATCATCTTGCTTCATGATATCATTCTGGGCTATGATTGCATTACAATTAGAAGCATATACCTCATCCGCAGTAGTATGATAGTGTTTATATAGTGTAGAAAAGATGTATTACTGCGGCGATAATACACATGCAGACAGAAGACAACTTAACCATTGCAAATGAAACGAGTATATCCACTGAGAAGCAGAAGAAGGGGACTTGAAAAGAACTCCTTGTCGTGCCAAATATACAAATATTGGAGTAGGGGACCCCTAGGCGAGGGGCGGAGCACCGTAACTTAGTCAGCTACCTAGGACTTTGTCATAGCGTAATGGCTCTAAAGTCTACCGCTTTCTTGCCTTACTCGCGACACGCAGGTACACTGTCAGGTTTAGGCCACTCCAACATCATACTCATGTATGTCTGTTGCTCAAGTGAAACGGGTATATATAAGTGACGCCAGAGCGGCATCTCCAGCCAGTGTGAATGAGTGAATGATTTATGTTGTGGTCTAGACCGTAAGCCCGTTGGCTTACCTGAGTTCCCATAATCAGTATAAATGCTGTCCGAGATAATGAAGCGTGAGCGCTTGAGCTTTCATTATCACTGCTTTTTGGCGTAACGGTTAAGGGACGACAGTCTTGACTACTTACATAGACTCTACTCCCACACCTCCAATGACACAAGCTGACTAAGTGGAACCTTGTTCGGGAAAACGACAAGTAACACTAAACGAGTCAGACGAAAGTAACAGGACGAAACTGTGGATTCTTTGAGCGTTGTACTAATGGATATGTGATGGTAGGTAGGATACCCGAGTCTGGTCCAAGCGGTATGAAAGTGACGGAATATAAGGGGAAAGGTCGCGTGACATGTGATAAGGTAAGCGTGTAGTAAGCGTCCAGCTCACACCAAGTCACTTAATCACTGTCTCTGCAACACCTGCTAGGGTGCCCCCACTCCAATGCATACTAGATATGATACGGGAGGATTTGGGTCGGCAATCACGAGGTTCCGAAGCGAGTCGTTCTCCAACTGTCAAGTGTATTACTGCGTGGATGACTTCCTGATGGGACTCACACGTCGCACGCGTACTAGCTTCTGACTAGTTCTTCTTGCGCAATTACATTTCGTGGGACAACGTCAGGGGCCCAGGCTGAACTTCAGGCTCTCAATATACCGCCATATCCGCCGCCAGCACGAGAGCTGCACAATATAAGGCGAGATCACGAATTCTGAAATGTTATCCTATTCGGGAGACAGTGTGTGATGATACCTTCATGGGTCATGCATATGGTCTCCTTTGGCTGTCTAGTCACCGTGTGGTGATAGCTGCTAGTTAAGTTTATTCTAGAGGACTCAATTCACCCATGGCTCATAACTCTAGGCACCCTCTATAGCTCTCGAGTCTCGCTCACGTCGTCTCTACTCTCCACTCCCACCTCGAGGGCCGAGGCCCTCATTTCTGTTTTGTCAAGCTGATACAGATTACATTCCCATAAAGATAGAGCCTTTCGCTGATGGCCGCTGTCAGTCCTCCTCGAGGACAGTGTAGCCACGTCTAGTATCCAAGGATCGGTTTGCCGTACGGGCGTCAAACATTTTAATACCTTACAAGCGCTTATTTTGAGGTGATTTCTGACAGATGATCACCTTGCTTGTAAAGGTCACATGAGAAGTTTCAGATGGTGGTGGGACCTGGTGGGATGTTTTCCAGCCTATGTAGGGCTAGATAAGCATCCTTACTGGACTCTGGGTCGGACTGGCGGAATTTAGCCAAAATGCAACAGCAACCGGCAGTAGCCCATGTCAGTCGTGTGATCACTAGTATCCTTTCCGTCGGCAGCTTACTGTGGGGGAGGGAGACGTGTGGTGAACAAATTCACCGGGTTACATGTCGTACATGTTCATTCGACTCCACCACAATCCTTGCAAGATAACGACACTCCGTGCCTCATAAGTATGTGTACATTAAAGGCTTATCACTCACTTTTAATTCGCCATTTGATATACACAGTTTCATGTCGTCGGAAGAAGATGTTGTCTCTGCTCTCCGCTGGAATAACAATATGGCTGGTACGTTAGCTCCATTTTACTTGAAACGATCCATTTTGTTGAACTTCATCGGTTTTCCAGTCGTAATTCTTACCCTCGTATCCTATGACTACAGTCAGTAACTTTCACGACCATTGCGCTGCGGCTGACCTTAGGATTATCTAGTACTTCAGTTCGAGAAAGAGGTAACGAAAGCTCGTTTTCTCTTAGTCAAGTACTCATATCATGTTGTCGCAGGTCAAGTATGTCTGGGTTAGTGTTCAATCCCCAACAAGATCAAGCTCTGGAAAATGACCGGGCGTCCAGGAAAGACAGTGGTCACTGATGTCGTATCTTTACCTTACTGTGAGCTTCGCCCAGCGAAATTGCTTGATCGGTTTTTATTTGGTTACTATGCCAGGTTCGATATTTTGGTCTTTTCCTTGCAATGTACGTCGTGGCGTTTGTGTCCTTCAGATCATACATTATACGCTGACACTGACCCCAGGGTTTGCGGCTGCTGTATGTGATAGTATTATGCCAACTGACAATCATTAGCTGACTAACACTAGGGGGAGGTCTACTGTATATACCTGAACAGGTGAGTGTATCAATGATGTCTTTCGAGAGAGAATGCCAGGCTAACCCAGACTCAGCCGTACGTCGCAAGTTCGTTTTATGCCTAAGCCTGACCAATTGCTGACCCCTTATTTAGCTGCAAGTATACCATCTTCAACCTGAACTGCATTTTCTCATCATGTAATCGAAATAGGCTATGGTCTTGTCGTTTTAGTTGAATGGGGCTTGTCCGTATATTTTTTCGTGGCGGAAGGTAAGTCACATATTCTCGCATGTCATTGTACGTACCAATTTTTCATCCGCAGTCATTCTCATCTGGCGTCTTTACGCCCTATACAACCAATCCAAGCTCATACTGTATGTCCTACTGGGATTGTTCATACCTATCGTGGCGCTCTCGATAGGGATGGATGTATTCTTATATAGTCGACCCGCAGCGTTCTCGGGTGAATTTCCACTTGCTTGAATCGAATTGTGCGCAAGCTGACGTCTCGTTGCATAGTCGTAGAAATCACATATCCGCACGCCAACTACTGCACATCTTCCTTCAACATAGGGCCCATGCCTGCGATATATGCTTCCATCCCCATCATATGCTATGATATTTTCCTAGTCGTTCTCGCGGCTGTCATCCTCGTGAAACACATGAAAGAACGAAGAGAAGTCAGAATGAGGCCCAACACCTATGTAGTCATGATCGTTCGATGTCATATCATATACTTCGTCCTGTAAGTTCCCCTTCATCTCGTGAGTTCTCTGCAAGTACTCATTGAATCCCGCTAGGAACTTGACAAACCAAATATTATCGGCGCTATTATGGATCAACCTGCCAGTATGATAATTCTGTGGTTCTAGAGAAATCAGCCCTAACGCTTACACGCATAGGAACCAGCGATGAGTCTCTCAGAGACGTTCATCAATACCGCTCCATTTATTATCGCCCCCCGTCTGATCATCAGCATTTGGGATATGCATGCCAACGAAGAGTGTTCAAATATCATCAGCACGGCGGCGTTCGCAGATTGTGTATGTTGGACTTCACCACAGATGTTCGACGAGCACGAGATGGACTCCTGCACACGATTGCCGGAACCATGATAGGGGAGATTTGAGGCGGAGTGAGGTGATTGAAGCCCTCAGGGTCAGGTCCTGTCAAATTCTTTAACACTTTATGGGAGTAAATAGTTCAGGGTTGACTCGGAGTTTTCTGTATATCTACCATGTACCGTAAGGTGCAATCTACATAGTATAATTGATTCGGGAGGACTCGATACATTCTTTGGCTCATGACTCAATATTGAGAGTGCTACTGACAAACTGTTCGCGAGGTCGTGAACCAAGTGATCACAACAGAGTTGTAAGAGACTAGTGCACTTGGATTAGAAAATGTTCTTATAGCATACTCGTACTTATGCTTATCCTCTCGCATGCAACATTTACGTGTGTGCCTTTTCCATTTTATTTGCTTGGCCATGTCGATGTACATATGTCCAGTGGAGATACAAAGACCAGCCGGCCTACCAGTAGTAACGTCTAATATTCTACATGTCTATTGACATTATATCTGATAGTACATAGATACACATAATGCTCCGGGTCGGCCCTGTACTTACCCTCGTGAAGTATTAGACAACTTGCCAGGAGCTGAGTTTGTGAACCACCTCACTTTCCCTCAAATTTTCCCTATCACGATTCCACACCGGAGCCCATCTCGTGCTGCTCGAGTGTCGGTGGCAGAGTCCAACATACACAATCTGCGAACGCCGTGCTGATATGTGCGCACTCTGTGTTGGCATGAGTATCCCAAATGCTGATGATCAGGCGGGGCGCAATGATGAATGGCGCGGTATTGATGAACGTCTCTGAGAGACTCATCGCTGGCTCCTGTGCGTGTAAGCGTTAGGGCTGATTTCTCTAGAACCACGGAATTATCATACTGTCAGGTTGAGCCATAATAGCGCCAATAAGATTTGGTTTGTCAAGTTCCTAGCGGGATTCAATGAATACGCAGAGAACCCAGTAGACGAAATGGATACTTACAGGACGAAGTATATGATATGACATCGAACGATAAATAGGACATAGATGTTAGGCCTCATTCTGACTTCTTTTCGTTCTTTCAAGTGTTTCACGAGGATAACAGCCGCGAGAGCGACTAGGAAAATATCATAGCATATGATGGGGATGGAAGCATATATCGCAGGCATGGGCCCTATGTTGAAGGAAGACGTGCAGTACTTGGCGTGCGGATATGTGATTTCTATGACTATGCGACGAGACGTCAGCTTGGGCACAATTCGATTCAAGTGGAAATTCACCAGAGAACGCTGCGGGTCGACTATATAAGTATACATCCATCCCTATCGAGAGCGCCACGATAGGTATGAACAATCCCAGTAGAACATAAAGTATAAGCTTGGATTGGTCGAATAAGGCGTAAAGACGCCAGATGAGAATGACTGCGAATGACAAAATTGGTACGCACAATGAGTTGCGAGAGTATATGACGTACCTTCCGCCAAGCAAAAATATGCTGAAAAGCCCCATTCCACTAAAACGACAAGATCATAGCCTATTTCAATTGCATGATGAGCGACTGTAGTTCAGGTTGAAGGCGATATACTTACAGCTAAATAAGAGGTCAGCAATTGATCAGATTTGGGCGTAAAGCGAACTTGCGACGTACGGCTGAGTCTGGGTTAACCTGGAATTCTCTCTCGAAAGACATCATTGATACACTCACCTGTTCAGGTATATACAGTAGACCTCCCCCTAGTGTTAGTTAGCCAATGATTGTCAGTTGGCATAATACCATCACATACAGCAGCCGCAAACCCTGGGGTCAGTGTCAGCGTACAATGTATGATCTGAAGGACACAACTGCCACGACGTACATTGCAAGGAAAAGACCGAAATATCGAACCTGGCATAGTAACCAATTAAAAACCGATCAAGCAATTTCGCTGGGTGAAGCTCACAGCGAGATAAAGATATGACATCGGTGACCACCCTCTGTCCTGGATATTCAGTCAGTTTCTGGAGCTTCATATTGCTAGGGGTTGAATACTAACCCAGACATACTTGACCTGCGACAACATGATATGAGTACTTGACTAAGAGAAAACGAGCTTTCGTTACCTCTTTCTCGAACTGAAGTACTAGATAATCCTAAGGTCAGCCGCAGCGCGATATTCGTGAAAGTTACTGACTGTAGTCATAGGATACGAGGGTAAGAATCACGACTGGGAAACGATGAAGTTCAGCAAAATGGATCGTTCACAGCCAAGCTAACGTACCAGCCATATTGTTATTCCAGCGGAGAGCAGAGACAACATCTTCTTCCGACTCCATGTGTCACTGTGAGTTGGCGAAGTCAAAGAGTCAGTGATAGGCTGTTGACCGCTGACCTACTTACTTATAATGGGCAGAATTTCGTTATCTTGTAAGGGTTGTGGTGGTTGAATGAAAATCGTATGACATGTCAAAGCACTTCTTGACATTGTCGGTGTCACGAATCGTCGCTGTGCTGAGCTCAACAACTAGCTATCAACGGAAAGTTCAAAGGGATATCAGTGATCACACGACTGAAAAGGGTCACTGGTTCACCCTTGACAGCACTTTTTAGAGCTTCCCATGGTCTTTCAGATGGGTTTCTTGGTATGCGACAACCTGTCTCCAAGACGTCCCTCCCGCAAGAACCTCCCTAGTGTTGTTGGCAATACTGCGCCAGTTTTGCCACCCTGGCAATTGCCGGCGAATTTTGAAGGGTTGGTGGCAAAACTTGGCGCAACTAGTAGTAGTTACTAGTACCAGAGCCTCCGAGGGCGACTTGGACATTCTGTGACATATTTCCTTCACAGATTCGCCACTTGACATCGCGAAACAATAGCGCTGGGACGGTGATCGAGCTGTCAAACTTGTTGAGAATCTAAAGTAGTATTACCAATGCAAAGGCCCATTTGCGGCCGCAGCTTTCAAAGGTGATGTTCAGCAGGTATGATCTGACCCGGAGGATGGTTTGTCTTGGAATGTGCAGTCTCTGTTGATTATGAAGGGTGTTTCGTCAATGTAATAATCAGTAGTATTATGCAATGTGTCTGGGAGTTTTGCCAAGTTTTGCCAGTGCGCCAAGTGCCAGTTGTGCCGGCACTTGGTCAAAACTCAGCCCAAAGTAGTTTTGCCCCCTACACTAAACCTCCCACCCATTTCTCAAACTTCAGTGACTTTCCTCTCGAGGTACGTGGCCCTTATCTTCTGTGAACTGAAGAACACCTGTATAGTCTTCAGCGCACGCCCCACGAGTCCGCGAGGTCTGGTAGGACCGTTCGCGAGGGTAGAGAGGACTGTCTGCGAGGGTCGGGAGGACCGTTTGCGAGGGTCGAGAGGACCTTATGCGAGGGTTGGGAGGACCGTCTGCGAGGTTTGAGAGCACCGTCTCGCACATCCATAGATGTTTTGTGTTGTAGATAGAATCCTTGTTTTCGTCGTGCTTTGATGATAATAGGGGAGCTCAAGGTTGAACGCCCAACGCCCAACCATGTGATGAAAATGAGTATACCTAGAATAAATAGAAGTAAATACAAAGTAGCACAGTCACTCACCTAAACCTTATGGCGCGAAGCACCGAAACCTTCGTGAATTGTTGAGCGCACGCTAAACCTCAATACTTATTTCTATGTGTTGCTGTCAGTTTTCGTGTTAACGCATCAAGAAATCAGCTTTATTTGTAGTAGATAATAGCTGATTTTACAGAAATTATAGCAATGATATATTGAAGCTAAGGGTTTGCGACCCAAAACATTGTTTTGAACCTGCAGTAAAGTCCAGGATGAGCCGTGATTCCCAAAAGACACGAAGGAGCCCTGTGACACGTCAGGCACAGCATGGACTCCCATCTCAGAAGGAGAAGGGCGAAGCAGAAGTAAGAGAGAATGTACCATTCAGTGTGCTGGAGGCATTGTGTACCTGGTCACCTGATGCTGTGGTACTCATGCATGATATTACTGTTACTGTAGTCTAGACCTCATGCATGTTCTACTGCTATCCTAGTCCACAATTCATGCATGATGTACATATAGTCATAGGTCATGCATGATGACCATGCCTTGCATGGGATGCTAAGCATCCTCATGCACCACCGCATTTTTTTGACTGTGGGAACTTTGTCACTACACTCAAAACATATCCATTTCTGGTCATCTCCTGGATCTCAACATTTCCCACACTCCTCCCCAGCATATTCCTGCCCACCACCATACCATATTCACCTATCTACTGTAGAGAAGTATTAGTATAGGCTATGTACATATAATAGGTCAGAATAGAACGCTTTTTTTGCCTGTTTTTGTACCAATACAAGCTCCAGAGACCTGTACATATAATACAGGAAAAACATATCAAAAACACATCCGCATTTTTGTCCCTTCAATAATAGAATGTACTAGCACACTACTTATATGCCTTTTAGTATATATGAGTCTATTCTACCGCTTGTTTGACCCTCTAAAGGTCCCTACACCACTAGATGTAGCATGTAGACAAAAAATATCAAATAGCTTCGCATTTTTTCACTTTTAACTATATAGACTTGGAAATATGATCCCCAGCAACATTTAAACAGCATATACAATATATGATGATAATAGGATCACAGGTCGAGTCCCTGGTGTGCTGTATTGCTATCCTCCCCTGATGGTTCATCTCCTGGGAATTTTTTCCTGGGGCTCCGGCCTTCCAGGAATGTAGGGACTATATTTCTAGGTGTATATGGAGCTTATATGTATCATAAAAATATGCCAACAGTAGCAAAATCCTCTTTTATATACCAATACTTCCTCCTGCTTGCATGGGTGTATATTTTCGCAATTTTGATGGTTATACTCATTTACCACTGTGTAAATTATCTAGCGGGCTCATATATAATACATAGGGTGTGTTAAAGGCCAACCATGGCCAGGATCAGTGAGAAACAGGGCGGAGCATTGATATCATGGATAGACTAGATATGTTGAGTGATAAGGAATTTTGCATGTCATCAGGGAGATCTATGGAGATCAGACTGTTGTAGTCCATTCTAAATCCACTAGGAAGTATTGTTCTAGTGTTACAGGACGATCCAGCTAGAATTGAGAGCAGGGCAAGCATATAGATAAGAATTGGACTGTGGGAAACCTCAGGAGTCAAAACATCGAAAACCAACACTTCATATACATACAGCTATGGCCTCCATACAACTTACATTCATACAACAACCCTTCCACTCCACCTCTACCCATGGAATAAAGTGTAGGAAGGTTCTTTGGGTACTCTACTATGTAATTTACTGACTTTTAAGAAAATCTTTACCCTATATGCATCAATTATGACATTTGTAGTTTTTTTCTCCTAAGAAACATCATATTTCACTTCCCTATTCATCAATTGTGGATGAGCGGTCCTGTGCTCCTGAGATATTGTATATATTATTGAAAGGTTGCTGGGGATCATATTTTCAAGTTTATATAGTTAAAAGTGAAAAAATGCGAAGCTATTTGATATTTTTTGTCTACATGCTACATCTAGTGGTGTAGGGACCTTTAGAGGGTCAAAAAAGCTGTAGAATAGACTCATATATACTAAAAGGCATATAAGTAGTGTGCTAGTACATTCTATCATTGAGAGGACAAAAATGCGGATGTGTTTTTGATATGTTTTTCCTGTATTATATGTACAGGTCTCTGGAGCTTGTATTGGTACAAAAACAGGCAAAAAAAGCGTTCTATTCTGACCTATTATATGTACATAGCCTATACTAATACTTCTCTACAGTAGATAGGTGAATATGGTATGGTGGTGGGCAGGAATATGCTGGGGAGGAGTGTGGGAAATGTTGAGATCCAGGAGATGACCAGAAATGGCTATGTTTGGGATGTAGTGACAAAGTTCACTGGAGGGGTGGAGGTGCATATATATGGCATTCAACCCTGTCAAATTAGGTTTAGGAAGTGCCGAGAAGCTACTTCAGATTTGCACTTCATGCCATGCATGGTAGCATGCATGTTCTATCTGTGATCCTACTGAGGCTCACTACAGTAAAAACATGCATGGCTACATTACTACAATCCTAGTTATATCATACATGAATAGGACAGTATAGCCTGACCTGGTGAATGGTTCCAGCACTGGGGATTCTTAGAGATAAGGAGCTAATATTAGTGTGTTTGTGCAGATGTTATGACCAATGTCCCTTAATCTAACTTAGTAGATGTTTGGAAGCCGGA